CATAACAGCAAACGATCGTTTTGTCCACTAAACGTGTCCAAATATACTAGCTATTTTCTAAAATATCTCTGATCCGTATGATACGCCTAAGAATTGGCAACTTATTACATTCCAAAATCAATTAATTAACAAGACAGCTACGCCCAAATATATGGACACGTCTGTTCGCAGTACAGTACGGTTTACCGTGCCGTCAGATCACAGTCTACAAATATATTCACACCAAGCGAAGCAGTACAGTAGGACACAAAATGGCGTCCGATCCCGCAGAACGTTCGGTGACGTCATAGTAAACAAAAACAAATCTCACAGAGCTAAAAGATATATTTGAAATAAATAAAAGTAATAGCCTTCTGGAGAAAAATTTCAAAGCAATTGGTCCAGTGATCAAAGAGAAAAGCGTTTTTTTAATATTTCCACTAGGTGTCCAAAAAGTGTCAAAGAACAACAAGAATAAGAACAACATAACAACAAAACGATCGTTATGTCCACTAAACGTGTCCAATAAATCTAACACGAAAAACACAGCTTCCGCGGACATCTGTATAAAAAATTTGATCCCTCTGTACGAATATTGTCAGAAATTACTTTTTATCGGACACAATTACTGAACAACCTAAATCTGGGAAAGATATACTAAATTTATATATATATATCCAAAAATTATGGGTGCTATGAATTTATAAGAAGACAAATTTTACATACAAAAATTTTTAACTTTTAGGATTCACAATATAGGTAAATATATCTTGCTATGAATTTATTCCTAGTTTTGAAATTTATCTTAGTGACACGGTAAGCCTACTTCAAGAATTATTGCACCACTTTTGTACTTACAGCAATAATTAGAGTAGTATCATTTTGCACAGTTTTGCGGAATGCATTCACATCTCCTAATCAATATATATCCAAGGATATTTGTGTAAGTATGAGACCATTTGACTGTGTGTTGATAAAACAGATCCCGTATGTTGCTGTAACAAAAGTCATAAGTTGCATTATCATAATTTTATTCAAACACTTCAACGATTTCCATTTCCGCAAACCAAAAATTTGATCGCTAAGAAACACATGCACCTCTTGTGCGTGATATAAATTTTACGCAATAGTATATATATATATATATATATATAACTCTATTACGGTAGGTAAACGGACCTGCCATAATTGCAGTACTTAAGCGAACGTCGTTCCTGTGTCCGTATCATTGTTTTTAAATACGTGCTTGGAGAGCGCGAGGGCCGTTGACAACTACGGAGAAAAAGAGTCAACACAATCCTCTCGATAAAAGATATAGAATTTTTGTCCGCTTAATTCGTCCACTTAATTCAGACCACCAAATGTTTTAGCCTATTTCGGCACTAAGCCGGACCCCTCTTATATGTCGCTCTGAATGTCTACATAAATGATGTTGCTTTTATTTTAATACGCATTTTAAAGCGTATGACCTCGCTTCAATTTCCGATGGATTCGAACCATTTAGCAATATTTATCACAAAAAATAGCATTTCTTTTTCAATGTTCCGTCTTTCGTGCAAGGGAGATGCACTGTGTTTGGTGTTGGAAATATTCTTCTATATCAAAAAATACTCAAAATGCAACGTGAAGATAGACAAATCGAAACAAATTGATCCAAACGTGTTATATATTTGAAACTGAGAAATACACAGAGCATATCACAAATGTTCGCCTATTCCAACCCTATGGTGCAACATATAGATTAAACAGATGCTATGTTGTGAGTGTCAAGATATCAATACCAAGTCAAAATTATGGCATTCCAATAATATTGATAAACATTACATAAAATATATCTCAAATGTCAACTTATCCGACCACCTAAGGGTGGCATACAACAATTGAAAAAAAAATTCTTAAATCATATTGAGAAACATCACACAAAATATATCTCAAATGTCCACCTATCCGGCCACCTATGTGTGGCATACAAGAATTGAAATAAAAATTCTGAAATCATATTGATAAACATTACACAAAATATATCTCAAATGTCAACTTATCCGACCACCTAAGGGTGGCATACAACGATTGAAAAAAAAATTCCTGAATCATATTGAGAAACATCACACAAAATATATCTCAAATGTCCACCTATCCGGCCACCTAAGTGTGGCGTACAAGAATTGAAATAAAAATGCTGAAATCATATTGAGAAATATTACACAAGGTATGTCTCAAATGTCCACCTATCCGGCCACCTAAGTGTGGCATACAAGAATTAAAATGAAAATTCTGAAATCATATTGAGAAACACTACACAAAGTATATCTCAAATGTCCACCTATCCGGCCACCTAAGTGTGGCATGCAAGAATTGAAATGAAAATTCTGAAATCATATTGAGAAACATTACACAAAGTATATCTCAAATGTCCACCTATCCGACCACCTAAGTGGGGCATACAAAAATTGAAATGAAAATTCTGAAATAATATTGAGAAACATTACACAAAATATATATTTCAAATGTCCGCATATCCGACCACCTAAGTGAGGCATACAACTATTGAAACAAAATTTTGGAATCGTATTGAGAAATCTTACACAAAATATATCTCACACACTTAAGTGTGTGAAATTTAACTGAAATACGAAATTTCGAATACTAATCATATTTTGATGTTGTGGAAAATTGCTCAAAATTTATCTCTAATGTTCACCTATCCGATAACTTGAGAGTGACAAATATTATAAAACAAAATTTTGAAACCGTATTGAAAAACAAAACAGAAAATTAATCGCAAATCGTCATCTACTCAGCTACGTAAGTGTGTCATGTATATGCAAAATGATATTTTGGAATGGCAATAATATTGAGAAGCATTCAAAAAAAATTTCAACCATTCGACCATTTCAGAAGGTATATAATTAAAACACGAAATTCTGAATAAAATATCGAGAAACATTACACACAACATATCTCAAATGTTCAATAAAGTGACGTTTTCAGTGGGGCCTATAAATGCGAAACGAAATTTTGCCATGTCAACTAAAATGAGAAACATTACACCAAATATAACTCAAATGTCTACCTATCAGGGCGCCTAATTATAGCAGTGATTGATTATACAGTCAACTATACAAGCGATCAAAATGAAATTATTGAACCTCAATATCAATTTAGAATCTTTGCACAATTTATTTAAAATTTTTGCACTAACTCGGAAAACAAAAACATGATTGTTATTTTGAATTTATAATTAAATAGTAAAAATGTATGCCAAGCATGTATACGAATGTGGATTTAAGTTGTTGAGGAGAAACAAGATTATGCTCACTGCCGGTTCATCTTTATGAATTATACAGAGATGTCTTAAAGCTTTACAATAAACTTCTCGCAAGATATACCAATCCGTGCAATTATTTTTCTTTTCGTCGTTTCTTTTCTGGTTCGCGTTTGTTTAGAAGCTTTTTTTTTAATTGATTTACAGCCTTTTTCTTTTCCATATATATATGGTTTTCTTTGAAATCACTTAAATTGCTTATTGAAAGTGATTCTGAAGATGGTGCGGTATAGTCTGTTGACTTATCTGAAACTTTGGTCAAAAATACATGCATAAGTCACAAAACATTATCACAGTGTTTTAGTCCAATTCAGAATTACGCTACTCTTGATTGATCGAACAAACGAAATGTTTGAAATGGATAATTGCATTATTACTCAAATAAACCAGAGTTTTTAAACGTTGCACTACAATTATTCGTAGATAGCTGAGCTATTTGTGATGGGCTACAAATGATATTATTATTTGGTTTATTACCATTCATTGGTATCAATTTACGATACTGTATTTAATAAAAAAAACTAGCATAGCAAACTCATTTAGTCACCTCCTGGCACAGCTTTCTCCGAATCACTACCCGCATTTCCGTCTGCCAAGTTCTGAAACGTAGGCTATCTCGTTGGAGAGTCACCTACATGTGAACAAAAAATACAGCCCGGTGAATAACTAGATGAAGATGGTAAAATAACACAGGGACATGTGCCAAATCACAAAACAAAATTGCTGGCAATGCAATTCTTCAAAACTGTTTTCCGAAGATGAAATATTCTAATCTAATATGAAGCGGTGTATTAGATATTTTTATTTACACCAAGCTATACAAACGTCAACTACTCGATTCTCGTATATCCTTCTGTTTCGACAAAAAATTGAATTCATTGAATTTTCACAATCTTCCTTTGTATTTTCATCTGGATTTAGAAATCCTTCTGAATTACACACTCTTACAAACGCAAACCCAGTCCTAGCATTGTTTTGATGGTCAGATCAGAACTACGACCAGTAAAAGCATAACAGTATCAGTAGTCTATATTTTGATAATCTGGATTACGTGAAAAATCTCAACACCAAAAATATAGTAACCCTAATATTAAAAATCGTTATGACTAATCACCTTATCCGATGAGTGATGATTTCCAGCAGCATTCCTCGGTAACGTTGAAATCCTTGCTTATTATGACTCGACTTCAACTCACTGGGTAACTGATAACACCTGACACAAAAGACTTGGATCGCTACTCCAAACACAACTGTTCTATTTTATTTAAATTTCGGCAATCACGCACTCATGAAGATCCCAATCCCCTCACGGCGCCCAGGTTACTTGCGAACAAAACGGCAAACGTGGTAAAGTTCTCGGCGAACCCGACAGTTTTACTATTGCGACACAAAGCCTCTTTAGTACGGAGTTGTGAATTGAGGTCCTTTTCAGTTTATTGAGCTTATATTGCAAAAAACAGAACGGACGATCTTCATGTTCTGCCTGGTTATTGTATCAAAATTATCAAACCTACTCTCCAAAAATCGTAAAAACATATACCGAAAAATTAAAAGATTTTTGCATAAATAAAATGTCCACTTTATGTACGAAAATTAAACCCGTTGATTATAAACCAGCAGAACTACTGTCCCATTAAAGTTGGCGAAAATGTGCAATTATTTAAAAAATATTGAAAGAACATATTAATTTTGATACTGTTTTATCAGAGAAAAAGAGATTTCAGCAAAATATCGCAAAACGTTTTAATTATGGAACGTGGAATAATTAAGCGGACAGGAAAATGTCTACCCAATTTTTCCGTCTACATAACTGTCGCTTTTTTAGCACGGTATGTCTACTTAACTACCGTATTAGATATATATGTATAAATGGATTATACCGTAAAAATATAGACATTGTACTAACACTTGATTAAATACAAGTATACAGATATTGAAATCATCGATAGATTTTATAATGCTTTTAAATACCCATGTGATAATTTTTATGTGAGGGTGCCCTATGCGCGTAGCATTTGAGCGATTGACCTGATAGTGTAATACAGACCCTGTTTGTCCGCAAACAACTCGAAATGACCCCTTCTCACGTTGTTCGTCTCGTTGACCATTGTATCATCCTCTAAAATATACAGGAAAGCTGATATTTTTCTATCCGAAGTAAACGTCGGTGGCGATAAAGCCTGAAATGGTAGAAAAAAAGACAAACAATAGGAGGTGCTATATTAGAAACATTGCATGTACTATTCTCTTTCCATTTTTTTACTGTTTGCTTTGAAAAATAACTGATTATAGAACAATATTATTACTGGCAGTACATCAGGGATTAGTGTATTTATTACTAATATTCATCTCTTGACTATTTTTGCATTACTGTATATGATTAATGTATTTATTACTAATATTCATCTCTTGACTATTTTTGCATTACTGTATATGCTCTCTCATTATATAAAATAAGACATACCTGGAAATTGAAAATTAACTCTGTAGAGCTTTCAACTTCTTGCATGAAGCACTCTGCTTTATCTTGATCGATCATTACTCTGAAATCGTATGCAGTGTGTGGCTTATCATCTGCCAAATCCCCGACAAAATGAACAAATTTCTTAACCGAATCTCTCACTTCTGCCACATAAAGAAAGTAAAGATGAATGGAAAGAATAAAACAATTGCAAGTTTTAATTCAACTTATTATTTTGGAAGAGCCACAGCAATTAACACATATAAGATAGTAAATGCGGCGCAATTTGGAAAGTACGCAAATAACCAATTGATCGAATACTTAGTGTCGTGACATACTGCAGCAAGTCCATTAAGTACTGGTTAATTCTTATTTGTTTTCAGAGATAAGCCTGACATCGTTACCCTCGTATAATAATATAAATTAGCTTTTAAGTTTCTTTGTAAAGGTATAAGACGTCAATTCATTGGGACTTAGCCGAATTGGGAAGAATTTATTTTGAATTTCAAATGGATAAAATAAAAATTTAGTGCTTTAATCATGTCAAAACTTGATACTTCCATGGCCAAGCGGGTGGAAAATTTAGACTGAAAACTATGACTTTATTCTACCAATTCAATTTTGTAACCTTGGTCATATATATATATTACCATTTGGTATATTTGAATATATTCGCACACTGTTTACTTATCGATCTTGATCGGTAAGTATGTTGATAGATATTTGCCGTCTGTCTGATTGTCTGTTAGATACACGCGATATCTCTCGAAAGCGAGTTTGAATCTGCTCCAAATTCTGCATGTGCATTCATCATATCTCGGACCAGAAGCCTATTGATTTTGGATGAATTATGTCGTATAATTAGCGAGTTATTAATTAAGATTTTTTTTCCATTTTATTTTTTTTAGAACTAGCGAGTCACTTAAATTTTTTTTGCGGAAGATCGATAAGTCGTCGGTCCCTGATCGATATCTCGTTTTTATTTACAAACTTCGACAATTACAAATAATAGCTAGACCTAGGTTTTTTTACATATATTCAAATTATAACGCAGTGAAAAATATCAAAATATAACAGCATGAAAAATACCACTTCACCTTTAATCCGCAGTCTTCTGGGATGCACTGCTTCAATCTTCTGATAATGAAAGCAAAGAGGTACATAGGCTAGAACTAAGCAGCGTCCGTGCTTACTTATGTGACAAATCATTTTTTATGCTTCCAGTCAACACACTAAAACCACTTCAGTATTTTGGTGAAAAGACGAAAAGTAACGCGCTCTAAAGTGAAGAAAAATAGTTCTATTGCCGTATTCCAGAACCCTTGGAGCCCTACACCTTCCTATAACACTTATGCTTACGTGTCGTAATTAACCACGGAAAGCCTATATATATATAATGTAATTCGTGAAACTATACGAATGCATTTTTTTGTAATGCAATGTACTTAATTATTGTACTTATTATAGCTTTTCTCGTATTTCCTGTAATTGAATTGTTTCCTTTTGTGCTGTTGGAATTCGTAGAATTTTAACCAACGACTATGCAGCTTTGCCTTTTAAGTCATAAGGGTGCTCCCGAAGTATGTGCACCAAGATGGTGCACAACATGAACATAGTATGTGTACCCGGTTAAGGTTATCGGGTTGTGCGCCATTTTGGTGCACATACTTCTGGAGCGCCGTCATAAGATATTAACAAGAATGTTTATCCGAGATATCAGGGAAACGTTTTGAGTAAGAAAAGGCAAGAAAAATCATGAAACATAGCTCACGGGCTCACTGAAATTTTTTCATCAAACAAAGACTTTATTACGGAAATTAACATACTTTGTTTTTAAAGTTAAAGGGATAGAGCTCAAAGCTATAGAAATTCATTTATTCGGTATTAAACTGACATTATACTGGAATGAGCCTTCACAATTAATTCAAATTGATTGTGAAGGCCCTCGATATTTGAGGCCCCAGGCCTGGGGTGGGCAACCCTTTCAGGAGATCATTCTCCTTCAGATAAAAAGTTTCAAGACTCTTAATTATCTGATGAAACTCGGTGTTCATTTATTCATTATGGTTTGTTGACCATCCGTCATTTATTTAAACTCTTTTTGTCCTTTCATGATATATGGCTAAAAGAAATATATTATGAGTTAACAAACAAGTGAGCTTTCGAGAAGCGCGCTGCATTCATTTTTCTACATTCGTACATAATATAGTTTGTATGTGCCACCCTTTTTTCATTTCTGCTTGATTTATAAAGTTGTAAAGCTCATGTTGGCTAGAGTTACTTGCTAACTTACTGTTATAAATTGATTTCGAAAGAAATATAAACGATTAGGCAAGGAAATACAAGAGAGGAGTGCAGAAAACGAACTATTGCGTGATTGGGATGCCATTCCCGAAAAATTTTCGTGTATTATAATCTTTGCAACTGCATTAGCCTACTCTCCATGTTTTCATCTACATATGCTTGTGAATCTTGGTTCTCAGGTATGAACTTTATTGAATCTCGTAAAAGGAGTAGCCTGAAAGATGAAACCAGTAGTTCGTGTATTTCTCTGGAAGATATAAAATATAAACCCAATGTAAAATCTCTATCAGCGGTAATGCAGCGACAGAAGTCTAACTGATATAGAACTGATAAGAAAAGTGATCAAATCTATTTGTCTGACTAATATTTTCCCGATTAGTGAATCTGTCTGTACATGTACAAAAGGTATATTATTGTGTATCTCTGCTTTGAAAGTGGCAAAGCATTGTTTCTAATTTCGTCGGCACACGGAACAATTTTGTTGTTAAATTTAGCCGATTTTGGCACGCGAGCCGAAAAAGGTTGCCCACCCCTGCCCTAGGCTTTAGTTTGTCTAATAGTATACCCGGCTCGGTTCGAATCACATGAGTGATGTGACAAGGTGCAAGAGGATTGCTGGACTCCTAGCCGTCGCAAGGTGGTTTACGTAATGGCTTATCGTTTACGTCTTCCTCCGCCAACTAGCATCTTGTGCGGATGCATTACGCTACAGTTTGAGAAGGCGAGTATGGGCAAGTCGTCGATATTTGTGGCGTTTCAAAGAGTTTGTTACAAATAAGAAGCAATTCGCAAGTTTTTACATCCATTTTTCTTGTTTTAGTTTTGACCTATTCAATTTAATACAAAAAAATCAAATAATACAGCCATTTTAAACAAAACAGGCAAAAAAACTTGATTTAAAACAATTGTTTTAAAACAATTCCTCTTGAACAAATCCGTAACCATAGCATGCTCAAAATGTTTATGACAATATTTTTCTTCGCAACAGTCCCATTCTCACAATATAGTGGATGGAGATATGGAGTTTTAGCATCGATCAATTGATCTATGCACTGCCCAACTGTGTCATGCCTACCAACAAAAAAAAATTATATTTTCTACCCCGATATTTCTCAAGCAGTGTTATATCTATATTTTTATAAAATAAACTAGTTTTTATGCCTCACCAATTTTAGCGAAAGTTCCGAATGCTTAGCTTTGGAAGATTTTCTACAGTCTAATATTAACTTGATATAAGAGAGGTAAATACCAGTCATTTTTTGTGACTCTCAAATAGTAGAGTCATACCAAAGTCAGTGCATAACATGCATGTGTTGTCATGTTACATCTATCCACATACAATTATATAGATAAAATATAGATAAAAGGAAGCGACAGGACCGTGAAAAATAACATTACGGCCATCGGAATAAACTACCTAATTCACCCACGAAAAATCATAACTCTGCATCTACATAAATCACTCATTATATCATCACGTAATATGGTAATAATATGATATACCGATAATATGGTATCTTGTCATAACAAATATGGAAACAATTACGCGCGTCATTAGATCACTACGAATTATACTGGACACAACGCGAGTCAAGGTGGATCAGTTTATAATACGTTTATTTCAGCTGCACAATCAGCAAGAAAACGATATAGTATATATATGAAACTGAGATGATAAAATAATTGAATAATTCAGTAATGAGTCCTAGTAGCCTGTCGGCATATCTGTGTCGAGTAAACGTTCGAGATATGTATGTATGTATGTTTATTCGTCTCGTAATAGTGATAAAAAAATAAATGAACGATTATTATTATTTAAGACGGGATACATGCACAAGACCGTACTGGCCTAAAACACAAATGTGGAGCATGCACCCTTTTTGACAAATATAAAACAAAAAACATTGGATTAAATATGTATAATATGGTCCCTTATATAGACAGTTGTGCAAGATGGGACAATGGGTCATTTGGTGTGGTGAAAGTGGTAAGGGTGGAGTATACAAAACTGTTTATACAGTGGAGTTTATAAGACAAGACAATATATATAAATATAGAGACAACACAACACCAAATAAACATATACATAACAATGAAATCAAAATTTAGTCGTAAATACAACGCCTTTGAGTGGTGAGACCATATAGTATGAATGGGCGAAGTATAAGAGATAAATTTGCGGTTCTTATGCCTATATGGTATGCGTCACTCAAGGGCGCTAGTAAGGTCTTTGATAGAATTTATCTATTTCAGCAAAAATGTGAACCATACGGATTTTGTTGAAATACTTCTGTTCGAGTGTGAAATTCTTAGGTATTCTTGTTTTATTTATAAAATTGAAGCCGAATGTGGTAAAAATTAAAGGAAAAATAAACTTAAAGAAAAGCATTTCAACAAAGCCCGTCATGATTGCATTTTTTCCAGAAGTAAATAAATGTATGCAAGGACTATTTACTTAAGGCTAATATTTTTTAAAAAGAAACATTGTTTCTATGTCATGGATTGCCCTAATTGTATTAGAATCACAATAGAGTAATATAGTTTCATGGGAGGAAGGAAGGGAGGAATATATTTGATTTTGTGCTATGACCTATATGAGAAAGAAAGGGCCCAGCATACTACTTTGACAAAAAGAACTGTTTCTATTGATGGCTGGATTCAAATTTGATGTAATTGTAATTTATTATCTTTAACCTAATTTGCTGTTTTTATTGTCTTTGTCTAATTAAGCATGATAATAAGATTAGAAGAGTGAGTTAAAATATTAATTCAGTTCATTGTTTCATATTGCATCCTGCTGAGGTAGCTTGTGGAGTTTGAAGTCGCCATCTACTGAGTGGTGATTTGATATCCTTCAGAGTTTCCTGTCGGCGCTTTCAATCCAAATAGTCTCTAGTAGCCCATCTTAGTAACCGAATTCCATAGAAAAAATAAACTCCGAAACAGTAATATGTTCAAAACAAAGATTTTGGTTAATATGATGATAACAAATGTTGCATAAGTTTGGAACGAAATTCAGAGTTTGATTTTGGTTTTTTCAAGTCATTAGGTAGGGAATACCAAGTTTTTGGTCCACATACTGCAATGGATTCTTGTGAGATACTTTAGCAACAAATGGAATGAAAAAATTTTCCTTATTTCTGCTATTTGAATTTGGGTTTATTCGGAACAATTTGTTCAGGCTGGATGGAAGTTGCCCGTTGTAGCTAGAGAACATCATGCTGCATAGTTCAAATTTAGCTAAATCCTCAACACGTAGCAGCTTATACTCTTTAAATAAGTCATCAACTTTTTCTCGATTTCCTCTTTTGAAAACTTTTCTAATAAAACGGTTGCATACACTTTGAATTTTTTTGATAATAGACGTTTGGCGATGAACGTAAGTTGAAGCGCAATATCGAATATGGCTTTCTATTAGTGAGTGGTATAGGGATATTAAACAGGATGTATTTAGATTATTGGCTATTTTCGTAATAGCACCTAGAGATGACCTTGTTTTAGATAGAATCAGGTTTGTGTGCTGTTTTCCAACACAATTTGTCATCAATTATTACACCCAAAAAGCGCGTCTGGTTAACCCTCTCTATATTTATTCCATTCAATTCCAGAATTTGTGATACAGATACATGCGCATGAGTAGCGTAAGAAAATGTGACCATGCCAATTCCATGGTGCTATGCGGTCTACCGTTGCTCTGTACTTATGACAATGCTTTGTTGGCATAACCTGGCGCATCTCAGCGTCCTGACCCCGGCATGGTTTCGTTGGGAAATAGTCAAAGGCGGAACTATTGGCCTGTTAATTTTTCTCAAGGTTGGAATTATACATTTATGACCATTATTAACTCACGTGCTTCGATTAAATCGAGACAAGTTAAATATTAAACTGATTCCACTGATTAGCTGATTCCTTCGCCCTTATTGCTTGGGTAGGTTTTGTTGTTTACCAAAATGACATAAGATTCGATATTAGATTTAAACCTTTTTCGATTACGAATGTGCCATCAAAGCATTCAATACGACGCTTCGTGGTAACAGACGGGGCTATAAATGAAACATATTATTTTCTGTACTATCCAGCTTATTCAATATTCTCCAACTCGGCAATTTCAACTGTTTTTTAATACAATAAAGCTACAACATTCATCATTTCGTCCCGCTATTTCTTTTGCTCACAAAGAGATCAGAAATGAAATTAAGATAGACATGATTTTCCATGTGAAGTTAGGAATCGAGCAAAATTGTTGACAATGCCAAAGATTCACGTTAAATAATGTTTCAGACCATCGTTGATTTATCCGCAAACATCTTTTTCACGGCACGAATCTGAAATAAAGATAGAATTTTTAGTTTTCACCGAGGGAAAAGAATAAATAGTCATATAAAAAAAATACCTGAAATGCACAAATCGTCAGTATGAGTAACACCGACAGAGCAGAAAAATTGTTGATCATATTAAGATTGGATGTTGTGGTTAAAAAATCGTAACGAAGCGATGATCTCACTTCCACGGTATCAGTTCTTATTCGTCCAAGCCTTCTGATTATGCGGTATATTTTATCCTAAATTTAAAAAAGATATCATCGAGAATAGTGTACTGGAATATTATACTTAATGACATTCGTTAAACAACGTATTGTGTTTATATAAGTTCATATTAGTTCAAGCATTCTGGTTATACGGTATATTTTGCTCTGAATTTAAAAATGAAAATTGATGATAATTATTATACAACGTAAATTATGAGTGAAATGAATTTATAAGAAGACAAATTTTACATACAAAAAATTTTCAACTCTTAAGATTCAGAATATGGGTATGAATTTAGTCCTCGTTTTGAAAATTACATTAGTGACATGGTACTCCAAGAAGTATTGCACGACTTTTGTACTTACAGCCATACTTAGAGTACTTTCATCATTCACAGTTTTGCGGAATGCTCTCACATATCCATATCGATATATATCCACGGATATTTGTGTAAGTATGAGACTGTTTGATTCCATGTTGACAAAACAGATTCCGTATGTTGCTGTAACAAAAGTCATAAGTTATCATTATTTTTTAGCAATATCATAATTTTATAAAAAAAATTGATCGTTTATTGAGAAGTTGAAAATTACACATTCATTATTCGAACATGAGTAGGCATATTATGCGCTCCCCAAAATCGTTGTCACCGAACAATGAAATAGTAAAATCAGTCATTATCCCTCCTAAGCACGTTGCCTATGAATATTTTCATTTTAATTTTTTAGCGAGGATTTTAAACATACAATATGAATTTGGACAAAAGAAAACGGAACAAATGTTGGGAAAACACTAAGAAACACATGTACCTCTTGTGCATGGTATAAATTTTACACTATAGTAAGTATATAAATATATTCATATGAATCTACATATACAGAATATGATTTTAAGGGAGTTTAATTCTCGTGAATATATGAATTTAATGATTATATTTAATTTAGCCATATACAAATGGATTATACTGTGAAAATATAAATATTGCACTCACACTTGAATACATACAAATTAAATTTAATACACAACCATACCTTTGTTGAAATCATCGATTGATTTTATAATGCTTTTAAATACCCATGTGATAATTTTTATGTGAGGGTGCCCAATGCGCGTAGCATTTGAGCGATTGACCTGGTAGTGTAATACAGACCCTGTTTGTCTGCAAACACCTCGAAATGACCCCTTCTCACGCTGTTCGTGTTGTTGATTATTGTTCCATCCTCTAAAATATACAGAAAAGCTGATATTTTCCCATCTGAAGTAAACGTCGATGGCGATAAAGCCTGAAATGTTAGAAAAAAGACACGTCAATACAAATCGGATGTGTTACATTAGAACCCTTGCATGCACTATTCTCTTTTCATTTGTTTACTATTTGCTTTGAAATATAACTGATTACAGAACATTATTATTACTGACAATACATCGGGGGTTCATGTATTTATTACGTATATCCATCTCTTGAATATTTTTGCATTACTGCAGTGTCTCCAAAATGTCGTGTCCCACTTGTACCACGTGTCCCACTTGCCCCGCGTGTCCCACTTGTTACACGTGTCCCACATGTCCCGTGTCCCACTTCTCCGGGACAAGTGGGACACTTTGTACAAGTGGGGCAAGTGGGACACGTGTTACAAGTGAGACAAGTGGGACACGTGGTACAAGGGGGACAGGTAGGACACGTGAGACAAGTGGGAAACGACATTTTGGAGACACCTTATTACTGTAGGCTCTCTCATTATATAAAATAAGACATACCTGGAAATTAAAAATTAACTCTGTCGAGTTTTCAACTTCTTGCATGAAGCACTCTGCTTTATCTTGGTTGATCATTACTCTGAAATCGTACGCAGTGTGTGGCTTATCATCTGCCAAATCCCCGACAAAATGAATATATTTCTTAACCGAATCTCTCACTTCTGCCGCATAAAGAAAGAAAAGATGAATGAAAAGTATAAACCAATGGTAAGTTTTTATTCAACTAATATTAATTTGGAAGAGCCAGAGCAATCAATACATATAAGGTAGTAAATGCGGCGCAATTGGAAAGCACGCGAATAACCAATTTAAATGATCGAATACTTAATGTCGTGACTTACTGCAGCAGGTCCATGAGTCCATGATTCATTAAAAATAATTTTATTTGAATTCCAAATAGATGAAATAAAAATTAATGCTTTAAGCATGTACAAATGTGGTCTTTCCGTGCGCAAGCGGTTAGAAAATTCAGACTGAAAACTATGTCTTCATTCTACTTATTCAGTTTTGTAAACTTGGTCGTATTATTTTACTTTTATATTTGAATATATTCGCACACTGAATTTTTATTTACAAACTACGACAATTGCAAACAACAGCTAGACCTAGGTTGCAGGCATCTTTTACATATATCCAAATTATCATGCAGTGAAAAATATAAATAAAAAAAACATGAAAAATACCACTTCACCTTTGATCTGCAGTCTATCAGGCCGCATTGCTTGAATCTTCGGATAATGGAAGCAAACGAGTACATAGGCTAGAATAAAACAGCGGCCGTGTTTACTTGTGTGACAGCTCATTTTATATGCTTCCAATCATCACACAAAAATCACTTCAGTATTTTGGTGAAAAGACGAAAAGTAAGACGCTCTAAAAATGAAGAAAAAATAGTTCTATTGCCGTATTCCAGAACCCTTGGAGCCCTACACCTTCCTATAACACCTATGCTTACGTGTCGTAATTAAACGGCTAACCACGGAAAGCTTATATATATATATATTTCGTGAAACTAAACGAATGCATTTTTTTTTGTAATACAATGTACTCAACGAATGTACGCTTACTTAGTGCAGCTTTCTCGTATTTCCTGTAATTGAATTGTTTCCTTTTGTGATGTTAGAATTCGTAGAATTTTTACCGACGACTATGCAGAATAAATTAGTGACGACTCAAATGTGCTTGTTCATAACTATGCCACAGTGTCATAATAAGAATAATACTATAGCATGCTCAATATGTTTATACAATATAGTTTTATGAAGTTTTAGCATCGATCAATTGATCTATGCACTGCCCAACTGTGTCATGCCCACCAGCAACAAAAAATTATATTTTCTACCCCGATATTTCTCAAGCAGTGTTGACATGTCACGTATATATAGCCATTATAAATAAATTAATTTATTTTTAATAAATTTTATAAAATAACTTTTATGCCTCACCGATTTCAGCGAAAGTTGATATTGAAGTTAGCGGGGAGATAATTGGCCCAGAACTACAGTAAGCTCTTTTCAATTTTTCAGTTGTGGAAATGAAATTCTGCTTAAATTTTTGTTTTTCATACATAAGAAACGATTCTTTATATACAAAGGGTTACAAACAAAGTCAAACATTTCTCTGTTTTCTGTGTTTCCGCTTAATATCTGATTAAATCTCATTTAAAATAATCTAATCGGGTTACAATTTGTATCTTCAGAGTTATTATTACATGTGAAAACATAATCCCATTTAAAGACTATGTTTTAATTATCCCAGAGGCCAAGCGCTATAGTGATTAGTTATCACTACACATAGATTGTTTGTAGATTGATCTGGTTTATGTATTATAACCCCAGCATTGACTGACAATAGTTTTGTCTTGCATTCGTCAACTCGAACGTCTCCTTACTACAGCCGAAGGCTATCGACAGATAGACAGTTCGAGTTGACGAATACAAGACAAAACTATTCTCAGTCAATGCTGGGGTTATAATACATAAACCAGATCAATCTACAAACAATCTATGTGTAGTGATAACTAATCACTATAGCGCGACCACGGCATCTGAAACTCGATTCCCAGGCGTAGTGTACACAATTGTAGTTTTATACGGGCTCTGATTTCATGATATCCCGTTTTTTTCATACGTTGTTATCAGTACTCAAACGTGTTGAGGGTTAATTCATCGTGGTGAGCTTCAGTTTAAGGGCAGTGGTTCTCAACGGTGGGGCGTAGACAATGTTTTGCGAGGGCGTGAAGCTATTTAAAAATTAAAATATTGGTTTGATTGCTTTATACTGAATATTTACATTTCTTATTTTGTCAGCTGAAAACAACTGTAGTAATAAAAATAACAACAATTTTGCGTGTTTTCAAAACTTTTAATTTATTTCATTATTTGATGTCATTGGTTCCATCGACGTATTTTCAACGTGTTTTTTGAATAAAACATACTTTCATCTACTATCTGTTATTTGTAGCTTATTGTCAGCTAGGTATTTTTGAAGTGGGGCGCGAGACTTGGGTAAATTCTAAAAGGGGGCGCGGCTCAGAAAGTTTGAGAACCATTGGTTTAGTGGTTTGCGGTTCGATTCTCGGGGGTGATGTATATTTTCGATATTGTTCTGGCAGTCTTCACAGGGTTGTCATGTTACTGTTGACCGACTTTTTCTGTCGTCTAATACCACAATATAAGACCCAACATATATGCAATATCGATATAATGCTAAAAAACCTGCGCAATCTCTATCCGTAAATAAATACTAATTCGCTCAAACTCTAAGTCAGTGAAGCGTGGAAATGATTTAGTTGAAAACTGTCACGTGTCTGCGATCGGTCCTTTCTCGCCTGACCGTCGAGGTTGGTTGTCGTCTTTTTCTAATCTATTATAATCGATTGATCATGAACCGTTTTCGCATAAAAATAGTGATGTTCTTTTTACATATATTTACAAGTTCTAGGAAAGACAAGATATGTCATCTTTTTTTATGCTACGAGATGTACGTTGATGCAATATCATGAGTTTATTTCTTCAGATCCTCGCTTTGTCTTTAAAACTCCAAACGGAAATCCTTGAGCACAACCAAGATGCCCAGGGAAGACAGAGCAACATGGAAGTCGAACTACTTCTTAAAAATGATTGTAAGTGATTTAATATGTTTTATGAAGTTCTTGTGTACAGTTGAAAGATACTAGGTATATATTTATTCATTTTAGTGCCAATACTTGGCATAAGCGAAGTAAAATCTGAAAATTGCATTGGTTTTGGTAACTTCTTTAATGAGGCGCAGTTCTTACCACTTCATGGCAGCTCCTGCCACAAACAGACCACGCCGTCTCCTGCCATGGTTTTATGGCGCTATTACCGGTATATTTACAAATTCATGTACCATATTTTAGTTTATCGTGCGGAATTACCGTAAACGCAGGTAACTTCGGATGGTTTATAACTTCGGATGAAATTTTCAATCGTTTATATCTCGACTAAATTACGTCATATTCTGCTTCTGGCAGTTTCTATAGAGAGTCCTTATATATCTTAATCTCTTATCATATTCAGTCGCCTAATAGGATTTATTTTTTGACACAAAAAATCACCTTTTTGCCAAAAATTGACACCTCGCTTTTGAGCGGCTAAAATAGCGACTTCTATCGACGCTAACTTCACTAAAAGACCGTCAATCGCTAGAGGGCATACACAATGTACAAGGAAAATTACAGTGATCACGAGATGTCGTACGAGATTCAAGTAAAATATATTATTTTGATTTAAAAATTTCGTCAAAATATCGACGTTACGGTGCTTACGCTGAACGTGACGTCAACAACGTGATTCAATTTCGCTCCATTTAAGGCCGACGTCACATTGCGTAGCTCGTGCGTAACTCGCTGCGACATTTGAACGCCAGACTATGTGGCGCCACGTGTAGTTAAATATAAAGTGAAAACTCCTACCTGATCCTCGTCACCAAATCCTACAAAAACTTAATTATAGCCCCGGTCATATGCTGTTTATTTATTGTGAATCCGATTAATGCACATTAAATTTGTGTGTTAACATTTCGGCATTCTTCGACCGTATAGATGTTGTTGATACGTAAGGCTGATGAACAGCCAGATACGCGTATCTATACTATCACAATGACAAGGTTTTACGATCGGCGATGATAATATATTAAGAGTAGAATGTTGCACAGGTGAGCATGAAACTCTGCACAGGTGCACACAGCAGGAGATTGGAGGTTTTTGGCGTTTTTATCCGTTTCATGTCTATCTGCCTGTGAATACATTATATCTGAATTATCAACACGGCCACAAGCTACACTGTTCCATATTGTTGTCCACTTCCATTTTTTTTACTTTCTACCTACCGTAATTCATCATCCATTTTTCTTTTTTATTATTTTCATTCGTTTCATTTTTGTTTTGTATTAGTCCCGTTTTTTATTTTCATTTGTCCCATGTTGTCTCATTTTTGTTTCGTATTGAAACGATCATAATAGCAAGATATAGCACTTTCATGAAATTAAGAATAGTCAAGAGATAAATGGTTTAGTTTTGCGAAACGTCAGGAATAGGGCTGGGCAAAATTATTACATGCGTTGTATTTTGAAGCATTTAGCGGTAATAATTATGGCGCGACACTGTCAAAATCGTCGAGTAAAGTGCTGAGTTCGCAAATTCCGCAGATAAAATTGTGAATTAGTCGGTAACGGTTTTAGCTATAATAACCGTTGGGGTATTGTTTTGTTCAAAAAAAAAGTTAAAACTTGAGGGAAATAGTTATAATTAGTGTCCGACCCGCTATCAGGACCAAAAGCCTTATGACAAGTATAAATGCATAACGGCCGATTTATTCAATCATTATTATAAATAAAAATTCAGTATTCGCACAATCGCGGGTGCAAAGCATAACAACATCAATCATCGTCTTAATAAATATCTCCATCTCGGCGACGATAATAATATCACCGTTCGCTTTAAACTCGAACGATTAATAGTATACAAACGGTGATAAGTAAGATCAAAGCCAACACGTAAGATTAAATCAGAACAAAATTAATTTGGGTTTTGAAATCAGTCCTTCTTGTCTTCAAGAGCTGTTGCCGATGTAAACACACGGGTACACCAGATATATAAAACTTTGATGTCCGCCGACCCGGAAGAATTAATAATCACAAAAACGGCCGTCATAGATGAACGTCAGTGTGCGACACGCAAAACGAATCACGGCGTCGTAAGTTCTACGCAGCGACGTTATCACGCGTCACTGATCACGCAGACATTTCTCTCTCACGACGAAGTGACGCAAAGCGAAAAGTGGCCATCCGAAGTTATAAACATTTGGAATACAGATCGGCAGGCAAATAAAGTCAATAATTTGAATGAAAAAAAGTATTGATTGATATGAAACCGAGTTTATCGCGAGGAGAAAGGCTTCAATGTATTATATTCCAAGTTTGGCTTCAATTGAACAATAAACGGCGGAGAAATTGTTCATAATATAGTGAAATCATCCGAAGTTACCTGCTTTTACGGTAATGTCTGGTACCGGTATAGTTTTGTAACACATGCACTTCTAGTTGGCCTGGCTTAACAATTTTTGCATATGTGTTACCGTAAAAGCAGCTACCTTAAAATGATTTCACTATATTTTAATCAATAACTCTGCCGTTTCAAACTTGAAATATATTACATTAATGTAATTCTCTGCATTTGCATATAATTTTCTCTAGGATCGGATCATTTTTTCTGTCTTAATTGTCTCATTTTTCGTCATCTGTAACGACACAAATATCTAACTTCGGATGGGTGTATTCCCTCCCTGCGTCACCGCAACTAGGGCGAAAAGTGCGTGCGTGAAGACAAAACACGCTTTACGTCGTTGCGTGAATGCCAGATGTTCAATCCACGTTGCGAGTGACGATGACGACCGTGGGATTTCCGGAGTGGCACTTTCAAGTTGTTTTTATACTAAAATGTCTCGTTTTATTTTCTCTTATCGTAACTTTAGATCCGAATATTCACCGATCATAGTCTATTTTGTTGTAGCCGATAATGTTTTGATAGCGTTTTTACATTCCACACCATGTATAGTCGCACAATATATATTATTGAGCATGCACATGACTGGATTCTTTATTAAATTGACCTACTTAAATGGCGGTCGTGCATAAATCACGACAAAACACCGATTTGGCAATTGGCAACTTTATTAAAATTAATTTCGTTAAATTCACGAACGGAACTCACTTGCAACAATGATTGTTGTTATTTATCGATGGTTAGATATTTTTATATTTACGCAATATTTGTCGACTGCTTACAGTTTTTCTATTTTGAATCATATGTTGCCGTACCAAATGGAGAATTTGAAATTGTCAACACGAATGAATATGCTTTTTGTTAATTGCCATTTTTAATAAATTTAATTGAATTACATTTCCAGCATTTTACGCCATGAATTTCTGATCCACAGAAATTTGTTGATGCGCATATTTTAGCCGATATTGATCAATCGAGCAAATTATTTTCAAATCTACGCCAACCTGTCGGCGCCCGATTGTCTGGCGTCAAATCTGTAACGACGATGCAACATGACGTCGGCTTCAGAGTGAGCGACGTCAGGGTGACGTCAAGTTCATTGTGTGCGTCGAATGCTATTATGATAAAAAAAATTATTCAAATTTCAATTTTTTATCGGGTCTCCTATGACATCTCGCGGTCAGTCTAATTTTCTATATACATTGATAAAGCCCTCTATCGAATGACGCTATTTTGACGAAGTTAGCATCAGTAGAAGTCGCAATTTGAGTTGTCGAAAACGTAGTGTCAATTTTATTCTAAAACATGATTTTTTTAATCAAAATATAAATTAAAATGCGCGATTGAATATGATAACAGATTTAGATATATAAGTCCTCACTATAGAAACTGCTATAAGCACAATATGACGCAATTTAGTCGAGATATAAACGATTAAAAATTTCATCCGAAGTTACAAACCATCCGAAGTTACCTGCTTTTACGGTACTCCTAACCCCCACCTGACTACGTCATTTCGACGTCACAGTGGCGTCCTGCTATTGGTTTGTGGCAGCCAAAAAGTCAGTCGCTGTGGGTTTGGTCTTAGCGGCCGTGGTTTGAAAATCCCGCCATGGTTTTGCGGCAGCTCTAGACGCCACAAAATACTTGAAACTGCACTTGTCTACAACAATTCAACATTTTTATTGTGGTTGGGCTTAAAACATGGATCTGCTCAGCATTCTAACAGCTGCTAAAAGTTTTTTTTTTTGTAAGAAACGGCAAATTTGGTCATGTCACAACCGCGATTAATTTAGATTGTTATCGAGGCAAGCATGACGCATCTCCCGTTGTGCCAGACGCTTCTCTATTGTGGAACTCGTGAAGTGTTTGTTTTGATGAACCAAATGACTGAACAATCTTTGCATTTGGAAAGTGGGCTGTACTGTGATAGGGTTATGAATCCATTACCCAGTTACCCATTTTTAACTGATTCTTCTGCTTTTTTCTAACTAATGAACTTATTCCATTTCTCAATTTTCAGCAACTTTTGGATGAATTTCCCAAATGTTTCGTTGTGGGGGCGGACAATGTCAGCTCCAAACAAATGCAACTGATCAGATCGTCGATTCGAAGCCAAGCTACTGTATTGATGGGGAAGAATACAATGATGCGAAAAGCTATCAGAGGTCATCTACAAAACAACCCAGATTTGGAAAAGTAACCAGTTTTATCATTTGAGTTAGTTGTCATTTTTATAAATCATATCTATATGCAGATATTGCATAAACTTTATTAGGATCAGAATTGGTTTCCACCATAAAATTTAGATAAAGTATCGTAAGTGGCCTACTTCTAGTGAGCATGGCGTGACGATTTTCGCATTTTTTATATTTAACGCCCACTACGAAGTATAGTTACGATCGCCAGAAATGGCGTCTGCATCGGCAATAATGAACCTACTTACCGCAGAAAGTGCCTTTATATACAATGCCTGCCTGACTTTTGGATGATTGTCTGCATGTTTTGGACAACTGTCCATATGTTTTGGCAGGCCTCGTTACATCACCGTGTCATGGTCAAATGGGGTTATGAATGATATAGCAAAAATTGTTGAGCCACGCCTGCTAGAAGTACTTGTAGTACTATACCAGACCCAATATTTATATTTCATAGGTTTGGGTTCTGATTTTGATATTGCACTGAATAATAATGACTCTGGTTTGAACGGAAATGGCCAGAACCGAAGAATGGATATGATAAGCGAATAATAATGCTATTTTATAAGTATGAATTTGGAAATTTTCAGAAATTAAATTGGGCTTTGTGGTCTGCCATCATACGTTCAAAATGATAGTTTTTCAAACTAAACTATTTCAAATTGTTTTTGAATTGAAGAGTTTAAAACGTCAAATATAATTGATTTTGAATTCAATTGTTTTGACATCTTTAGGCTTAGCGTAGAGCTTAGCTTAGCTTAGATCACAGAATTCCCACAAACCTGTTTATTAACAAATTAATAACATTGAAAACTAAGATAATCATGTTATCAAACTTCTATGTACAAGGGTCATTTGAAAAGTATGATCTATATTAAAATTCATCATAAATTAAATTAAAGTTGCCCTGCTAGAAAAAAAAAGTTCCGGAAATCAAGCTCAATTTATCAAGCCCCTTTACTTTAATTCACCTAAATTGAAATTCAACTCGCTATGATGATCATGTTCAACTGCACAGATATCTTGCTGTTATACGACATTGTCAGAAATGGCAGAACCCTTTGTCGTGGCGACAAGATTGTGAAATGAATTGTTCGTAGAACTGTCTGAGCAGCTTTATTTCAGTATTTTCACAAAGTATTAAATTTATGGTATAGGCACAATTGAACTTTTGGATTGATTATCTTTATTTACGGTTCTTGTATTGTGATTTTGTTGCCAAATAAACTGTATAACCTATTTTCAGGCTTCTTCCACACATCAAAGGTAATGTGGGACTCGTTTTCACTGATGGTGAGCTTGTTGATGTGAGAGATCTGTTATTGGCAAATAAGGTTGGCTTATTAAAGTTTAAAATTATCTTAAAATTTTTATGGCGATTCTAGCAGGCAATGATGATATTCAAGTGCAGTTTAAGTTCAATTGTTATACAGAGCCGCCAGCAATGGCAGAACCCAGTACTGTGACGTTGAACTGATGAGATACATTGTTCTTTGAACAGACCGAGCCAGTTTGTGATTGAATGTTAGATTCTGCATATTAATGGTTGTTTTATATGAAGTATTTATTCTGCTTTTGCTCGAGACAAGGCTCTGCACAAAAAGCTGGTACGTAAGGGCTATTTTAGTTTAGAAGAAACTGGATCTTTCAGTATTGGCGTTGCTAACTCAGTTTGTTATGCTCGCAGTGAGGTGGCGGACATGGGATTTGAACGTGTGATCCCACTAGGGCTGTCCAAAATCGAATAATTTTTTGATTCGAATCGAATATTTTCGCCGAATCGAACCGAATAATCGAATATTATTGCGCAATAGTAAATCTGTCTCTATTATACAATAAACGCCTGCCCTTCGATGTTGTGGTAACGTATGTGCAGTTACATCAAAGGAGATCACACGCTTGTATGAACTGGTCAAAAAAATTGGAGAACTCCAAAATTTGGGTCTCGAAAACTGTTGAGTGTTAAGAGTAAAAATTGCACTATTCAAAAATTGCAATCTCAATTTTGATGGATTCAGTTTAAGTAGGACATATAAAGCCTGTAGATGCTATTTTAATCCTATTCACTAGTCTTTATGTTTTTTTTGTGTAATTTTCAGCAAAATAATAACAACCATCAATATAGATAAAACTGTTGCTCAAGTTCAAAATTGCATTTAAAATTCCAAGCTAGTTTGATGACAATATTATTTGAGGACTATAATATTGTTAGTGTACAACAGCCATCAAAATGCAAGAGTGCAATTATTTGTCTTGGTATATAGATGGATAATACAGTAATGCCATCATGAGAAATTACAAATTCCATTTAAAGAAGGTATTGCCATCATAAGGATCCCAAAACACCTGTTTCAGCTTTGAGTTGCCTGTACCATGTTCCTATAATAACTAACTCAACAGCTTCAAATCGATTCTATTTATAGAACTATCGTTTTCTAAATTGTCTCCTTTTTCTCCTTGTTCTCTCTCAAAAACGTCACGATCGACTATACCTTGTTATGATGACCACGCATGAAATGGCTAATCACGTGCCACCGGGCGGGCATTAGTAATGACATGTTTATCACAAAATGAAGGCGAGAGAAATATCGGGAAACCAATTAAGCAAGCCGGGAGCGAGAGTGGTCTGAGCTCGGAGCGCCGCCGCTTGCCCGATGAAAAACATCCCGTAAAGGTGGTTTCCGCTTTATGTACCGGTACCTAATTTTAGCGATTCGAAAATTAGCCGAAAAACGATTCGAATAATTTGCGATTCGATTCGATTTCGAATATTTGGTTCGCTTGGACAGCCCTAGATCCCACCATAGTTAGGTTTAGGTATAAGAGTCTTGCATCCACCATTGGTGTTTGGATGAGTGTAATTTGAATTTGGTTAGGTGTATAATATGGATTTTTCAACTAGGGCTTATAAAAATTAAATTTAATCGAGACTTTCCTCTCAGGTTGAAGCACCTGCTCGTGCAGGTGCTATTTCTCCAATTGATGTCATCATTCCTGCTCAAAACACTGACTTGGTCCCGAGAAGACATCCTTTTTCCAGGCTCTGTCAATCCAGAACCAAAATTTCCAAGAGGAACCATTGAATCATCGTTAAGAACGGTTTTTGTCTTGTCCGACGAAATTCAATTTAAAGCCTTTCCTTTCCCCTTTTAAAAGGGTTGCCTAACCACATTATGGTTTTTGACCATGTCGGGGGGATAAAACAAAGCAAACCGGTTTTAAAACCCATTGGAGTTGATATTTTTCAAACTTGCATGGATCCTGTCTACCTGTACATTCTCGTTGTTTCCATATGACGAATATATTCGTACTACCATCCTTGGTCATAATAGTTATTTTCGGACTATTTTACGTTTATGTTCATGTTTTGTGAAGTATTCCGCACTAACTAAAATCATTTTAGGCATCCAACTATGATCCGTGCTTGATCTGTCAACATTTTTTTTTTGTAAATTTTTTATTTTACTACTAAGTGAATTTTATTTTGTGTAGGTATTTCAAAGCTTAGAGATACACGAAAGTATTTGTCATTACTTCAAAAATAAGTCATTTGAACGAGCGGGAAACAATTTTGCGCACATAATAAACAAACAAAGATTCCAGACAACTATCGTGGACATGCTCTCACATATCATTGATTATTTCGCGCTTCGCTTGCGAAGCTGAGTCTGGTTTTCTGCAAATGTGACGTAACGCTCTTTCAGCTTTCAGAAGAGCGCTTGGAATTTCGTTTCTTTGTAACACGTGTTCATCGAAGCGATAAGAGTGTGAAACGTTCTCTCAAAATTTTTTGAAATTTCTCTTTTCTTACCGGTGTAGGGTCGAACGGTTTGCGCCTACGTCATTTGGCCGCATTTTAGTAGGAAGACGCGAAGATAGGCTTTTTAAAGAGAGATTGGGGGTGTTCCTTGTACGTTTGGTTAACTGGTCATTACATATTATAAAATGGTACAAAAAGTCGATTGTATACAGCGGAAAAAAGGGGATATTGAAATAATTTCAATTTATTTCAGAAGTATGTGAGCCATTCGTTGTCTTATTAAAGGTATATATCACCATAGTTCACGAATTTTTGGATTGTTTGTGTAAATAACGATTAAAATTACTATTCTACAAGTTTCAATCGTGGGACTTGTGAGCCCACCTGACGTTTGTAAATCAGGTAATTTTCATAATGGCGATCCAAATAATGTTGGAAGTATTTGGATGCGTACTGTGTGCATATCTCGAGTGATAAATTCACAGCAAAGTAGGGTTTAATGTTCTGTAATATACACATTCGCTTAATTAATGTGATCAAAATATCACCTGATTGATAAATGTGGTAAATATTTTTTATAATATAACTAAATATAATACCGTTTTCGAGAACATAATAATCCAAAACTAGTAGATTCTAAAACAATTGTATTTTCTCAGAACAATGTCCATATTCTGAAGCCTGGTGATAAGGTAGGAGCTTCAGAAGCATCACTTCTGAACATGCTGAAAATCTCTCCCTTCACCTACGGTCTTGAAGTGCAACAAGGTTAGTCGGCTCTATTATGTGAATTGTAATAGCTTTCCAGTAGGAAGCAGGTAAGCAACGAGTGTAAAGAATCGGGAAACCTATTGAAAATTTTAAAAATGCGGAGCTTGTGCAAGAAACCTTGAATATATAATAAAGTGAGTGTATGATAATAGGAATAGTTTTGCTACTTTTTTTTCTATCAAATCCCGATATTTGCAGTGTACGATGCTGGTACCTGCTTCAGTCCTGCAGTCTTGGACATCACCCCTGAGGACATTCGTAAACGTTTCATGGAGGGAGTTTGTAACGTTGCCGCAGTGTCTCTGCAGATAGGCTACCCCACTGTTGCCTCTGCACCACACTCTATTATCAATGGTTTCAAGAATCTTCTGGCTATTGCTGCTGAAACCGAGATCACTTTCCCACAAGCAGAGCAGGTCAGTACTATGGGTACACAATAGCTGGTTGGCTCTCTTGTATGATATAAGAGAGGTCTCGGTTTAAGGTGTGGGAAATTTTCTGTTGTCATTCCTTAAGATTTCTCGATACGATGTTCTTGCGCCTTGACCCTGAACAGGGCTCTTTATAAATATCCATTAATATGTAAGGATCTTCATTTGGGAGTATTGAAAAATGTTTCTGGTTTGGCATTGCTTACCTGATTTGTTTCGCACTGCGTGAGGCGATCTATGTGGCAGCTGACCTTAATATTGCGGGACTCGTTTATGTGTGAATTTGCGTTATTTTAATGTAACTGGCTCGTAAGAGTTTTGTGTGTCTAACTCTACATCGCAGGTTTATTATAGATTTTTGTTTTGACTTTGGTTATGTAGCAATTATTAAAAAAAATCCTTGTTTCAGATGAAAGCATACCTCGCTGATCCATCTGCTTTCGTGGTAGCTGCGGCTCCAGTCACGGAAGAAAAGAAGGAAGAAGCACCAGCTGCGGCGGAAGAAGAATCTGAATCTGATGAAGACATGGGATTTGATCTGTTTGGCTAAATCAGTTGCATGTGCATTACAAGTACTTGGAATTTGCTACTGAAGTATGCTTCAGTATAAATACAAGTAAAAGGATTGCCAAGTATAGTGTTACTTATCAAGGGGAGTGTTGCAAGAGAAAATTAATTTGGGAAGCGGAGGGGATAGTACTGTAGATGCCTCAGCGGCTCAGATGACTTGAAATTTTTAACTGGGGGCCAAAGCAAGATTAGGCTTGTTGCTTCAACTGCAATTGAAGTTCGTTTTGGAGGGGACGCGAAAGGCTAATATAATGCAAAAAGCGGGATTCGCCAGATAGTTCTTTTGAGTGTTTACTCTGGTTTTCGAGAACATGGAACATTAAAACGGTGGTCGGCCGCTGTAGCATACTTAATCTGATTTGGTGAGTGACTACATGCACTCTGGAACAGGATAGAGTTTACATGTTCTGGGGGAAGGGGAGTCGAATTAGACGTCTTTATCATATGGATCGGGGCCGCGATGTTGGGCGCAAAACTCATTTCACTTTCTAAGAGAACTTCCGTTTTTTCCAATTTAATTGCTTAAGATTATTTCACAGGTTTGTTTCGCTTTTTTGTGCAAATTGTTTGAACATAATGCGATTTGAAAACTTACACACTAAATAGCTTTTGAATGATAAACGCAGGCTATGAATGCTAATAGCCTCTGGAGGGGCCTATAAAAGGTTGGTAACTACTGATATAGGTCGTCCTGTTTACGTAGCCTGTCGCATAAATGATTGGCCAAAAACCCCCTCGGCGCACAGGGTAATCAGTGTTCTTGGCACGATGTGACACCCGGATTGCTTAGGGCAATTTTGTCTTACTTGCTCTTCAACAACTTAGCCCAACAGGAAATACAATAAAACAGTTAATGAAATACATATATTTGGCACAATTACTTTTTCCTAAGCAAATTAATTCGGTTGCATAGAACATATTTTTTTGAGGAGCAAACTGCAACTTCTTCTCTGTAACAGGCTATGATTTTCACTGACACTCAGTCAAGAAGCGGGACGAGCTGTGATGTACTCCTTCTTGTTTAAAACACACGAGTTGCACAGGGGTTCGTAAATTGAAATGTCATTTTCCCAGCCAAAGACTTACTAGTCTCAAAATTGCAGTTCTAGAATTCCTAAGCTCGATCGAATCACGTTGCATATCACTTGATAGAACTTCTGCATGTGAGCTCTCAGCGACGAATATACTGCTAAACCCAAAAGGATTATAAAAATACTCATCTTTTCGTAGTTGATTAGATTCATCAGGATTAGAGAAGGGGGATATAGTTTTCTTTTCTTCGTCGTATGATAATAATTTTTCTGTGTCAATCCGTACGTTTGATTTTGAATACGAAACTTTATGCCAGGGGTCTACGCCGCCATTGAATATAACAGTATGTGTTACGACATCTGCAACCTTTTTTCCTCCGTAATTTAGGTTGGTTTGTGCCGGCCCATTTACGACATCTTCCTCTTCCAACTCTGGACCAAAAAGCCTCAGGCAAAGTGCCGTAGGAAATGATTCTTGAACATGCTGGAAAGGTTGCCGTGATACGGTTTGGAACCAACCAAATTCGGAACATGCTTGATAAAGCCATACACGACTTGATGACTGTTCTCCCCAACTTGTATTACGATCGTAGGCCGTGTATTCCGTAAACGTAGTTGTAATGCATTCTGTGGAATTATTACGTATGTCAATAACTTTCTGTAATCGATAAATTTCTGTTCCTATAGATTTGTTCGTCAAAATATCACACATTTTGTTTAAGGTTATGTACATCGGTTTGTCTACGATAATATTTCCTCTGCTATATTGTACAACGTTTTCTATTTGATTGTTCATTATACTGTAAAAGAGTCCCATTGAATTGCCGTTCAAATCAGACGCGTTGCACAAATTGAATATTTTTCGCAATTTTTCTTTTCCTTCTCCTGTTTCCATTAAACTTGCGATCTGACGATTAGCTTCCCCTAATGCTGAATGGCAAGTCGACCCTCCATATTTGTATAAAGTGTCGTTCACAGACTCCAAATATTCGTTAAAAAACAACTTTGCTTCCAAGGGTGGACTTGCTGCCACTACTCCATAGATAAGATGCGGAAATTTTAAACGAGCCCATACTGCTAAAGCACCAGGATATGACCCTCCAAACAATATCCATTTCTTTAAATGGCCGTCATGTTTTTCTGTCATATTTTGAATAAAATACACAAGATCTTTTAACGCTTGCTGGCTTGAAAGAAACCGTAGGTTTCGTACGCTTGTGTCGTTTGTTGGCTTGCTCTCGCCGTAATAGCGATGCTCGAGGTAAAACAACATAGCTCCGTACTCTCTTACCGTTTTCATGATTAACTGCGAACTGTTTAGCCATAATTTACCAATTCGCGACTCACCACCAACATATAAGACGACAGGCCCACCATGTTTATAAAAAGCATCAGATTTTTTGTACTTTTGCAGCCATCTTCTTCTGTCGAGTGCATCAAAATGATTTAACCTTTGCTGTATCCAGTTTTCAGCATTCGCCTCGATTTCTTTTGATTTGAGGTACTCCGCGTGATATCTATTTGAGCTGTCATCAGCTTGGCTCAAGCTGACACTGGTTAATGTAAATACAACAGACAGAAAAACAAAAATTATTTTCGGCCTCATAATTGATAGTATTCTGGTAGAACTCTATCTGATGTTGCTTCGAGAATTCCAGTTATATTAATACGACCCCAAGCTTAAATCTTTCACCGCGGAGGAAATGGTGGCATAATCCAAACGGATGTCAAAATAAGCTAAGATCAAGCTTGCTCCGTCACTGAAACACATTGTAATGACTAGATTTGGGTTTGAGCGGAGAAAAACATTGATCAAGTTGCATGAGAAGCTGTATGTCATTCCGACAGGAAACCGTTGCTTATTGATAAGATAGAAGATGTCATGCATTTGTTTTCTGACGCATTTCATACATTCGAAATACAATATATATGCAATAACCAAGATGCCTGGCTATCTCTAATTAAAGATGAAAGATTTATGGTAAAAATTATATTTCACTACATTCACCAGATGTGGCGCTTTATTTCGACGGCCTATTTACACCAACGTATTGTGTTTGGTATTGTGAGTAACCTGCCTGTAAATAAGTGTGACTTGAAATGTCCTACTCAGAGGGATTTCGACCGAAGTCAAAACCGATCTAAATCAAAAACGGGAACTTGAAAGACGCTATTTTGAACTTGCATGGTACCCCGTAATAAATATAAAAAGACGCTATTTTGAACTTGCACGGTGCCCCGTGATAAATATATATCATTGTGCTTGTTTAGCTGTTCGATAAACTCGACGTTGAATACGGTTCATACATACGGTTTTATAAGGTTAAAAAAATTACACCCAACTGCAAGCGGGATAGGTTAGGAAAACAAAACTGTGTGTTACAACACAATAAACATCACAACATTTGACACAGAAGTTCTTCGTTTATTGGGTGACGCTGAAATGAAACGTACGTGTACAAAATGTTCTTTGAGTTTTTATGACCTTTGAAACAATGTCGTCGGAAATATTGTGCAGTACAAAAATGTACAAAGTAAGCTATGTTTATTCAATTGTTGTCGAACAAGTGCATCATAAACTTTACAGAGTGATACAGAAATATGTCAATCAGGTTGTATTTTCTTTCCTAATTAGTGTTGATGATTTCCTGAATTACATATTTTGCAAGATCATCGATTCGAAAATATTTGACGACAAAAACATCGGCTGGTCCCCATCAAAATACATATGTGATTTTCATGAAAAACAGCATTCAGGAGATAAACCTGCTAGTTATTTGTACTAATAGCCAGGTTACACAGCGAAAGTTTTTGTCAACAAAAAAAACTGTCGACTTGAATAATAAAAATCAAATTCGCCCTCTTCGACAGATCAATTCGGTAAAATGTTTTCCTATCACAAAAAGAAAACTGCGAATTTTATGGAAGCGAAAGACAGTTGCAAAAGTTTAGGAATGACGTTAGCCCGCGTCAAGGACGCGGATACTTGGAATAAATTGACTGAATACAAAGATGCAGAAGCTGAGTACGGTTACTGGTGGCTTGGTGCAGAAAAAGAAGAGGCATCAAACGAATATTTTTGGTCCGATGGTTCAGCATACCGGCAGTTTGATCCTGATTTAAAAATATCGCAGAACGGACTGGGTAAATATATTATTGGCAAATATAATTCCAAATATGCGTAATTCATTTATTCATGTTTGTTGATATGACTTCTCAATTGTTGTTTTGAACTGCACCTGTAGTGAGAGACTACGACGAGCGTAGTCTGACAATTTCGTATGTCGTTACAGAATCGCCAGTTAACATCATACATTCCTAATATATACATCCTATGTTCTCAGGTAAAAGATGTTTAGCACTCTATACTCATACACCACTAAATAAAGTAAAACTTTTCTCCCTACCATGCGATCGTCATCTGTACTACATATGTGAACGTCAAACGGAGAGCTTCACAGCAATTTTCTCTAAACTAAACCAATCTACAGCCACAAGTGGAGGTTACACTGCCACAAGCGGAGGTAACAATTTATTTTTCATGCCCTCATGATGCTGGACTTTTAAACCTGGGTATGTCAATATTCTATAAAAACTTCTTGAATTAAACGGCCACAGGTAAACAGGCATAAATATGTCATCTGGCACCAAACGGAAAATTCTTCAAAAATAGCGAAGTCACTAAACAATTTTTAGGATGATTAAATATTTATAATCAAAGTGATAACTGATGGGCAATGGACATTGTGAACCAATTTGTACACGTCAACTCGTAAAAGCACTTTCGAAAGTAGCAGTATTTTTCAGAGAACAGGGATCCTCCATTTTCGTCCTTTGATTTTATATAGAAAGTATATATAAATTTTATTATCGTTTTCAAATATATATCAACACTCATGAAACGGCGGGTTCTATTGCGAAATAACTCATATTTTCGCAAAAATTTACTACTTTCAGATACTCGGATGTCTCATTATGAAAACTCGTATACGTCTGAAACTGTTGCCACTTCTGTCCAAGAAGACACAGTCGGAAATGAAATCCTCAGCCGAGCTTATTACGGCGATGCAGATATGGACCTAGGACACATTATTTGGATGTTTGTCAGCCTAATTCTCGGATTGCTACTTGTGATATCTATAGTTTACATTGCCAAGCTATGTGCAGACTTGAAAAGAATGAAAAAAAGATATTCAAGACAGCAAGCCGCTCATGGTAGCCCAAAAAGAGACTATGACCAAGAGGAAATGAATATGTCATCCATTAAGAATAATGACGCGTAATTCTACATTTGTAGTCCTTTTTATGTTTCTCGCATACCTAACAATGCTTAACTCGCCTATTATTGTTTTAAGTTAGTAACCATGGTATAATGGATCTTTCTACCAAAAAAAACAATTGTTGATATTTCTTTATACTAAATGCTCTTTAGTCAGCTGTTCACCGAGCAACTGCAAGATGGCAATGAAAGCAAATGCATTTCAGATGTATATTGGACACGAAATGTACATAGGCCTACATGTGAATCGTTTTGTTAGTTATATATTATTTATATACTAAACTATATAGCTCAAAATAACAATACTCTGTCAGGACTAGTTCTTAAAAATACCACATTTGAATATTCACCCCTTAATAAAAAAAATTTTTTATGACTTACTCTCACTGGACTAAATGTGAAGTAATAACGGTGTTCCCGAGGTCATTCTATAAAAAATTTGTCGTGTGGGATACTTTTCCTTAGTCTAGTCCGGCAAGGGTCCAGTCGAGACACATGCCAAATCGATGCTGTTTCCAATCCAAGGTGCATTCATAAACAACCGGAGATTATAAACTGTATGGATTGATGAATCGCGAGACACGACTTCATCTTGCGCCCAAACTTGATAAGACCTACTTCCTTTGAAAGTCAAACGAAGGTGGAATTAATCACTCGACGCGGTGAATCAAAATTCTTTGCCTAGTTCAAGGATTCGCACCACTTCGAGGGTGATACAAGTACCGCTGTTCCGGTTTACGGCGGGCCTCTACGATTAGAACATACATCTGAAACGAAGAAACTAGTTCGGTTATCGGCATGAACCGGTAATCAGATGAAAGGCCGTGATACGCCATACGATTACCAACCAAGTGTCGATAAATGAATATCCCCGCGGATCTTGAGTTTCTAACCCAAATGTATAATAACGCCACATTGAAGTAGTTGGCTTTGGTAATTGTATTGTAGCAGAAAAAAAGAAAATTCACAATCATAAATCGATGGATCACGAGGATGGACCATGATAATAAAACGAAAGGAGTGCTCACTTCGATAACAATCGTGATCTCGTGGTGAAATAAACTGATATCAGATGGAAACAAGAGCATACAAAATTTGCAAAACAACAAAGTAAGAGTAATAGGAATGTATTTGAGTTGAATTATATTCGCCGAAGCATATGCCGCCGTAATAATAATAATGAATATCCTAGGAATTGTTTGGCGCAGACAATTTTTCTATTTATTATTTTTTAAGGCATTGTCATGTTCATTTTAAGAGAGCCCCGAGCATTTTTTGTGTAATTGTCAATGTGTATCACCAAACTTTACCATACGAAAATCCACTTATTTATACATCTTTGCACTGATGGTAGAAACGCGTACATGATCGATATTACACTTGTTAATTTGTAAACGATCTTGATTTCCTACACATATAAGATAATATATTTCATACCGTGCAAATTCAGGTACAAAGGTGCTTGATACAGTCACCCATGGGTGAAAATGCCCAAGGATGCAAATGTACGGTAGCGTACCATAGGTAAAACAAACGTGGGTGCAATGTTCTGTGCTGGTGGTAACATCCATAGGTGCAAATATACATCTGGATGCCCAGTCCAAATATATTGGTTTCATATGTGAGAGATCACCAAAAGGTCCACAACCACAATACAGCCTTAATCAGCTATCAAAATCTTGTAGCCAGTGGGTACTCCATATACAACACAGACTCAGTTATGAGGAAATTCAGACAAAAAAAGAACAAACCAAAAAAACGCAAAAATATGAAATCTGATAATTTTAACACTTGTAAAGACCTCGGAGTTTATGGATTGAAATTGAGATTTTTCAGAATATTGAGAAACAAATGATATATTGATAGTTGTAAAATGCTTGTCTAAAGAATACGGCCCTCGGTCAGACGAAACGTTACAGAAATATATTTGTGTAAGTGTGCAGCAAGACTCTTGAATTAAACTGAACTAAGAGTTAGCAAATTCATAATCCACAAAAGCGCCTTTTATAATGACAATTAACATTGGTTTGAGGAATGTGAGCTCTATTCCATAAAATTACTGTGACATCTAATCACGATTTACACACCACGTTGAAGGTTTAATGTTGAAGAACAATTTATCCATCCAACAAAGAAGAAGTTCTTTTTTTCCATTCATATTTTTGCAACATATTAGACACCAGCCAATCAAGAGTAGTAAAAAAGTTTAGTTAATCTTATTGAAGACAATTTGACTTCCCGTGACACATATATATAATTTTGCTAGAACGTTTTGTCATCAATTTTGAGTTGATGCAGTTGGAAAACGGTTTCTGATACCAATCAACGTGAATTAAATATTGGATGTAAAAAAATACAACATAAATGATATGGGATCAATTCTGAAACAAGTTCCAGTATATTGCCACATAAATTGAAAGATTTATAAAACTAATGGAAGTGAAAGCTCAAGTAAGCACTAACACAACATATTAGCAAATAACGTAATTATCGCACAGTGATGACAGCAAATTAAAAAAAAATTAATCACATTATTGTACTACTGGTGAGGGGCACCAGTATGTATCAACAGTGAATCATGAATAAAAATATGAAATGTTATTTCGAATAAACATACTAAGATACTTTCAATCTTCGCCATCCATGAAAGTATTTTACATTGCTTTTATTAGTTTACATAAGCTTTTTAAATGGACAATTATCATCAATAGTTTCGGATTGAGTTTTAATCATTATTTTAAATTTATCTATATTACATTTCGACTAAATGTCTTTTATAGTAAAAACCCCTCTCCTTGATTGTTTTGTAATTTTAAAACAACTACCGGTACATTGCCATTAGACCAAATTTATTCCTAAGCATATGAACTAGAGCTGGGCATTTTGAATAGAATAGAAAATATTTCAAATCAGTTCGGTCAAATATTCAGAACTGCCTTTTTTTTATTTTCCTCGAAAGCTTGAGGTGAACCCGTCAATTTTTTAATAAACCATATTTTTAAAATGCAATTCTGACATAGGAATCATTTCTTCCAGTTGGTTATTGAAATGTGTTTGATATTGTGTGTGAAAACTCAGCAAACTGCCTGTGTGTCATTTCCAGTACTGTGGTGCCTGGTGGACCTATTGCAAAAAAATTATGTACAATTACACATCTTGCAAGTATTTGAGATTCGATTCAAAAAAATATTCGATGCGATTATAAAGTCATCAAGTATACGAAAATGACCAGCCCTAATGAAAACCCATCATGTCTCATTTAGTTAATTTTCTTAATAATTTCATAGTAAGCTTTTTGTTTTGAAACTGTCAATCCCTTTGGGCGACTACGATGCTTCGTTGGCTTCCTCATATTGAAAAAACTTGTCTTCGGTGTATGTAGCCCATTCTTTTTCGATAAAGTAATGGATTGGCTTGTTGTACATCCTAGTTGATGATGAAAATCTTGACAACGCTCCAGTGAAACATAAGTTTTATATATAGAGAGAGATGCGTGGGGTGTTGTTGTATAAAACGGTTTCATCGAGCCACCTACATTCACATGAAAAACTGAAAATATTATCAGAAATTAGAATAATGAAAAAAATTTAAATCCTGGGTCGATAGCAAAAGGCGGTTAGACAAAAAGAATTCAGCAATCATTTCATGCAGGATTTGAAACTTGATAATTAGCAACTCGGTTACCAGGAAAGCATTGCACTCTTGATCAAGTGTGAAAATCAAATTGAATAGGAATAGTTTGAATGGATGGAAAATTAGTTGGCAATGGATTGAAAATTAGTTGGCAAAAGAAAATGTTTCGAAAATATACTAATTCTCATGTAACATATATTCAGGCGCTTGAGCAGATCCTTATATGAAGTGAATGAAAAAACACATAAAAAAGTATCAATATTTCAATAATTTGTTTTGAACATATTTATTTCCCTTCTACTCTAAACAAAGCTCTGGTTTGCTATCATAACAATAAAACAACGCAATCAATATTTACTTTATTAAGTCAATAAATCATACTCTTTGAATAGAAATACAATAAATACAAACCTCCAGGCTTATGTTTTTTGATCATTGACGGTGAATCTGGAAAGCTTTTTTGGTTTACAGATAAACGCTTGCCCTGAAAAACACAATATTAATCATTCTGCAATCATGACAATCTTTTTCATTCTCCTTGAACTATTTTTATGGGTAATTTCAAAATACAAACAAGTCCAATCTGATTATCCGACAAAAAACACTTAGAGAGCAGTGGCATAATTACATAAATATCATTTTTACAGATCCAATCTAAAACTTGAAAAAAATATCAGTTCTTGCTAATCAGGGATGTCCAAAATGAACTGAATATTCGAATACATTCCAAATTCAATATATTTGATAAAGTAAATTTTTGAATTTAGGAAAAACTCAAAACATTTTTATTCGAAATTGGGGATTTTGAGCCGTCGTGTCAGACGAGTAGATAAAAACAACCAATATCTCAACTGGTATGAAACAACACAGAGAAAACAACCTTTTATATTTATGTCGATTTAGTTCAACATGAAGATATAGTCATTTAAGTAATTTTTCCACATGAACATGTCCCCAATTTAGAATGTATTCGATATTTCATATTCAAAGATATTTTTTCAGAATGTATTCGGTATAGTAAAATATATGGTTTTTGACATTGGATATGTGGTATATCTATCCACTTTTTTGGGATTTGTTTTACATGAAACTTATCATTCTTATCATGCAACAGTTTTATAATTTGCACAAAAAGATTATCAAGTGAAACATACATTCAATACCACACCAGACTTATCAGTTTTCTTCATTTCCACGGTAGTGAACAAGTCAGACAGCTCAGGTTCCAGTCTTCGAAGTTCTGGAAAAATTTAGAACAGTTCTTAAAAACAACCTCATGTCCTCACTTGTATAATAATATAAACAGTATTTTGGTCACAGCTTGTGTACAAAAATGGCCTGTTTACTGGTGTTGAATAATTGGATAAGAGCGATCACAGCAATTGCATAATGTTGCTCAGCTACACCCAGCTTAGCTCATTATTTTTTTTAATGAAGTTTATTCAAGTCTTCCCTCCAAACAAGGCCCTGTACAAGCATCCACTGAAATCTAATGATATGTAGGAGTTACTATTTATGAAAGAACTAGCATATTTCCTGTTCGGAATTGCCTACCCAATTTATTACACCCTACGTGGTGGCTGTAAGGTTTGAACCCAAGACGTAGCCCTTGCAACCCCAAAACAGCCAGGTATAATGTATTAACGATTGGGACATCACACCCATAATTTGCCTCCTAATTATATATCCACATTTTTGATATAATGAATCTAATTCATAGCCAAAAAGTTTTTGTTGAGTGCTAAGATAAAGAGCTACTGAACTTAAAAAGTGACTGAAATATAAAAAATTGGGGTAAAGCTCACCCAATTTGGGTGAAGTGAAAGAAAAGATCCATCAAAGCTGAACCCAAATTACTTGAATGATAGGATAGCATAATTAAGCTATGTCCATTAAGATTTGAATAAAATAATATAAAGTAATCGATTCTCACTTCTGAGTTGATGCACCTATTCTTTTTGTGTTGAAAACTAGGTTATTATAACAATATAAACCCAGAAGTCATTTATATTGGAACAGGAAATAATACTCAAGATGAATATGCAACGGTGAACTTGCCTAATTCGCTTATTTCAGAATTATATAAATTCCATTTAGTGTCACAAAATTTCAAAAATGCCAATCAAGTTTGATTTGCTCTATTAGCAGGTTGTGAGACATTTTGAAACCACTTTCATTTTTACAAACAGGTTTTTGACAGAAATATATATTTTTTTTCATAAAATTCACACTTACTGTTGTTCCCCCCAACAGGAGGATTTGAAACATGTCTTTTTCTTAAATTAGGACCTTCAGTATCGAATTTATTTTCCAAGTGATTTTTGAGATACATTGTATCCAATAAAAGATCAGCCTCACTTTTCCTAGTTCTTGTTTTTTTCGGTTTATCTTGGTGATTTTCATCTACAATACTTTCACCATTCAACAAAGCTTCAGAAGTACTACCATGCACTTCATCATCGCTGCTATTGAAATCATTATCCAAAATCCATCTGGGTATAAACGACGATTCTTTATATAATGGTTCCGAAGTTTTATCAGCGCCAAGTGGCAAAGTTTCTGAATTATTCTTTTTCAAATCATTTTGCTTCGGTACTTTCATTTTCGATGTATTGAATTCATGTTCTGAGCTATACATTGGTTTCACATTTTCTTTTTCTTTATCCAATGGGCGGTTTGAAGTTGCATCAGTCGAAGAGGGTTGACTTATAACGTGGTGCTTTTCACGGTGGACGTCATCGTTTGGAATCTTACTGCTTTCATGATTGTTAGAATCAATTTCATTATTAGAAATATCATATACACTACTGCATCCAGTCACTGAAGATGTAGATCCATCAAATTCAGTTTTATCTCTCTTTGTTTTGCAACTGAAATAATTACTGAAATTCAATTTATACTCCTTCCTTTTGAAAACTGAAGACTCATATTTCCTCCTTGATAATTTATTTGAACCTGCTAATAAACAATGATTACTTTGAGTTGAAGAATGTAACAAGATAACATCTCTGAAAGAAAATTGTGATCCCAAACTAAATGGAAATTTTTCATTTAAATGCAGATGTCTCTCCAACTTCTTATGAAAAGTGTCAAATTTTGCATATCGCTTAAATTTTCCATTAGTTGGATTATGGTCTTTTTTCCGCCAATTATAGGAAAGTTCTTTACAGATATCTTTTACAGAAGGTATAACTTGAGTTGGTTCATCATTTTGAATACAGATAGAGGCGTATTTTTCTTGAATTTTGTCTACATCTTTAGTTGTCGCTTGTTTCTTACAATTCTCAGTCAAAGGCAGTTTCTGCACTACTACATCTGTAAGTTTACTTCTCTTAGTCTGTTTTTCTTGAAATGCTATCATGGAAATACATTTCTCTCCGTGAGATGAGTTTCCTATTGGTGTATCACATGATTCTGTTGTGCAATTTTCTGTTGTCTCATTTTCCTTTTGCACATATGATTGTATAGAATGGAATAGACATGACACTGCAAATTCTATGTCAGTTTTTGCTAATGTTTTAAGATTACGTTGCTTGGGTTTACAATTAGTTGGACATAGTTTCGGATTTTTTGCTAATGTTTTAAGATTACGTTGCTTGGGTTTAAAATTAGTTGGACAGAGTTTCGGATTTTTTTTAGCGTTTCGTGTCATTACTTTAGAGGTTGTTACAGTTGCTATAACAGTGAACTTATGACGAGATGAAAGAGGGATATCAGCCACACTGCTGATTGTGTTAGAAACAGTTTTTTCATTCAAATGTTTTTGATCTAAGGTTAATTTAGATGATTTGTTGGCATCTAACACATTGATTGCAGGGCTTGAAGAAACCTTTTGCGCTACAGTTTCATTATTATTATCTGCTTTTTCACATTGAATATTGGTAGTAGAAGTAGAAGACGTCGTTTGCAATTTTTGCAAATATTTAGTTGGAGTTGAATCATCTTTTAGATAATCCATCATTGAGCTTTCAATTTTATACCTCTTTTTTCTTTTATGCGATTGTTCTTCGTTATCACTTTGACAAAGAAGACGTTTCCTTTGATTCTTTGTTTTAAGCAACAAGGAAATCTTTTCTAATATTTCAGAATTCTCGTTGAAACAAGATGGCTGTGGCTGCACTACATTGAAATCTAGATTCAAATTGTTTTGAAATGATGAAGATATAAACATAAAAGGTTGTGATGCTTTTTCTACGGCATGTTCTCGCATGGAAGTTGATTGCAAAACATCAGCTAAAGCTTTGTTGACAATAATTTCTCTCAAAGTCCTATTATTTTCAACAACTTCACTTGGACACTTATTTGGAACACTTCCTTTTTTATTCACTGATTTTTCATTAGGTTTTTCAACCAATGCACTTTCGTTAATGTGAATATCATCTTTTGACGAAGTTTTAACTTCAGGTGGTGACAAATCAGCAGTGAGGGTACGAAATAAATTTGAGTTTCCAATTGTATCATTATAACATTCATCATTAGCAATTGCATCTCTTTCTTTGCTGACAATATTTCTTGAAAATTCACATTGCTGGGATATATTTATATCATCTGTAGAAGATGGAATAGAATCACTCGAAGAAGACAAACTTTGTTTGCACTCATTATTTCCGCGAAGCAACATCTTACTTCGTTCGCCAAGATATTCAGAGATGCATGTTGTATTTTGTTCTGTTGTTAGCTTTCTCTCTTTTACACCAGTATCAGTGTCACACTTTCCAGTGATTCTTGAACATCTGTGTAGATTTACACAAATTAAAAACAGGAAAATTAGCTAGCATATACTATGTTTTCCCGAAAATAAGACCTACATCAAAAATAAGACCAAGCCTGAATTTTGAAAATTATTTTAATATAAGCCCTCCCTTAAAATAATACCCAGTCGATAACGCAATTTTTTTTTTTTTTCTCTCCTACACGTTTTAAATGATTAATAATCTATGATATTCAGTTATTTTGACTAAAAACGTGTTAATTATAGGTAAATGGATATTGGTTTTAATATTTTGTTTATTTGAAAATCTCGTAATTCTCTACTTTGTAGTTTTTTTTTTAATAAATGAAAATATAAGACATATCCCAAAAATAAGCCCTTGTGTTATTTTTCAGAAAAAATTTGAAATAAGACCCAGTCTTATTTTCAGGGAGACATGGTAATACTTACTGTCAAGGAATGAAATTCCAGATCTAAAACCCCCACTTCCTTGACAGACAAGCCTTCGCAAAAATGTCATCAATAAAGGTAAAATCATGGCAGATGGTATGACCGGAAGTTACCGCAAGCCATCTTTAAAGAGATCTAGGATTTTTAATTCACTAGATTAGACACTAGTTAGACCCAGGACCCTCCCTCCAGTCAGGGAATTGCTTATGCTTTAACAAAGTTTTTTCTGAAGATTTCTTTTTTTAGGTTTTACCTTACACTCAGATAGTTCTATTCACTGGTGAGTGATATCTCAGTCACGGGTGTACTCTTTACATCACTGTTAGCTTAGTCATGGTTACTTGCAAGTTGCAACTTTTCTATATAAGTACTCTTTTAACTTTTATTTAGGCCTGGGACTATAGTGCACAAATCAATGTTACTAAAAATGATTTATGTTATGAAAAAAGGAAAAATATATACACCTTAACCACTTTAAATTAATATTTAATTTGTATTATTCAATGTGAATAAAAAATGGAACTCACATGGCTTTTCTGTTGTATCGTACCTTCCCCAAAGACTTGTGTGAATTAGTGGTGTTGATTAGAAAGTGTGATCTGTTCACTTTGTTTCTCCTTTTATCAAGCCTATCAAATATTTTACCTTACTAATAAAACTTATTATAAAAGATACATAATTTGCATTGAATTATTCTTTATCATTAGTTAATACTCACTTTTTCTTTCGGTCTATTCTATTTTCTTGGGATGGTTTATCCGGTACAGGAAGTCTAGCAATGTATTCAGCTGTCACAGTTGATATGGATTTCGAAGATGTACCGGGGATTTTCTTCTTTTTTCTTAAGGTATCAGAAAAAGGTACCAACTCCTTACATTTTCGCCCTCTCTTCTGAGGTGATTTCATTGTTTTGTGTTTGTCTTTTAAGTCAGGCTGTTGTATTTTGGACCTGTCACCAATACGAGAATTTTTAGCAATTTGGAACATTGGCTTGAACTGTAGATGAGCTTGGCGACGACTAGATAACCTCTTTTCTTGAAGCTTCTTCTTCAAAATTTCATTCAACTTATCAAAGTCTCTTTTACTTGTGGCTGAATTGCATGAAACAGATTTTAGAAGTTGAGCTTCATCACTATCTAAAGATATAGGCTGAAGGATAACAGTTTGACTCATTTGTGGAGCATTCGCACTTGAATCGAGTGGGATATTTTCCGATACAACTTTTTTTAGCAAAGTTGAATCAGATTGTATGTCTTTTGAAAACTTTCTAATATCTCTTTTTGGATTGACACTTTGTTCAGATTTCAAGCTAATTGAACTCCTTTTTCTATTTATTGCACTGCGTGTCTTTGTTCCTGAAACTACAGATTGCAAATTATCTACCTCAGTTAACTTTTTTGAATTTTCCATCAATTGCTTATAAGGAAGTTGATTTTCAGTACCATGCTTTGGGCCGATAATTTGAGATTTGTTTACAATATGAGAAGATGGAGCTGAACGCAATGGTGACAATTTTTTGGAAGATGTAGTTGGTGTATTACTAGAATGTTCGAAACCTGTATCTTTGGTTTCACCGTATTTTATTTGTGATTTGCTATTTTTTAAACATTTCAACTTTTCTTCATTCAAACTGTCATCACTTGAGTAAAACACATAATCTTCATCAGCCTTTTTGACAACTTTTTTTTGTTTTCTGCCGGATTTTCTAGTTGTTTCAGTGACTGATCGCGAATAGTCTTCCCACCACAAATCGTCTGCGTCCTCTTCAAGATCAGTCACTTTTTTACTTTTTTTGGCCTCATTTGGCAGCTGTTCTTTAATTTTCACTGGACTGGAAACAGTTTTACATGCTGTCTTTATACTTTCATATTTTGTAGACTCATTTTTACTAAATGCACATTCATTAGGTGGATGACTTTTAGCTCCAAGATTAACAAAAAAACCTGAAAAAACTTCCAGTATAGAAGCTCCTGCTTTTTTCCCACTCCAGCATAGGCAATTCGAACACATCATAAATTTGACCTGAATATAAAGTTAAAATAAAAATGAATAAAGAAATGTCATTTGGCACTGTGTGAATAAATCAATGTAATTTGTGAAAAATATAACAACAAAAGACAAAACAGAAAGTAACTAAGTATACTAGATAAATAAATAAGTTTGAAAAATATAATACTGCTACAGAAACAAAAAGAATAAATAGCAAACATAATAGCTTTTTTACTCACTAGGAATTGACAAGATTCTTCCAATTGAACATGGATTCCGACACTTCTGCAAGTTTCCATATGTTTCAGGAGAGTTTTTGCATTTTTCTTCTTACATATAAGTTTCATGTAAACAAATTTTAGATCTCTGAATACAATAAAGACAAATCGTAAGTTGGTTCTAAGAACAGAAATACTAATTTAAATGTAATACTACTTACTGAGAAACGTTTTGAATAACAACAGAACGTCTTGAAGATGATTGCCCAATATGTTTGCTTCTATCTGTAGTTACGTTGTCATCTTTCATCGATTGATTATTGAATATAAATATAAAACACTGATCCAACTTTGCCTGCAATCCCGTAAAAGTTTAACTAAGTTAAATTGTAATAAATGCTACATAACCAGGGCTGGGAATTTCAGGGAAAACACTTTAACCGTTAACCGGGTAAAATTAACCGGTTAACCGCCGTGTGGCGTTTGACGTAATAATTTATATTTTCAGCTTGTTACGTCACAATGCTTATAAAGCAATTTCGCATGTTCTTATCCCGGTATCGCTTATTAGAATTTATTCACGAATCGAGATAGTTTCATGATTTCTCTGCTTCAAGAGATAGGCAGCGTGGTTCGGGCGTGTTGAAGTATTTTAGAAAACCTGATTCCGTTGTTAAACGTCATTTATGTGACAAATTATCAGTGTTCGATGTGCGAATTTTACTTCGAGATATATATCATAAAGAAAACGGCATCAACTGCGCACTTGTTGTATGACATTGAATATCCGATTTTGCAATGAAATCGTGAACAATATATTTCGAAATCGACCGAAAACTGATTCTGAATTCATCATTGTCAAATTTCCATAATCAGCAATCTTTGTACTTCCATTATTTTCACATTTATTGAGTCCTCACCCACACAATTAGTAATATTCTTTTGAATTAAATGACACAAAAGATAAATTTGCGATGACGTAATCATATTTGAAGAAATTGTACGGTATGAAGATGATTTGTACCTGAGATGTCAGTTAACGGTTAAAATAAATCGTAACCGTTAACCATCTGAAATCGGTTAACCGGTTAACCATTCCCAGCCCTATACATAACTGAATAACATCACACACATTTATGAATCAGAACAAAATAATGTGCCTTGGTGTTATGTGTCTGAAATTGTGAGCAGAAATGCAGAGTCTGAGAAAATTTACAATCGAGTTTGGCTCCCACCGAGGATGTTAAAAACGACGCCATATTTCAGAATGTTAAAAATTTAAACTCTAGATTCCAGGATGTTCAAAATTTAGATTCCATACTCTGGTATGTTAGAAATTTAGACTTCAGACCCTAAGATGTTAAAAATCTAGACTCCAGACTCCTGGATGTTAAATATTTAGACTCCAGATTTCGGGATTTTATAAAGTTGGACTCCTTATTCACAAATGTTAAAAATTAGACTACAGATTCTGGGATGTTAAAAATTTAAAATCCATATTCCAGGATGATTCCAGATTCCGGGATGTTAAAAATTTAGACGCCAAACTCTAGGATGTTAGAAATTTAGACCAGCTCCGAATTCTAAGAAAATACAATTTTGACAACGAGAGCTTTGGTCAGGGTTGTCCAAAACGAATCGAATATTCAAATGTATTCGAATATCAAAGTATTCGAATACCTTTTCGGCTGATTTTCGAATAATTCCGAATAGTAGCCACTTTTCGCCGTAAACACGGTGTTTCATTTTATTGGAATCTTCAAACGACTTTTTACGCTTTCTCACGTATTGTAATGCCGATGAAATAGAATCCGCACTTTGATTGTTTATATTCTGTGCGACCGTAAGTCGCATGGTTTTGCGACACATTTGCACGTTTGCATGGGTGGACATTGCCGACATTCGTCTACGAAACTTTTTAATTTACACATTCATTTCCATTACGTCGAAAAATTGACATATATTTATAGCCGTAATTGTTACGATATTCAATGAATGTCGCAAATTGAAAAAACAAGTCCATTTATTAGGAAAAATACTTTGACCCGCTTTGTGGCAAATAATTTTGATAACGATAGTTAAAAGTAGCGATCCTTTACCAGGATGATTTTTGTTGCGCAAAATAATCCAATCCATGACCGATAATAGCTTTTAAAATGTCATGCCGTATTAATTTAATTCTATTCAACGTAACGCATGGTTGTATCGACAATCAGTTAACATAAAATGTGTGGTAAACTGACCGATATTACCGGTAGTAATTATTGATTCCTATTTTCATATATATAAAATAATGAAAGTATTAATACCAAATACCACGGGTATTTGTGGACATGAAATGTATGGTAAACTGCCCAATTATAATTAATTTCGGATTCGTATTTACCAAATATTAAAACTATTATAACTCTAAAATAAATCGGCGATCTGTGGACTTGAAATGTGTGGTAAACTGGCCGATATTATTAATTTTTAATTCGTATTTACTAAATAATAGAAGCATTGATACTCTTAACATATTCATATTTACAAAATAATAAAACTATTATAACTCTAAAATACAACGGCGATCTGTGGACTTAAAATGTGTGGTAAACTGCCCGATATTATTAACTTTCGATTCGTATTTACTGAATAATAAAAGTATTAATACTTTAACATACTACGAGAATTTGTGGACACAAAATGTGTGGTAAACTGCCCAATTTACCAACATTTGAGGTATGTTAATAAAATTAAATAAACATGGTAAGGCATTTTAAATAGTGGTATCGGTCATGGATTCGAATATTTTGCGTAGCACAAAATCATCCTAGTAAAATGTCCATACTTTTAAATACAAACCAATGGCAACCATTGTCCAAATTATTTCCCAAAAAGCGGGATAAAGTATACCTAAATCATTTTTCCGACTTGTGACAATTTTTTCGTGAGTATGAAAATAAGAATCAGAAATTAATTATATTCGGGCACAATATCACGGCAATCTGTGGACACAAATTGTGTGGCAAACTCGCGATTATTATTAATTTTTGATACCTATTTTTGTATTTACTAAATACATTGGCGATCTGTGAACTCAGAATGTGTGGTAAACTACCCGATTATAAATAGTTTTTGATTCCTATTTTCGTATTTATAAAATAATATTTATCCAGCTTTTTGGCAAATAATTTCGATAATGGTTGGTATTTGAAAGTATGGGCGTTTTACCAGGATGATTTTGTGTTGCGCAAGTATTCAAATCCATCACCGATACAACTATTTAAAATGCCTTGTCATATTAAATTAATTCTGTTATCATAACTCATGGTATGATTGTATTTATTGTATGGAAATTCCTTCATACACTTAGATAAGCTTCCTTAACTTGATTTTATTTTCGAAGTATTCGAAATACCCCATTCGAAAATAATAATTTCGAATGTATTCGAAATAGTGAACTATTCGGTATTGGCCATCCCTGGCTTTGGTGTATGCAAGTCTTTGTTAATAGGCTTGTTAAGAACTCTAGGTGAAATTAATGTTTTTTTCGAGTTTTGGTATGACGTTATGACTCCTTTCATCACCACTGCCACTGAAAGTCTGACTCTAGACTCCAGGGAATTCAGAATTTTGACACCAAGGACTTTAAAAAAATATGATTCTGGATCCAACTACCCAGCGGTTAGTTCAGTCTGAAGCATTCAAGATTAAAAAATAAAAAATTAAAAATCTATTTAAAAAATCTTGGAATAAAAATATTCAGGAAATTGCCAAAGTAATAAGGTTGCATCAGGCTAAACAGCACAATTATATATCATTCCTTCACAGTGTAAGTAGATATGTGTAAACTCTTCAATGTCTTATGATGTTTTTATCAATATTTTTATCATAAACAGAAAAACTAACCTTAACGAAAGAAATCAGGTTGATCCAGTTTTCCAAATTCACCTGATCATTGTATTTGGTTTTGAAATCTGAGAAGACTCTGTGTTTTGTAAGTAGACCTGCCCAAAATACTTGTTATAATATCTATACTTATAATGGTTAGATTATGGACTTTATTAACTATGTAGGCATCACCCACTACCTCAACCTGGGTGTAATAAAATGAGTAGGAAAAGTCAAACTTGAAAGATCCTGGTCCTTCAAAAAAGTGGTAGCTCTTTGCATAATCGGTGGCTGCTTGCACAGAGCCTCGTTCAGGATGAAAGGATTGTGAACATATGAAAAGTATTGTAATATAGTAAAATGATACATTGGATTTAGGATTGAACCAGTAAAAAAGGGTTTCTTAGATATTCCTCAGACATAAGCTGCATGGATTACACTCGTATATGACGAAACAAGGGAAAAGGACAGCAAATGCAGAAGACATTTGTAAATGTCATCAAGATACTTGAATCATCTATTTACGGGAAAGCACCATCTCCATGGACACAGAAGGAGAATGGCAGGATTCTCTAAGAAAAAGGAATATAAATAAAATCAAATATTACTCTGACAAGCTTTCTGGAAGCTCTGTACAATATTCATTTGTAACATTTTATTCTGCTTTTCCACATCGATCCAGAGTTGTTGAATTTCCTTCCATGCTGCATCAGTTGCTGCAAGGAATAAGAGTCAATTTTGAAGATATGACTTAAAAAATACAGATGCTAAATTAATATTATATTTCTAAACTGGCCAAGATGATCTATCAATCTATAACAAAAGAACTTTACCAAAACACCAATTACGATGGAAAACAGGTGAAAATAATGTTATTTCATGAGGCATCATAACAATCAAAATTAAGTTCTGCATTTTTCTGTAATTATGGCTTGTAACAGGCTGTAACACCAAAATGTAACCACTGTGATATAGCTGGTATAAAAGTCACTCTGAGAAAACATAAATGAAAAAGGAGAACATGGACACAGTGAATGACGGTAATAACAAGACGTTGTTGTGAGATACACATCTCAGGGTGAGAAAATTCAAGTCGGAAAAGTAAATTTAAATTGTTAATGTTGAATTTAGGCAACCTTCGATGCCTAATACCTTACCTTGATTGGTCACAAATTCGGGTACATGATTGTTTTCATGATAACGCCTCCACAGCTCCTAAAAATTTAAGAAGAGGAAAATTTAGTTGTCCTGATGAAAATATGATTGACAGAAAGCATCTTTCAGGTTTGAATAAACCAATTTTGCATATAAATTTGAATGAAACGAATAATTTGTTACAGCACTTTTTGTCGTATTGTGTATGTACGGTAAGGTAAGTGTATGAAGAATAATTCAAGTAAATATTTGCTGCCACTCATTCTGCTGGAATATGTAACAACATTGTTGATCAAATTTTTTCTAGAACTCTTTTGTCATATTGTTCTACGGCCTTATAACATGCATTCTGTGCTAAACTTTAGTTTCAGTACATATTGTAAAACTGCAGCTTAGCAAAAGTATTGCCAATTAGATTATGTTGTAAAGTTAATTTTATGATCACTAGAATATATATAATTACTGCATAGCCTACATGTCAGAAGACATTAGCATAAAAGAAATATCACCAAAAATACAAAATTTTTGTTTTTCTATGTAATTCTAAAGCTAGATTAGAGTGCAAAAAGGAAATTAAGGTACTAGGAATGAGCTTTAGCTATATCAAATAATATTGACCTAAAATAAATAGATAATACTATGCGGTCTTTATCTTTGGAAACTAAAATTAGCCCCATGTCGTTTCATTTTATAAATCATCCCTTTCAAACCAAAATCATATGTTCCTCAAATATCAAATTGGCCTACAACAAGCCTGGTAACAAATAACTGAATGTATAGCATAAACGGTTAAATGCTAATATATTTCATGATCATTACTGGGCAGTTTTTGATTACACTACTACAATAACTTTTAATCCATTTATTCATTTTTCAAGAGATTTTTTTAAATTTACCTTGAACAAAAATTCTTTCTCTTTGCATAAACAACATGTTGTAGCTATTTTTCTGATTTTTTTGATAGAACCAGCCGGATTTTCTATTAAGATAGTCACAAGATCAGTTGTTATTCTGGACAATGCTGAAATAAAAGAATCATATATTTAATATGGATCTGGAGGAAAAATTTTGGAGCATAATCAGAAATATAGATAAACAACAGACCAATGAAGAATATTAAAAAAGCCCATTTATTAAAAAAAAAAACTCAAAAAAAAAAAAATTTATATACAGCCCAGATAAAAACATTGCATCAGAGCTCTTACTGTTAGTGGTAGGATCTACCAAGATTCAAAAGTTTGGACTTTCCATGGTCTTAGATTACTTACACCACTACTTACAAATGCCTCTATGCACTGGAAATAATATACAGAGATCAGGGAAACTTGATATTAATTTCATTTAAGCTATAAGGACAGAATTATTGAAAAGTCTTCCCAAGGAATTCTAGTATTTATGCTCTAACTTCACCGCAAAATGGTGCAGCAAAAAATAATCCATAAAAATGGCTCATGTTGTAATTACAGATATAAAAGAGCCTGTTCGATCATAACTAGACATGGCAAATTGAAACATTTATGCTGTATCGTGTCAAATACATATGGAAAGTAAAACAAGTTAATAAATACTGCCACTGCCGACTAATTTCCCCGCTACAATTCTTACAGCAATAGCAGCAGATATATACAATTCAATCAAATTCTCAATTTTAACTGAATCCAAAAAGATGGATTTACATATTGGTTATTGACTGCACTTTGTTGAATTTATATATTGAAACTTATTGAATATTTATTTGAATCGGTTAAAAACAAATTTAAATTCTGCTAACAAATTTAACAGCTGTAATAATAGCAACAAAATATCTTCAGTTCTTATTAACAATGAGTTGCCATTACAAAAATTCAATTCTGTCATTTTCGGGCCCACAATCAATGATAAATTCAGTATACTTGCAGGGAGGTGGTATAAATCATCATAATCTTCAGAAACTACAATATTGTACGTTGAAAACATCAAGGCAATAATTGAATTTTTGATCATTTGTAATATAGGTTTTGTGTAATAGAAATCCGACAAGGCTATTTTCTAACAGGTTTTAAAATTCCTGGAATTGGAATGGAAAGCTATTAGTTCGATAATCGGATGCAAGTCACTCCCGAACAAATGGTGATAATTGTGTCAAAAAACAGTGGATGAATCTGCAAGGCCTTAATAAAAGTTTCTCCATTAGAGAGCTGTTTTGAGTTTTGACAATATATAAATCACATATTGAAATAAAAAATATGAAAAGCCGAGTTAATTTTGTATGTTTACTCAAAATGTTGTTTGTGCACTTTTAATATTTCTATAATATATTGTGCTTCAGTAAAGACCAAAATATAAAAATATTTAGGTACTTCCCCGGGGAAGTTTGGCAGTAAAGGATACTACGTAATATATGAGAAACTGATAATAAAATGAATGAGGATTTAAAATGCTGAATGAAATAAAAATGTCAAAATAAACATAATTGTCAGGTATTGATAACAGAGATATATTGATCATGCAAGAAAATGATAATATAAGTTTCCTTCTCATACAAAACATTGCTGATTCTGAGCGAGAGACAAAAGTTTCCTGACTAGTCTGGCGCTTCCTACAATAAAAATCCCTAAGTGAATTTGAACAATAAAAAAGGAAGTAAAAACGTATTTTGTATAGCTCTATATGAAGCTATAGTAAAAGCATTCATATAATGGATAACTTAAATTGAGATAAAATTGTTTTGTAATTCCTTTTACATAGGTAATACATTTCATGTCATCTTTAGGATATCGACTAAAGGGAGCATTTATTCAATTTTAAAAATTTGGGCGTATGTGACTGTTTTGCTTTTATAAAAGCATAAATGCAGTCTCTCCTTCGTCCTGATCTATCTATAGGAAAACGTTTGTATGCCATAGTGTTTGTTTAGAAAATTATCTTACCGGTAGAGCAAAAGAGCCATTTGCATATGAACTGGACATGATTGAAAATGACTGTTTTTTATGCTCATGTGGCATGATATGAAAAAATCTCCAAAAACAGTATTTTTTTACAAATTTTCCATGAATAAGACTCTTTCTCAAACTATGCTTATTCATGACTTTCGCTCTGAACAAGCCCCTGTACAAGCAGCTAACGATATTTTCACATTGATCACTTTTATTTGGAAGGACCAATACTTTTCCAGTTCAAGATTGCATTCCCAATTCTTTACAACGAGGGTAGGTAAATGGGATTGGAACCCAAGAAGTGTAACCTGCGATGCCAGTACAGTAAATTCTAAAGTGTTAACTGCTACGGCAGCTAGGCCATCGGGCCGCCCTCAAGGATTTATAATTGGATACAAAGTGGCCATATGGATCGTATGACTGAATCGTTGTTGTTAGTGTTGCTGTTGTTGTTGGGGTGATTTTTTGGTATAGAAAAATATATTCTCATGTAACTAATTGGTCAACCATTTAGATTAGCTATAGCAGATAGCGTATTTTCATACTAAACTAGGCTCCTTGACTCAAACATCTATCTATCGTGTCCATATATTTGAGCATTGTTCCCTCGTTTTAATATCACCCCATAGAAATGTGAATATAAACCTTGAAAAATGATTAAAATAACTACCAATGTTTTACATCATGGTTTACAAAAATAACGAATCATTATTTCAAAAATAATTGGCCATTTTTTAGTATCAGAATAACGTTATGGATTGAATATACCGTAAGTAATATGAAAACTCGGAATTTTTTTTCCATGGGATGTTTCCCATGTTTACTCCAAACAAGGCTCTTCATCACTTACTCTATTTAATAATGAAGATTCAATAGCTCTCCAAAGTTTAGAAGTTGTCAATGAATTGTTCAGTACTTAACATTTTAATTATGCAACAATCTAGTTTCCTATTAATTATATCAAAACAAACGGTGCAACTTTGGTATGTGATCTCAGCGATTGTGTGGTCTCAGCGATTTTAGTTAGAGTTAGGAACTGAATTCTATGAGAATGTCTTTATGAGAATAAACACATACTTTGGCATAGGATTGAGATCATGTTAAGCAAGTGAGATGGCATACCAAAGTTGCACCAAACAAACATTATTGAAGTCTCCAATCTAAAACTGAATAAAATTCACTCACCAATACAATTAAGAAGTTTCTGTCTGCCCAGATAAAATGCAAGCAGAGCATATTCTGCCTGAATATCAGTCAATTTCACATTCATTGTCCAGTTACTTGGATACTGAGCGGACTACGTTTCACAATTGAAATGATGAAAAATTATTAGGAATAATCATCACCTTGTAACACCTTGTATGTGTTGTACATATGTATAACAACTTTACATTCTGGAAAAGTAAATTATTGATATACAATATTAAAACCATAAACTTAGAAATCTCTAATATTGGGGAAAAATTATGGTCATGTAGAGAAATAGAAAGAAAGTGTGTTGATGGAGATTGAGACATAAAATTCGAATTGTAAGGTAAATAATATTTCCTGGGATTGGTATATAATGTGAAAAAAACAAAGCAAAACTATAAAAAAATATGTAACATTAACCTGCACCTACACTTACTAAACAGAGCTACAAACACACCGAGCCTCAAAAAGATGACAAAAAAATAGAAAAGCACGAAAACATAAATCAGTTTACATATGATGTTGGTGACATGTTTAGTCAAACAGGCTCTTTATATCTTTGCTCCAGACAAGGCACAGGACTAGTCAGTAGTCACTGCAATGTACCGAGCTACCATAGCTTCAAACAAACTGAAATGCGTCTGATTCAGCATTGTGTACCCATTATTTTAACACATATTTAACAGTGGGGTAGTGGGCATTGGGTATAAACCATTTTAATATTTTAACCTATTGCGATTGTTGCCATTAAAGCGTTAAAAGATTTAGATTATTGAAATAAACATTAAATATTGACAAAGTAGCATTTCTTTTGTTAGTAGGTTCAGTCGTTCTCTAAATTTTAGCCAATTAATATCGTAAAATAAATGATTTTAGATAATTATTTACACAACCAGCAGTTGGTAGCTTCATTAGTTTCACTCCATTAAAAGTCATAAACAACGCTTCATGAATTGTATAAAAATCAGAACAGTCTTTTCTGAGACATAACTGACCAGTGACCATACATAACAAAGAAACAAAAATGTTGGTACACTGCGTCATATGATATACATCCTCATTCCTCATCTATATATTTTTGTATTGATCAGGTCAAGGCCAAATCTGACTTGGTTTTGCTTTGTCTGAAAAGGGTCTTGAAATAATGATAGCTTGTTTGGAAACATTCAATGCCTTCATTTTTCATATCTGAAGTAACCAAAGAATCAGACTATGTTTCGTAGTGAATGATATTGAAGACCTTACCAAAAACCATCCTTTTTTAATTGTGTGGTACATACCGTACTTTGTCTGTACGTTCATTTACTCTATTATGTATGTATTGTGAAAATCAATGTCAAGAGATTTGTGAGGACATGTCTTGCTAATAAAAGCTCGGAATTCGCATCCATGGGGTAAATATTTAGTTTTTGAAAAACTTAATCATAAAAAGCTCATTGACAAATAATTCCTTGGGAACCAGCTGTTAATTTTAAATGCCATCTCAATGCTTTTTGGGGGATATAGGAATAGAAGTTAAGGAAGACAGGGATTAGATCATGAAAGTCAATCTATTTGCCTCATATGGCCACAGTAATTTCAATGAAGCGAGTTCAAATACCACTTCTTCCACACACATTGCAATTAAAACCTATTAAACGATTGAGAAGAGATACAAAAAAGACGAGACTTTCATTTCCTTAGCATAAGATATAGCAGGTAGATGATAATGCTTGAAAGTTTAAACACATTAACTTTATATTTGTCTTATCTCTAATTCTATTCTCACTTTCCAGCTGATTCGTCATTACGTTGTTATATAACATACATTCCTATTATCTATAAGTTGCTGTTGTTGAATTTTGCTGATTTCAATTAATATCAGCTACAATTTTGATTTTGACAACCTGAGCATCAAATTGTTTTCCTTGTGAGTAAATGTTGATATGTAAAAATTTTCCATATGCAAATATGTGCAAATCCATCACTAATAGCGAGAAGCTGTTGAATCAAAATAATTAAATTTTTATTGTTCTTATTTTGATTTTTAGCAATATTTAAACCTCGAACTTATATTGATTGGTTCAGAGGTATTGCATGACACTTTAACGAATTTTACTCCCCAAGTTTTTGTATTGTTGTACAAAGCTCATCTGACTAAGCCTGACTTTTGTGAAAAAAAATTAAATGCAAAATAAAATTAATGGAAGTGTGAGGAAAAATTTTCAAACCATGCTATATAACCGTTTTGATTCGTACTGTGGTTCCCATACAGCCAGTGCATACGGATTACTAACAAAAAGATGAAGAGTTGTAGTAAGGTCCAAAATCAACCATATACCCAAAACCTGATTGTTTACTTTTTAAAAAAAAAATCCTCTCATATCTTAACATTTACATAACAGTCACTGCTTGTCCAGGGCCTCGTTGAAAGCAAAAATTGTGGAAACATACCGAAAAACTTTTACAGGATAACTTTCCTTTGTCGCTATGAGCAGTTTTAAAATATCCAAAAATTAGTAAGATATGGGGAATAAGGAATTGGGAGAACCAACCTCATACCTAGCTTTTTACTAATTAATTTGAACTGTCATATGCCCGTCACTCTGAACAAGGCTGTGTTCAAGCAACTACTGCTCGGTAAGGAACCCATTCTTGTGCCAAACTTTTTCTGAATTAATTCAATAACTTTCACTTTTTTTAAACGCCGGTTCATATGCTCTTCACTCTGAACAAGGCTCTGTGACTCTATTCAACCAGCCACTGCTAGGTAAAAGCTAATATATTGAGAAGGGTCTCTGAGTTCAGTATTGCCTACTCAATTTATGACAATCTGTGGGGTGGCATGAGATTTGAACCAGAGATTTTTAACCTGAGATGCCAACGTAGTTAAGTCCAGTGCTTCAACCACAAGACATCCACAGGCACCTACTTTGTTTTAAATATGTTGGAATTAAACGATAGTGATGTCCAGTGCACCATACTGGGCGTTTGGAACACACCTGCTAGTGCACCATTAATAGCCTGTGTGAGTTCACAGGTTTGAATCCCGTGGCGTGAGTGATAATTATATCAAAGAAAATTACTTCAACACCCAAATCAATGCATATATGTACCACTACAACACTGATATAAGTACACGTTCTCTTATAACTTGTGCATCTTCAGTATGGAAAAGTATTCATTAATCATTATTATTTGCAATGAACTTATACTGGCATAACTGTTGAACATAGCAGCTTCACCTATCAATATAGGATTGGATTAACATAATTATTCCTGGGAAGAGGCCGATGAGAAAGCTTAATCATATGGCGAACAACGGCATCTCGTCCGGTTACCAGTCTATGTCGTGTATGGGATTAGTTAGCCAGTTATTTGTTTTCAGATACATGGACTAGCGGAAGAAACAGTAACCGACCAGCAGTTATGTTAACCACCCTACCGCAACGATGAGCCCAGTAACACTTTCGCACATAATTCACCTCGCATGTGATCCAAACCTTCTAACCCCCACAGGGCAATCAGAGGTGCTGTGGCGAGCGAATTCCTAACACTACTGCACTAAGCACAATGTGCCTATACATGTGTAATACCTAAACACCAGGAAAACAGAGAAAATCTATTTTGCTATCTCACATCTTCTCTACTTATGAATTCCATGCACCCGGAACGAATAACTGGTAGACTATCTGCAAACCTGACATGAACTGTTACCCAACCGATAGGCAGTGCTTCGGCACCTTATGATTAAGTCATCTTATAGACTTACTGCTCCACCAGGCTAAATATAATAATAATCTGACACTAAATATACAATGAAATATTCTTACTAAAAAAGCAATCATCAAAACATTAAGTGGTCATTTTGGTGTCACCCTTCAAAACAAATTTCAAAAGGAGGCTACCACACACAGACATTGTAAAATTAGTCTTTTTTGTATACATCAGCACTATAGACTGGTAGAATTCAACATTAGGTAAAAATTTACTTAGAAATGCCAGTAATTGCCGTATCATATCAACGAAAGTCAACCTCAAAATAGGAAAGTAAATTAACTAAATCAAATTTTACTACAAAATTTCACTGAATTTACTAAGTCTTTTCCGAGTGTGGTATTTCTAAATAAAGACGGAAATTAAACAGTTTACTGATAACTGCACTCATTATCATCAGGTAAGCATTGTAAATTTCGCTATGCTAAATTGCAATTCCCAGCAAAAACTACATCGCGTTATGGACAAGATCATTTATTACCGTACTTCGACTAGCCTGTCTGCCTTGTGGCGTCGCTACGGAACGTTGTGAACAAGCTGCGCGTCTATTAAAGCCTGGTATGGTGAACAAACAATTATCGGGCGAGTTACCCCCAGAAATTCCAATGTCTTTTTAGATTTAGAACAGCTAGAGTTGCACAATTTCGTTTCGAAATCCCACAAATTGCAGCTCAAGCTTACGAATAAAGGCATTTTTAGACGACGAGGTGGACAGAATGTCCGCCCGTAGTCACGTGATCTGACAAACCCTCATTTTCGACGCAATGGATGCCGTTTCTAATTGTTGGTTTAGTCGTTTATTATGGTACCTTATCGCAAGCCTAAGATTTTATTGCAAGTTTACAATTTGGAAATTTAGATTTGTCTATGAAGGCATTGTTTTTTTAACATTTTATAAACAAATATTGCGTTTACTTGCGGTATAAATATAAGCTTGAAAAAAGATGGCAACCGAAATAGACTGTTAGCAAAAACGTATGCTTAACTGGAATTTTTCCGTTTATACATGTCTGGCATAATCTTAGATAAAATTTACAATATGGTGTTATGAATAAAATTATTGTGGCAGAAAATTTAAACGTTCTTGTATATAAACCAAGCACCTCGGTCAGTCCTTGAAAAACTATGAAAAGCTTTGCCATATATATCTACTAGTTAGCTGCCTTTCAATTTCTGTAGTTGACCTCTAGAATTTCACTTCAATTCCCAAATTTTAACATTTTTTTTTTGTTTTTGTAACTCTGAAGGCAGTGTGTATATGAATATATTCATTTTTTTTCCTTAAATTTCTTTTTAAATTTCTTAATCTGAGTAGAACAGCCGCTAGTTTTCATTTTATGTCTCTGTGCGCTTATCAAAATAGCAACACTTGTCGATACCATTTCCATGCTATAAGTTTTTCTTAAACATTCTCCCAGATAATGAAATTTCCGCCCACCTAGCTGTTTCCTTGACACACTTGCTTGTATTTCCATAATCTTCCGTAAACATATATAGAAATCTTTTAATAAAATAGTATGAGGAAAAAATATGACTTTGAGACCCCAAGTAGGGTTTCTTTACCCAGTGACGTTTTTGCTTATTTAATTCTTTGAAACCGTTTTTTATTTCAAATTTTCGACAATCGTACATTATAGTTTCATCGTTTTACTATTTGGCCAACTGACAAAATTCGCCTAAAGGGTGCAAAAGTTTTGGAATAAATTATATTATTAGTAATTAAAATAGTATTTCATGACTGAACGCATCTTATAGTGAGAACCATACAAGACAAAATTGAAAACATTGGAAGCCTGTCATGAATGGAAGCTTATTTCAATGGGAATGTTTGAAATTAATGGATGAACCAATGTTACATAACAAAAGGTACAAGACGCACCCGAGAGGAATATTTTGCTTCAAGCTTCAACTTCAATGATTGAGCATTTTGACTTATGTTAAAGAGAAGGTGGGATTTTATTATTCCTCATCATTCGTTAGAATGGTTATATTAACAAGTGGGATAATGCGGCTTTATCATGTATTGCGTGTCACTAGCTTGTTTCCGGTTGCTAGTCCAGGTCGGGTATGATGATGATAATAGCTGTAGTAGATAAATGGATGTATACGATAGAAAAATAACATTTAAACCACATAACATGCTGAGATATTCATCCGCAGTATTGGAAGATGCGAACCCGCGCATGAGAATAAGCAGGGGAGATAGATAAGCCCATCGTTTTTCTAACGCTGGATAGAAGGAGCCGACTGCCGACAATATTCCAAAGTGAAAAAAAGTTTCTTCCGTAGGAGCCACAAACCCATAGCACAACCTATATATAGCGAATCGTAGCATTTCGTTTATTACCAGTCGGGTCGGGTATTAGAATAGATACTATATGCTATATCTTGCATTGAGTAAAGTTATATAAACTTGGGCAGTCGAAGTTATGATCTATCACATTGACCAGATAAAATTAGAGTCGCGGGTTACCTATGCTAGTTCACGTGACAAGTTGCGAGACAACTCGGTTTCTGAGGCACCCGAGCCCAGTCGAGTCATGTAGACAATCTTGTCATCAAAAGTGAATATACATAAATTTCTGTTGATTCCGTTTCGTAAGCAATAGACAATGACACGCTCGCTTCTGGAACAGCCTCTGAAATTCTCTCAATGCAACATCTCGTTACCATACTGGAGACTCTTCCAAAACATTTTCGGGAGACTGATACAGGTACTGGTAAGTTACCGTGGCGTTCAGGATACCTTCGTTCAGGATACCTTATTATTTTTGGGGAAATGATGTGAAAAGATCTCGTTATGGATTTCGTGTCCATATATTTGAGCTTATCTCTCTTGTTAGTTATGTAATAGTTCTGAATTTTTAAAGTAAGCAAAGTCAATAAGTTTTGTCGTTTTGCACGTATTTTTGTACATAATAGTCCTATTTAGTAGGGTAGACGATAAACCTAAATTTAGCATTTTTAATTGAAAATTATTTCCAATGGGAATCCCATGGGGTGGGATGGGGCAGAAAAATATGCCCCATGGACAAGTTCGCCGATAGAGATACGCCAATATTTCAAAAAGTAGATATATATAATATATATATATATTGCTGATATTCCGATACAGATACTAGGTAATTATTATTACCTTAAGTGTGCAAGGCAAACGGGTTGAAACAATATCAATGTGAGCATTATCCATAGTGCACAATATCTCAGCTTGAAAAGGAGATATTCCAAATAATAAGAAATTGATGTTTGTGATCCAGATACATTAATTAATTCAGATGCATTGTGTACCGACGCTAGTAGTTTTGATATTCAATTAGAAAATTACTTTGGCTACTATGGATGATAAAATAAATGAATATTTACTTATCCTATATCAAACTGATACATTAATTTGCGTCCGTAGGATTTTGTGCTAATGAAACGTCGTATTTTGTATTTTACACATTGGAAAATCCAGTAATATTCGATTGATATATTTCTTCATAATTACCATGTAATATTCGAAATGTCAATATAAAAATTTAACATCGAAAATGGCCAAATTAGTCGAGCTAGTTTGGCTGATAAATAGCTAAAAACTGACAACAATCCTATTTCTGTTTCTTCTCGCGGAGGTGTCGCTCAGAGTTAACGAGGCAAATTCCGCGAACATGATACCTCACCGCAAAAATAATTCAACATCCGTATTTTAACATACTTTTTAAAACATTCTGGATAAGATTAAAAAGCTAACTATATCGGAAATATCGGTCTTTATTTAGCCGATACCGATACGAATACCGATACCAATATGGCCAAATATGAGAAGATGGAAAATTCACATTTATCCAAAAGAAGAGCAAAGCCGATGTGGTGACTTAATCATATGGCGAACCACGTTATACCGCCCTTACCAATATATGTCGGATGTAGGTATAGTTCACCAGTTACTCGTTTCATACTTGATAACTAGGGAATGAGCCATAACCGGCCAGTGGTTACGTGAACCATTACGACATTGGGTAGTCCAATAATCCTTACGCACATAATTATTTCCCACAGAATCATAACCTGCAAGCCCCTTGTATGGTATACAGAGGTGAGATGACAAGCGTGTTCCTAAAGCTTCCCACAATGCTATTTTCGAATCAAAATAAGAACTAAATTATGTTATCTTTGCTGAGAATAAAGTAACGAAGCAGTGTGATATAAAACTATCATTGCAAAAACATTGCATAGCCATAGCGCATGTATGTTGCATTTATGCTCAATGAATGGTACTAACGACTAAGTGTTCAGACTAGGGTTACCATATCTGACGAGACGCAATCCCTGACAAATTTATATGAGTCATGTTCACCATTTTTGCGAATAAAACACTTTTATCATGGTATGAATGCCGGATAGATCCAAGTACATAGCTGCTGACGCTTACCCTTCAGTAGAGCAAATGAGAAACAAAACGAAAAGAGTAAAATTGATCATTTCACATACCCAAATGAGAGTTGTTCCTAAAACAACAACATTGATGAAAAGATGCACACGAGACTTCAAGGCATATATAGTTACGTAAATCGATTTACAAATGATACTCACTCTCTCTATCTTTCTCTGACTACGCATATTTTCTCGAAGATCTAATGGTATTCAACAAAGTCTTGTTAGACTCTAAAAATCTCAAAGCATTCTTCACAAGGTAAATTTTTAAAGTTGTACTTAATCGTTGAAATTCATTCCATTGTCTCGAATTTGTCACTTTAGTTGGTGAGGAAGTTCCGTGTACTGCATTGAAATGTTTATCAGAACGGAGATCTGGAGATGTGATTATAAATCAGCAACACCTTTGTATGGAATGGAGAAAATGTTCCTGGTTAGCAAACTAACCATTCTTATTACTCCTTCATCTCATCAGTAACTTTGCATTTTCGCATGGGCATTTTCACAGTAAAGAATTGCAAAGTTTAATCTTGACCTAAACAAATTTCACCGTAAAAAATTGACTTTTGCAAAATTCAAAAGTTATATAAAATGAATCAATAAAAAATAACCGGACATCTAAGCATTTTTTCACATTCCTCTCTGAGGAAAATTCGTTCACTAAAGTCCCGGACATGTCTGGGAAAAACCTGACGTATGGAAACCCTAGTTCAGACTCCATGCACATGGCTAAAATCATTGAAGCGTACATTGCCGATCGCTGGCGATTCCTCTTCCACCTGAACGGGCTCAAGTCTGCTCGGGTTGTCTACGACTGTTTTATTATCTACTTTAATCGTGGGTGAAATCTTCCACGAGACTCGTTTTTCGAGTTTATAAAAGGAGATGAGGCCTAAGGTAGGTGTATTAATTTATGTAATTGATTATTTGTTGTTTCATAAAAAGTATTTTGTCCTTATAAATGTGGGTACGTTGTCGCCATCTTCGAAAGTTATATTTGTGGTCCGATTAGTATAATTTAATTCAGTCTGATCTTGGTGTGACATTTTTTAACTAGATACAATACAATCTAGTGGGGATTTTAAATAGGTTTCGATAAATCTGCTCATCGCAGAATTGGGCCTGTACCTGACGCAGCATGGGCACTTTGCGGTCTGGCAGTTGTGGCATATCTCAGTACAAATGGATGAAAGGACGATTACGCTGCAGTTATTTTAACTAGATGTAATTTATAATCATTGTCCGTTTTTTGATAATTTTGTCTGTCCCTGTGCTAGTTCTGTAGTTGATATTCTGATATTATAGAGTTTTTTAGAAAATACATAATGAAGTCTGAAAATTCTGAAATGAACTTGTGCTTAACTTAAATTGCAAATTTAACTTGAAATAGACTTGTGTTACTTACAACCGCTCTGCAACTAATGGTTTCTGTGCTTAATTCAGTATCATATTATTCATATTTCAAGTTGACCATATCTGCAGAACTGTGTAGCTTCACAAAATAAGTTCATGCTTCTCGCCGTCACATTTTCTTGGTGCAATGGTCTCGTTTTTTACTTGACAGCTTGGTGACATTCTGGCCTCACTGTATCATTTTCCAGCATTCCATGGTATCACTGGCTGTTGAAATTCGTTTGTCAGTCTGTTACTAAACACGTGTTAAAATATTGTTCATAATATTTGGTGCTATTTTTCATACACAAATCAAAAGGGGGACAGATTGTATCATAACTTTATTGAATAGCATTCCTATAGATATACTGGCTTTGATTGTTTTACTTTGAACTGAAAAACAAATAATTTCTGAAATTTTTGTTTTAAGTGGAGAAAGAAGCGCATGAGGAGATTGAAGCGTAAGCGCCGAAAGATGCGACAAAGATCCAAGTAGGCGGATCATCCACAACCGTGCCAACCTTTGATAAAGACTTATTTTGTCATCAAAAACAACAAATTCCTGAACACTGGACACATTGATGCAAGCTATATTTCATAGAAAAGCGAGCTTGTCTAATATTGCAGGTTGCTCTGTCGTGAATATAACAAAACAAAAAAAATTTCAGTTCTGTTTTTGTCTTTATTCGCCACAACGATTAATAATAATACAGATGCTAGTGGGTTCTATAAGAAATGAGTCCGGTCGTTGATTCTCACCTACTGACTTAGGGATAGATCAATGCGACTTGAAACCTGCGATGTGAAGTCAAATTCAGGAATGGTAGGGTTTATATGAATTTGCTCAAGCCCATTTTTATCAACTCCAGAGTCTTAAGAATTTTCATCAGTAGGCCTATGATTGTTGCTCATGTGGGATAATGACAGTTTTTTTTTCAAAAAAGCGTGCTCGAATTTGATTAAGGTGCTGCATTCAGAAAGGAGACTAGAAAAATAGGTGGTTTACTCGCGTACCTTGTTTTGCACTGTGAATATAGTAAAGGAATGTACATAATTGAATTAATAATGTTGGCTGGCACCTTTTGAGCGAGATGGCCAATTAGAGGATCGAAAGTTCTTGATAACATGCTCTTGCAATATTCGGTCTGGCAAGGATGGGACTGCAATTTTAGATGGTTCTAATTTATCAGTGTGTTTCTGGTCGCGAAGATGATGCTTGCACATCAATCAGTAAGCACTGTGTACTCACTTGCAGCTATACGATCAACTGTGCTCCCATAGTATGTGTAGCAGGTTAGGTCATGATTTTAGTCCTATTACGAGTTTGGGAACTATCTGTGTTAGGCGAGTGAGTATCCACCAGCGCATAGGTTTCAGTCCATTTTCACAGCTCTATGTAAAATAGGCGAACGAAAAGGTTTTTGCTCATTTTGCTGAACCAAATTTTGGTTCACAACCACTTTATGGGTTTCCGCTTATCAAAGAAAGTTTATTACCCAGAACCTAATGTATTTTCACCTGTTTTTGACTCAATAATAAATCAGAGTAGAAGCATTTGAAGATGGGCGAGTCTTTTACAGTGTGCTATTGCCATCAACACATTATTCTACCTGGTGGTGGTTCAGGGATTTTGCGCAAACTCCTTATTGCTACAGATGAGACAATGACAGAAAATGGGTAACATGCATTGCAGCTAGTGTTATTATAGACGATTTGAAAGTTATTAGTTTTATTTAAAGCGTGTCATGCTAACGCAGTGGTGAGAAAACCCGTCGTTGGCGAGTTCGATACAAAAGAGATCCTGTGCTCAGAATTTTTTTTCCCACCTAACACTATAGATCAAGAGCAAAATGTCATCTTTAAAAATATTTCATTTCCGACCAGAAAGCTCAAGAACCTCATGTATTCTGCATAAACATTTGGAAAGCTGAATATCTTTGTTAAGCCCAGTCACCACCTGGTTTCCTTTAACCCCACAACACACCATGCCATAAATCACTGTATCACATTGCACTAACAAGTCTATATACTATCAAGTCGAACACAATAAATTCACCAATCATAAATTTTCTTGTTTAAAAACATCAGGAACATGCTTCATGGTTGTGATCCTTGTCAGGTAATCATGCTATTGCTGATACACAACTCCATTCAATGGACTCCTATTTTTTCTTCTTATTTTTCTTTCCTCCTATCTTTCCAGCATTTGGATCTTCTCCTTTGACTAGAGCAAGTTGCCTCTTCAGTCCCAAAAGATCTTGAACAGCTTTATCAATGACAGCCTTCTCAAGTTTTTTGGACTTCATCTCACGAACACTATTACCCTGTATAATAAAATGAATACTCAGTAAACAGCAGATTGTTGCTGGACAACAAAGGCAATTAGGTAGTTGAAGAACTTTTGCTATGTCGATTTTAAGCAATAAAGATAAGTATAAAAGTCACCAGAGTATTAGGTCGTCTTCAAATTTTGATTCTAGAGTTTTCACAAATGAAAATATAGCCATAATAACTGAGTAGCAGCCCTAATACCCATATCACTACATTAGAGTGTGTCTAATTTGATTATCAGCTGTTGTTAAACTAGACATGGAAATTGAACAAGCATAAGCGGTCTACACCAGTGATTCTCGAAGTGGGTGATATTGTCATTTTCGAAGGTCAAAATCATAAAATGAATAAAACAAGGAATGAATTTTCCAACTAATTCTATTATCTCCTATTCATGTACCTGCTCTGTGACTTTCTTTTCTAGTTCAGACACGTTAACGTCAGTTTTTACTGAATTATTTTGGGTTGGTAATTTTTCTTTATTCTGCTGCCCTGTTCCTTCACCACAAAAACGTTTTTTCAAACTGTCCATTTCAGCTTCATCCAATTTTCGGAACAATGGCGAAGGCTAAAAAATTAACTATTCCAATAAAACAGATAAATAATAATAGGATCCAAGCCATTGATGCAAAAATCTTCTTCACGTAAACAAGTTTTTTAGATGACATATTTATTAACAAGTCTCTGCACAACCGGTCACTAATATGTACCGGTAATGAGCTACCAGCATAGCCTGCCCAATTTATTCCACCATGGGTGAGGTGGTAGACATAGTATTTGAAACTTGTGATTTTGACCTGAGTTGCCATCATATTCAAGTCCAACTCATAAACCACTTGGTTATTGGTTCTTGTTTCACGTAGAATAAAAATTTGGATGTGAACACCAGTGCTACAATCTAACTTCAGATAGTCGGGAACTACCAAGTTAAATATTTTCACTTCGTTTTTATTAACAGTTTTGTGACTGAGAAGATCATTTTCAAGATGCATTCTTACAGTATCCAATACACATTCATTTTTTTAGTACATCAAAAGCTACCTTGTTTAATTTATGTCCTTCTGGTAAAAACTGGACAAATCTTTGAGGAAAGGTTGTTGTGAAATACGCTGGTGCATTCATTTGTTCCCAAATAATGCGAGATGTAGCAGGCATATATGGTTCAAGTAGAATTGAAAGTAGACATGATAAGTTGACACCTACAGAAGTCACAGTACCAGCTCGTTCCCTAAATATGAATCGACAAATTTTTTTGTGTGTGTCTTGCTAAAGCCATAAAAATAATAAATTGAATAGTTTCTTCCATCTGGTAGTATTGTGGGTCTAATAGTTTTATTCACTAAAATTATGGCTAGCAATAAATTTCCATCTTTGATGAGCTAAGTGTTTTGTTTTTACAGTGACTTTACGGAGAATGTTAAACCTAAATAATTTTACTTATATGACAAGCTTCTAGAACTTATCCTTTGAATTGCATACATTTTATAATTAGTAGTTTAAACGAAATTAATTTAACGAAATTTGAAACATTATAAGGCGAATTCTCCCAAAAGAGCATAAGTGATCTGAATTAGCTTACAGGCAGGACAATATGTCGATTATAGGAATATATAGGTAATTAGGTTTGAATATTATTTATTGCTATATGGAATAGATGGCGATCTGTGGGATTGAAACCAATAATTGATTGTTTATACTTGTCTGTTTCATTTCCTTTAACAAGCTTCCATGGCTGATTTTCTTGAAAATATTGGTTTCCAAGTCTCGATATATTTAATATCTTCCGCAAATTTTCACGCAATCTAAAAAATATATAATGTAATTGTAGATTTGTAATGCTTATGATTGTGATATTGCGCAAACTACAGCAAGTGTATGATCAGATACAAAAACTAGGGAAGAAACACATGGATTCATTCCATCATTCGTAGATACCTTTTACAATGATGAAAAAAATCCTACCTTATTCTATCCATGTCCGCAATATATTCATCAATTTCTCGATTCACTTCGGCCATCAACTCATAATCTCTGTCATTCAACACTACTTTTGGTAATATTCCGTTGAATGCTCCGGTAGTAAATTTCAAGGATCTGCAATAATGGTTTGCGTTTTTTACAGCAAACATTCAAACGTCCTTTGCTCTGAAATAGGCCCTGCACAAGCAGCCAATGCCTAAGTAACAAGCTGCCATACTTTGCAGAACTGGAACCCTTCCGCTAGAACATTACCTACTCATGTATTATTTACCCTATTTAGGTGGTGTGCATGAAATTTAAACTTGAGATTTCAACATTCAATGACATCAGAATTAAATCTTACTCTTTAGCGTACGCTAGCGCAACCACGCAAATATTAGACTAATCAATTTTTTGAAATAGAATCCAAAAGAACTAAAGATCAAAAATGTAATTGCAAATAATATGCTGCTGTTTCAAATATCTGATTCATAATATCCCAAGTCGATCTAGCAGGAAACATTCTACACAAAATAAGATTTGGCAATAAAACAAATTTTCATACCCAGGTAAAACATACATTGTGAGTGTAATGAAAATGAAATCATACCATTATTGATCTTCATTACCTGTTTATAAAGTTTCCTAGATTATTCAATAATTCTGAGTTATTTTTCAACATGAAGTCATTCCAACTAAAAACTGTGTCTTGACTTTCTGGTCTGACATATAACAGATAAAATCTCCAAATATCAGCATCTGTATAAAGACAATGCAATAACAGAGATATATACATATATTAGGAGTTTTAAACTACTAAGAGTAACCTATATTTACCATTTTGAGAAAATTTGACAAAAGTTAATAGCTGAGTCATTAAATGGAATTTGGCCATGTTTTTACTGATACTAGAAGTCGAAGTCCCATATTCAGACTCAGCGTAGTAGGAATTTCAGACTTTCATTGGTAATAATTGAAGGTAAAATTTCCAACAGAAAAGTAAAAAGCACTAATTTGACTAATTATTTTGAATATGCAATTACAGCTGGCTTGCATACACTTTTGAGTTTATGTACCGGTAATCATATTAAATTTTTCAGAGTTGCGGTAGGAACCAAAATTTCATTTATTCCTCGTATTGAGTTTTTCGGAGATGTGGTAGGAGTCGATAATTCCTTCTTACAAGTGTTGGAGTCAAAATTTTAGTCAACCAATAGTCGAATCAAAATTTTTTTTCCAATAAATCACCAAATGTATCATACCAATTCCAGTATCTTTCGCATGATTTCCGAAAACTCCAACACCCCTGCTTTTTGAAAATTTTCCATCTTCATAATTCAAATACTCTGTAACATATTACCTTAGCTATTATTCTTTCAAAGATATGTCAGCAGATGACTTAATTTAAGACAAGCAAGGAATGAAAGGATTATAACATTTCATCAACTGATTAAAATAGGATTTACAGAAACCCTCCAAAATGGTGTGCATGATAATTGCAAACTGAATTACTTAATAGACCAGATTTTTTTTATAGGTGTTTAATACTTATAAACTTCATTCATGATGCATAATTTCATTTGTTAGCTGGCAGTTGAATTAGCTTGCTATGGTAACCACTGATACAATAGCACAGGTTCTTGGGTCAGTTGATAGTCATAGTCACAAAATTCTGCCGTTTTATACAGAAAGATTTATTTTATTATGAAAGGTATTCACAATATTTTCATAGTACTGGTAATTTAATTACGATATAAAATAGGTTTCCCATATTTATCCTGAAGAGAGGAAAGTTGATAAGATGTCTTAACCATTTGGTGTACCACGGTCTCTCATCCGGTTACCAGACCATGTCAGGTATAGAATCAGTTAGCTAGTTTTTTGCTTTAGATGCAAGAACTTGATGGCAGAGGAAGCCATGACAAACCAGTGGTTCGTGAACCACAGTACAGCGGCGCGGAATCCAGCAATAATCTTTCTCCGGAATATAGAAAATCTTAAATTATAGTAGGAATACAATACCTGTGGCATTTAGATTTGAAACGAGTGTGTATTTGTCACTCGTACCCATTAGACAAGATGGAAATATAACAGAATGAAACGGCACATTATCCTTTGCCATGAAGTTGTAAAGTTCAACATTCTAAAATTTGAAAAAAAAATAAAATGATAAAAGTTGATCCACAAAAGTGAAGTGGACAGTGGTCTAAAAGTCATGGCAGTGGGTCAAGCTATCTTAGTGTCAAATTCATGGCCCATTAGGCTCCGAACAAGGACCTTTTATAAGCAATTATTGATATCATATGGTATGAAAGGAGTTTCTATAATTGGAAGGACTGAAATCTGGAAGTTCATTATGCCCTGGGTGAGGTGGTGGGCATGGGATTCGAACCAGAGACGTGTAGCTTATGAGCCACCATAGTTAAGTGAACATGTAGCATTATACTTCTATGCTATTAATCTGTGCTATTTATGATAATTACCTCAGGATTTTTCCACCATTTCTCCCAGTCTTTTGTATAATTCGCGGTTATTGAAATATAACCAATAGGTGCATCAAACCAAACATAGAAAACCTAGAAATAAAATATGAAAACGTTAATAAAAATTTCATTTTAATGATACAGCATTTGCAATTACTATTTATTTAATATTGTAATGAAAACAAAAAATATCATAAAATCAGATATTTGAACTGGCATGAAACATCAAAGTCTTGGGTGTGAATGATCATAGTGTGGCGATTTTTTATGAAGCTGTGGGTCATTCATTTAACATTCGGGATGAACTTTAGTCATAGTCACATTACCATATTATAGCGGACCATAAGGCACACCAGGTTTTAATGCGCACCATCAACAAATTTCCCAGATTAGGGTTTTGTCCATACATAAGGTACACCACACCATAAGCCTCAATGGTTTTGAGGCAGTATTGAGTCACCGCACCAATCTCATTAAACAAAATGGTTATTATACTTGATCCAAAGAAAACGTAAAACGGTAGTTTGTTTATGAAAAATTAATTTTAAGTATAGGCAATAAAGCACTACCTGATCAATACATTATTAGACGCATTGGTTTATAAAGCGCAAAATTCATTTTTGAAAAAAAGGGCTTAAAGTACGCCACTTATACAGTACTAATAATGGATAACTGTTTTTGTGAATCTCATTTTATTCACAAATCTTTTTTTTAATTATTGAACTGCTACTATAAACCCTATTTTTTTTAGGCAATTTTTTTGTGCCTGTTTTTACTTTTCAATACCCAACAGGTGGTGGCCTGGTGCCATAGCGAAACCACTCAATACTCAGCAGTAAATAGATCATCTTGATATAAAATAAGCCAGAAATTGTTGCAATAAGTTATACTGCCAGTAAATAACAATCACCTTGTCGGTATATCCTTCTAGTGGAACAGGTGTTCCCCATTTCAGATCTCTAGTTATGCATCTTGGCTTGAGACCATCTCTCAACCAAGATTCTGTTATCATTTTTGCATTTGCTGTCCAACCCACATTTTCAAATGACTTCTTGAGATGTTCACGAAGTTTAGGTTCAAGCTGTAAAAAAGTGGATACATTTCATAACTAGAATATGGTTTCATGGTAGAAATATGGCTAACATTATACATTGAAAATAAAAAAAATAAATAGGCAATACCTTTGGCAAATCCACGAAAAGATGTTGAGAGGATCGAACTTCAGGTGAAGCACTACACATTTTGCATTTTGGATTCTGTCGAATATAAGTAAACACAGTAAAATACTGACAAAAATATTTGGTAAGAAATATATATTGTTACTAATAGCCAAGAAATCCCCATGTATGAATGGTCATTCCTGGTATATTAAATATTCCAAAGATATATTTTCCTGGAATACGCGATTAGCTTGGTAAAAAAAGTAAAAACCTGTAAATTTTTCGATTTTATCAAAAAGACATAAAACAATGTTTTATCTGGATTTTCAACTTTGTTGGTGTTTGATTAGACTGGTTTGGCGAAGTAGCAATCAACAATGTTAAAATTTTATTGCTTACTTCTACCTATTATCAAATAATCAAGCTTTGACAAAGGTGTCCATCTCGCCACAATATTATTATATTTTCGAATTTATTGGGAAAAAATAACAAAACCCACCTTCAATTCAACAGCATTGATTAGTTTACCACACTTATCACATTGATCACCACGAGCATCCTCATATGTACAGAGTGGACATGTTCCCTCCACGAACCTTCGAAAGAAAATTGACAGTTACGCAGATTCGAATATTTTGTTAGGGCAATCCATGACAGATTTTTAGGTCAAGGTTAGATACAGATGAAAACTTAATGTTCATCGCTGATTGGCCTGCAAAGACTGTTTTGCGCTCTCAATGTGGACTAGCAAATTTGACACTCTAGGAGAGTTGATAACTTTAGATTGAATGACCTGTCTAACCATTCACAAACTAGCCATTCCAGTCTGTATAGTCACATAGTTAGAAACTACTAAAATCCTTTAACTAGCCCGCCATAATCGCAACACTTCAAAAATTACATGTGTAAATAATAGGCTCGAAAATATATACCATGTATGGGTGACCCAAAATACAGATACATAAAATTTCTTAATTAGTTTAACGAAAATGAAGAAAATTTATTCAACACTTGAAATTCTGTTTGTGTATGATGTTACTAAAAATGTAGTCACTGGGGGGCCCTTTTGCAATAGGCAATAGGTTCGTTTTTTTTACCCTGTATATAACTTATAATGTACATCTTTGACTTTATCAAAAACTCAAACTCATGTCTAAAATCTTCACCGTATGGAAAAAAAGTCTTACCTGTCAGCTAAGAAGCGATTGCACTGAGCACAATATAATTGTTCAACAATCTGTGGTTGAAGATATCCATTTCTATGAAGGTGCCAAAATATGTCTTGCGCAATACTGGAAATAATTAATAGATAATGGAAGAAAAAGGCTAGAATTTTTTTCTAACTGAAAATATTTATTTTTATCTTACACAGTCTGTTTTTTTGTTGTTGTCCTTCCAAAATAATCAAAATCGATGTTAAACCAATCATAAACCTCACAATGCAGTTTATTGTATTTGTCACAAATCTATAAAATGAATGCAACAATTGTAGAATACATAAAAACGAAATGAAATTGCAAGACTAGATGCTAATTATTCCAATTTTTAATTCCAAATTTAAGTACCGGTAATAATTTTGGTTGAGTCAAAGTATACAGGCACCATTAAAATATAAAGAAAGTTAGGCCACCAAAATAAGGACATTTTGTACTAGCCAGATATCTAGCGTGATAAACCATACAATACTAATCAGACTACAAAATTAGCTTGAAGAGTTACCTGCTGAGGGGTCACTCCTTCCTGTGCAGCCTTTGTTTCAGTAGCTGTTCCATACTCATCCGTTCCACAAATGTACAAAGAATTCCAATGTCTCAGACGACAGTATCTTAAAATCAAATAATGAATTATTTTTATTTCAAATCAATAACTTGTGTGGATATACTCCATACTGCCCACGACTAAGTTAATCTGATATGAAGCAGTGTTTCATGCACAAAAATATAAAACTGAACTGAAAAATTCGAAAAATGAATCTGACATGGACTGGAATTCGTTTGACCACAAGACTGCACCTATGTAGCAGTAGACCCCACGCTGTAAAAACATCAAAATTTATTCGTCATAGTAATTATGAAAGTATGTAACTATGACAAAATCGGTTTGTCGAGTCTTGAGTTTTGCATGACATTATTGAAGTCCAAGTCTGGTATCAATTTTCTTGATTCCGCAGACCTACTCAAAACAGTATTACAAGAATTATCATAATTTGTCATGAAAAAATATATCACCGGGAAAACACATCAGCACTCAAGACACATCCAATTATATTTCCCAAGTGAGGAATGTTATTTACATATGGCAGGGCACTTGTAATGAGTATGTTCCTCTTTCCAGGTTGAGGCAATCTGAAAACAAAAATAAAAGAATAGTGATGATTATTAATTAAAGGAACAACAATAATACACATTTTACATTCAGACTCATTACATTCATTGGTCATATTTGTCGATATGGCATAAAAAATATGAGTACAGGAATTTGTATTAAACTTGATTTGCGAAATTTACGTATAACACATTATCAACTTTTTGGCATTATCATGATTTGATAAACACCTGTAATTTAAGTCGGTTGCCAGACAGACATATTCTTGCCAATAACAAAAGATCCAAATAAGAAGGACAAACAAAAATGTAATAGGGTATATGTACTTTGATTAAGGATACTTACGATAAAACGAGAGCATAGCCCTGGCCCTTGAGTCCTTGACTAATCTACTATTCTCTTTGTTTTTGTAAGATTTAATTTATTGAGACTGAAAAAATAAAATTGTCTTCAACAATCCGATTCGATTGTTGACTGGCAATTTTAGGGTAAAATATATCAATTTTTTGTAGTGTTTGTCAACAACAAGAAAAAAAAATGTGGCCTTTTCTGTAAAAAACCCACCCTTGACTACAAAAATTGTCTACAAAAAAAATTTACATAGGATGTTGCCGTTCATGGTGTTTGATTCCTTTTGTTCCTTTATTCCATGCTAATTTTGCTTCATCTACTTCGTTTTGAGAAATTTTTTCCACCTCCTAAAACATAGGAAAGTAATGTAACGTTTCGCCCGCCGCACACCATTCAAAATGTGCATGTAGCATATTTTCGTGGGCCGCACAATTTTTGATTGTGAGCCGCATTGTATATATGCTTCTGCAGAGCCTTGTTTAGAGAAACAGGCGATAAATGCATTGTTTAAAAATTAACAGAGATTATTTATCCATTGATTTCCGATTTTTCAACTACAGTGAATTTCACAACTATCTATCTGTGTGTCTGGATACATATATAAAGAAGGAAAAGGGCCCATACCAAGAAAACAAATTAAGACAAAATTTAATATACTAAAAATATTTAAAATTAAAATTGGAACACTTTCAACCACTATAGACTATTCTTAAGATGAGTTGTGTTAGGTTAAATTTATCAGTCATTTTGAATATAGTAGTTCACGATAAATTATCTGTAACTCAGCTATCATTATTAATTACAGAACCCTAGAAATAAGACAAAATATTACCTTGTTTATTTCGCCGGCTGAATTGTTTCCATGAGAATTCATTTCAGATGAATGATATGATTGAGTTACTTTTTGAGATGATTTAAACACAGCAGAGAAATAAGACTGAAATGAATCATAGAAACATAGAAAATCATAGAAACACAAAACAAGTGAAACAAAAAACAATTTTAGTCAATTTTATGACAGAAAGATGTTTGTCTATGCAGCCCATGCTTGATGCATACAAGATAATGTTTATTTGTCTTCCATGACTATTTTTTGCCGTATCGGAAAGAATTTTGTTCGCCTGGGACAGAAGTCGGCAGAATTTTAAAATTGCCCAGTGTTGCGAGTCAAAATTTTAATTTAAATTGAAGGCAATCTCGACCTGAACATATCTGTACTTGGGAATAGCAAATGGCATAATATTGACATAATTGAATATACCGTACCCTTCCCTACACTCAACCAACACTTATTCCAACAAAAGGTCATAATAACGAAATATTAAAACCAGATATGACTGTGCAAATCAGCATACGTCTTGCTTTATATATACACTATATTCACCACTTCGTGAAAACCCCACACGACGTAGCATACTCAATAAAGCACGTTCACAAGAATAAGAAATGTCATCTTGTAACATTATTACACACTTGGCAATGAATATAGTAAATATAATCACGAACTAAATTCGTGTCACATTCAAGCAGTATATATACGGTAATGACCATGGTTATGTATGTCATGATAAATGGCAATATCCTATACTTTGGGAGGAAGCAGTAATAAAAAAGTAAAACATTGATGAAAAATTACCATTTCATGTGACAGCAATATTAGAGCATCCTAATTATAGCTTAATAATATCATGAACATTCATCTCACCTTGAAGTTGTCGACATATTGATCATTCTGACATATTTCATTTAATGCAGCAATAAAAAATGATGACTTCACGTGCTCAAGAATAAATGAGAAGAGAGATGGGTAATTTTTAGATAACTTCGCTGATATAGCTGATGATTGATAGAATACTGGATACAATGTACAAGCAAACACACATTGGAGAACAGGATCCTAGACAATATAGGTTAAGAATGTTGAATTTTTCTTTACTTTAATTAAACAAAACAGCAATGATCTTATATATGTAGGCTACACAAAAGCCAATTGACTAATAAGGATAAAAATTATTAAATTCAAGCAAAATGTCAAAAGAATTAAACCAAATGTCATATATAGGTGTGCCCATTACACAACCCCACAAGAACAACAACATTTCCTTAATACAATCATCCATAGGTCAACTTTATGTCTAATGAAATTTCTGTTATTATTAAAGTTAAGGCGTTCAGGCAAATATTGTATTTATCTATTTACAATCACCAAAACATCAATATTTATTTCATATCTGATCATACAGACATTCAAAAAGCATAAAAATTGCTACTTTGGTAGGCGATCTCAGTGTTGTGCAATCTCACTGATTTTAGTTAGGGTTGAATTTAGTGAGAATGTCTTTACTTGTTCACATAATAATAATAATCTCTTTTATAGGGAAAAACAGAGCAGAAAGAAATTCTAAGTTTTTAAATTATTTTTTACATAATTTAATAGTTATACTCAATAGAACAAACATTATTCAAATTTTAATTATTTCAAATAAAACCTTTTGCAATCCATCTGATTTCCATGCCGACTCAAGTGTTGTTAAAGCAGTTTGCAAAATATTTTGAGAGTCCGCATTTGATTCATTAACACAAGCAGCAGCAATTAGATTTCTAAGGCAGTTATGTTCCCATTCTAACCATCGTAAAGTAGAAAATTGGTGTTTATATCCAGAATGATTGGTGTCGTAAAGATATCTAGAAATAAATAATCAATCCTGAAATTATAATTAAGTTTGTCAATATAGATTAATGCTCAAAACACAATTCCTTGTTAGAAACATTCCAATCCAATATTATTGTTGTTATTCATAGCAACATGTTAAAAAAGCAAATAAATGAATTTCGCCCATTTAAGCTTAAGATCTATTTTCAAAGCCTATTTACAGATGAGCCACAGATAATGATAGCTTTGATACATTGTGCATCACTACCTAATATTGTTTAGACATGTTTTATAATTTTTTTTGTTAATTAAATAGACAATGTTTACTCTACTCAGTTATTGCAAAGAATATTTATGTGAGAGTAGCTGGTGTATGCCCAGTTAAATCCTTTTTTGTTATCTATTATAATCAACTGGGCAAGATCTCTGAGTTTCTTAAAATAGCAATTCATCTGATACAATAACTATTTTAAACGTTTTAGCAGGGTTATTGGTGTTTTTTGACGGTTTTTCACTGTTTTTAAGCGTTTTAGCAGGGTTAATACAGCAATTACAAAATTAATGACAGGCACTCGAATCTGGAGATTTTGTCCAGCAAACTACATTATATCAACAACTAGTATTATAAAAGAAAAGCACATAATATGTCAGTGGCATTAAAATTCCTTGAATGAAAGGCATACTTGCAGAGAACATAATAGAGTTTTTGTCCACCTAAAATATAATAGCCGTACTTACTTAACAACCGCATTCGCAGAAAAGAGTTTTGTTCCTGATGCAAGAGTGAAATTAAACACAGCACCTTGAAAATGAAAATTAAATTTTTTAAATATCGACAACGCAAAATGCAAATAGAAACTCCTTTCTCTCCCAAAAAGGCTGTGTATAAGCAGCCATTGCTAGATAAGGAGTTAGTTTAGATAGCCTGCGTGAAATGGTGGGCATGAGATTTGAACCCCTGATTTCAAACTGCGATGCCCTCACAGTCAAGTCTAACCATTCAACCACTAGGTGACCAGACCCACAAAATGAGTTAGAACAACTATGAGCACAACTATTTATATATCTTGATAATGATACGGTTTTACATATTTATCCCGGAGAAGTTGGAAAGCCAAAAGGAGGGCTTAATCATATGGCTTCTTGTCCGGCTACCAGTCCATGTCGGGTATGGTATTAGTTAGCCAGTTATTTGTTTCAGATGCATGGACTGGATGGTATGGTGAAATATGATCTGACATAGCCAAAGTAGATACAATAATCATAAAGGTAAGGATTCTTTAAAACTTCAATTATGAACAATTACCATCAGATATTTTTGAAATTTTCACATCCTTCTTGAATACCTTGCATGCAACAACTGATTTCAATAACTCTGGTGAAACGGATGATTCAACATGATAAGCCATGGTGCTTTCTTAACATATATATAACTATTTCCAACTGCAAAATTAATCTAAAAAATGCAAAATATGAATACATTTACAAGTTGCTATTAATAATACTTCAAGTAAGAAAATAATATGAAATACTTTACATATTGTTTGTTTACTTCAGCTTTCAAGTATGGACTAAAATGGGTTTTAAATGCTCATTTACTCACATCACATATATGTTTCAAAACTACGTTTAAAGAATATATATTCAAAGAATATCAACATAAAATATGATTCAAAAATACCAGACAATGAAGAATTTAATAAAACAAGTTGACATGGCAATAATATGTATCACCTAAATCATATACACTTTTATAAACTATGCTCTATCATTGTTCAGTTATTTCACATATTTTTTGATTGTGCCAAACATGTTGATGAGATTGCTCCTTTTACGCTGGACATCAGAGAGATCTTTGGCACTAAAAAATACCATCCCAGTACGCTGTTTCCGAAGAATGTAGTTTTGAAATTTCTTGCCGTTTTCATACTTAAACATAGATGACTCAGACGATAGCCATGCTGCATAGAAACACCTCATGACAACTGCCCCAAGACTATTCTGCACTATGTTACCAATTGGTTAAACCAGCATCTTCATAACTATCCTGTTTAAAACTAAACACAGTCCAACTTCAAGATGACATATTTATAAGCCCGATAGGACCCCGTTGTTACATTTCCTTAGTATTAAAAGCACACTATCATTGTATCTAATATCCTCTTCCATTTAATCTCATATAACTTCTATGATTGAAATCCTAATTTTGAGTGAAGTGTCAAATCTTATGCAATGGTTCAGGTTTGACTCCAAACAAGGCTTTGCATACGCCTAGCCTGTGATGTACATGTGGCTATTTATCCATCCATTATCGGTAACAGAATGTTTCTAGTTTGGAATATATAGCATAGCCTACCAATCTATTAAACCATGAGTGGTGGGCATAGGACAGCAACAAAAATGTTTCTACGTTGGCAGGGATAGATAACAGAACCCCAGTTACATATATCCCACGATGACATATGGATCAAGTGTGGTCAATTTAGTTAACTTTAAAATAATTTGTTATAGAGATTTCTTTATGTATGCCATTTTTTTTGCCAATATAATTTTGTCTTGACTCCATTTGTCACTATCTTTATAATATTTCAAATTTTAGGTTATTGAATAATCAAGAGAAATTCTACTACTGTCGAATACAGCACTCGCATCACAAAGTTTTCGTCTCGTGTATGCTTTCGCAACACACTGCATTTCAAATGTAAACAAACCTAACGTAGTTTATATTTCCATCATCAGTTTAAAACTATTAGGTATGTTTGGTCATCTATACAATGTTGGTAAATGCATCATAAGTACTTCTAGGAGTGCATTGGTCAGGGGTTCCCAAACCAGGGGTTGCGACCCCGAATTGGGTCAGAGTGATAAGTAGGTAGGGTCGCTGAGGTATGGTAGAGGATGGATGTACAAAACACCTAAGATTTGACAAACTATGTTAAATTTAGCAGTTTGTACCATGGCTTACTGTAAAACGGGCCCATAGGCATCGCTTGATTCTTATGCTATAGAAAATGTAGGTGATGATTGTGACATCACTGTTTGGTTTTAGCTTATTTTATTTATTACCACCACATGATCAAACTCAAAAGTCCAGTGAAGGAAGCTCTTTGAAAAATATATATATTGACCTGGGGTCGCACTGGACACTTGAAAATTGTCCTTGGGTTTGTCCTGAAAAAAGCTTGGGAACCCCTGACATAGGTCTGTAGGTACTCCTATTGGCTATTTTTGAAAACATTTCGAAATAGCGTAATATTTTTGAATATTCAGATATTATATGTTCTAAATTGAGTTGTTAAATTATCACAAATCACTGTAGCCTATATTCAGAGATTGTTTTTACATTACAGAGATTTTAAGAAGATGTACTTTTCAATTTGGTGGCTGCTTTATTACCGCAGTGCCATTATCACGGGTAACAAGCGTCCGATACCAATTGGGCAGAATAATATAATTTTCTTGATTTTATGAGAATAAACTAAATCATTTTCACAAATCATTGCAGCCTATATTTCTGTATTTAGAGAGATCGTTCTTACATTACAGAAATGTTAAGATGAACTTTTCAATTTTATGGCTGCTTTTCTAGACTACCGCAGTGGCATTAGCACAAGTTTAACAAGCATGGGCTGAGTATCCGATACCAATCTGCCAATTCTGCAATTGGGCAGAATAATATAAGTTTTTCAATTTTATGAGAATATACTAATTCATTTTCATAATTAGGGATAATCTTATCAAATACCTAGGCCAGTAGGCTATAATTAACTAAAACATATTCAAATAATAGATCATAATTGATTTTGGGACATCCTGGGCAAAAGCACTAGTCTTCTATCTTTCGTTAGACTCTTAACCATCTAAGCAAGAATACAATTGAATTGAACTAAAGCACTGAACTGGACCCTTTCTGCATTTATACCACCAATCTAACATAAAACAAACACAATAAGGCTTCAAGCAGTCTTTATTCCCTTGAAAATTTGATGTTATTATCGAGTTAGATGATAAACCACAATGTTTAGGATTCCTTTTGGTCTCTAAGACGCTTGATTCCATATTTTACGGTGGCAGCTGTTGTTGTTTCGGGGACCCAGGCGCCTCCAGCAATTTTTCTGTTTAAAGATTTGCAGTGCCAATACCAACCGCCAATCTTCGGAGGTCATCTTTTCCGCTGGGACCAGTGTACTTCTTGTGTTGTGATACTTCCATACGCTTGATCAACTTACGGAGTGATGCACCATAACGGGGTACCATATTTCCCACAATTCCAACTTCTTTGTACGTTTAGCCATAACTATTACAGTACAAACCACCGTGAAGAAATCCTAAAGCAAAAGACAGAAGAGACGTGAAAACACAACAGCGCCCTCTTCAGGATACTGCCATCTTTCGGCGTGTTAGAAACAAGTAACTTTATGAAAATGATTTTATTTGCATTAATTTAGTAAAAATAGATAAAAATATATAATCAAGTAAATATAACTTATAAATTAAAACTAATTATTTTCCGGTATGGAGAAACTGTAACCTGAAAATGCAACAACTCGTAATGGTGTTGATTCATAACAAACACACGTGTCTTCGTGTGCTTGTCAGCTCAACATATTTTGCTTGGACAGGTGATCGCGACTTCAACCATTGGAACTTCAAATAAAAAAGGATAAAATGGTTGATGAGCAGGAGAAATCGCATCGTGCGGGAATATGGAAACAGCAGAACAAGCCTCATAAAACTGGGAGACATCGCAGCAAAGGCCAAATCGATTTGGAAAATAAAGGCAAGTAGTATACGGTACCTACCATAGCCTAGTAAGTTATTTATTTCACGACCATGTGCACATTAACCTACGATACTTTGAGGCAATATGATTTGCAAGTAAAACCAATCTGGTTGGTTTTTGCAATAATGTAAGTGTGTGAAACAAAAATAATTGCAATATGTTCAGAATATTATTTGCATTATGCTGTTATGTATGTCTCGTGTAGTTTCGTACCTAACGTACTTCTAGTGGGCGTAGCATAACAATTTTTTGATATGTCAATCCTAACCCCCATCTGATTACGCCATCCAAAAATTAAATCGCTACGACATCACAATCACGTCATAGAGCTTACCAAATATACGCACGATCGACCGGAATGGCATTGGCGCCGGTGATAAAGAAATGACTGACGTTATCGGTCTTTCTCCTATTGGAATCATTGCGACGAGAAAACGAGAGAAATAACTGTTCGATTTCGGGTGCTCGTTTGCGCGTCGTGGATGGCAGTTCGTATAGTTTGAAGGGCTCTATTACGTCACTGTGACGCAATTTTTGACATTAGTCAGTTCTTTATCGTCGGCGCCGATGCCATTTTGGGCGATCACGCGTGTATTTGGCAAGCTCTATGGCGTGATTGTGACGTCGTAGTGACGTAATTTTTAGATTGACATGTCAAAAAATTGTTATGCTACGCCCACTAGGAGTACGTTAGGTACAAAACTACACGAGACCCCTGTTTTTTGAGGTACTCTGCTTTAAACAAAACTGTAGACAAGCAGTAGGGAGTCGCTGTTCAGTTTGTAAGATTTGGGATCTTTTGACTTCTGTATAATATTGTCCAATTAATTTGGTACATTTCGAATCAGAAGCTGAAATGTGATATTTTCAATCTAAAACACGCAGAGAGTTGGGTCCATTTTGCTATTTCTGATTTAAATTGGTTTCAGTTGTAAACTTTATCTTGTTATTCAATTCCATAGTACCCTTTGTTGGTCAGACCCCATTGCCAGTCTGGATTTCATGGCCTTTTTGAACGAGAAATCGGGCGTGCAATCAGAAATTCCCGCGTGCAAATAAGAATTCCTGGCGTGCAATTATAGCTCACGACGTGCAAAACAACTGCACTCGCGTGCAACTGACTTTGACATCAGATACCTCTCAATACATCCGCGTAAAATTACCGGTATCGGATAAAAAATACGTTGAATCAGAGAAAAAATGGACGTTTGACCTTTGACCCCAAACATTATTTCTACAGTTTGTCGCTAATTTTGAGAGTGTTTGTGCGACTTTGGATACCGGTACTGTTCAGTACATCCGCGTAAAATTATTGGATAAAAAATACGTTGAACCAGAGCAAAATGGACATACTTTGTCAATAATTTTGGTAGTGTTTTTACGTAGAATTAATGGATAAAAAATACGTCAAATTAGAGCAAAATGGACGTTTGACCTTTGACCCCAAACATTATTTTCATACTTTGTCACTAATTTTGGGAGTGTTTGAGCAACTTTAGATACCGGTACTGTTCAGTACATTCGTGTAAAATTATTGTATGAAAAATACGCTGAATCAGAGCCGTACTTGGCCATTGGTGCGGAGGCGATCTTTTCGTCCATACTATTCTCACGGGATTCCTATTTCCTATCATTCAACACGATATGGACCTTTTCCCGTGCAAAATTGATTTCGCTCGCGTGCATTTTTGCAGAGCGCTAGCGCCCTCGGGCGTGCACCTGCCATGGAATCCAGTCTGGCCCCATTGGATGGTGTATACTTTTTGTATACCCCATGTTTTTAGAAACATAATAAATAAGTTGGATCTGCTATAGTTTAGTTCCACATTACTTCTAGGGGTCGTGGCTCAACAGTATTTGCATATGTCATTTCTGTCCTCCATCTAACTAAATCATCCAAGAATTATGTCACAGTGACATGACAAGGCCCGCACAAACACACGGCCTGTCCCCCGGATTGTGCATACTCTTTCTCGCCGCAACGATCAGTTATTGTCAGTGCAGATGCCATTTCGGGCGATAAAAGCTATACTTCGGCAAGCTCTCTGACACGATTGAGCAAAAATGGTTATGCCACGCTCACCAGAAGTACTTGTGGTGCTAAACTCTAATAGATCCTATAATTTAAAACTTCTTTAACAGGTAGGGTATCTGTGAGGACACTTACTAAGAAAGCCTTGAAAGAGAGAAGAAAGGTTGATAGAAGACATCATGCTTTGCAAATTCGAGCAAAGAAAAGAGAAGAGGTGATTGGAATCTCTAGATCTTGTTCTGTACATCTTTATCAACTGCCTTATTCTTGAAATATTAATTATAAAAGTAGTTTCAAAAGCATTTCATTCATATTTAGAAGGTCTAAGTCGAGTATTGACTCGTCCCAATTTGAGTTGAATATAATTTATGGGCGGGCATCGTTCGCTTTTCTGTTTTTGCATTGAAACACATTTAAGGAAATTTTTTTTATACATTGTGGTAAAACAAGGTCGAATTGAATTCCATCAGTTCATCAGGTTAAGGTATTGTTTCTGACATCTGCCAGAATTTGCCTAATGTTATTCATCCAAGACATTTGCAGATAGTTTCTAGTTTTGACTTGTGGCTCTGGTCAATTCTTGTAAGATGACAACAGGCTGGGTGAGAGTGACACTCGAATTCTGTCTGACCCGAATTCCATGTATGTTAGGCACCAATTTCAATGTTATATCACTTTAATTCTAGGTTTTGAGAAAGAAGCGGAACATTGGCAGCAGGAATGCACCTCCACACCTTGTGGCTGTCATTCCACTACATCAAGATACAGATATTGGGGAGTTGTTGGAGAAGATTCGAAACATTGATGAGGAACAAGCCACAGTTTGCGACTCCAAATTAAAATCTGCTGGATTTACTATAAATGTATCAAGATTGAAGCACCGATTTACTGTAAGCAATAAGCATCAAGAGTGTTTTCTTTTTTCGAAAACAACTAGCAAGTTCAGATATAATAGAAAACTTTACAAAGAATGTACAGACATAGAATTCTTTCTGCGAAAATAGACATTTTCATCTTAATAATAATTAACAGCATCATCCATTGTTACTACCATCAGATTTAACTAACTTTATCAGCAACAGAAGCAATTTTTGATAGGTCTGTGGGCTGTGGCCCACCTGAATATGTTCCTGTGGCCCACTGGTTGAGAACCAGTGTACTAAATGATCTATTTTACAAAAAAATGTTTATACTTATTTTCAGGCGCTCCCGAAGTTATTTGCACCAAGATGGCGCACAGCCTGAACCCTAAACTGGAACACATACTATATTCAGGTTGTGCGCCATTTTGGTGCACATACTATCGGAGGTCCTATTTTCATACCTAAATCAAGTTTACTGTATACAATTTGATATAAGTCATCATTTTGGCGCAAACTTGGCAAATTTCACAAATAGCAGTAATCTTGTTCATTTAATAAATAATTAAATGCTACTCTAAAATATTTATGTATTTTTGGAATATCAAATTTGATGTTCGGTTTAATGAAAAGTCCCAATGGAATCGTTGCTCACAGTATTAATGTTTTTTTAAACGTACATTGTTATTGCGCATATTTATATACCTTGATGAGAAGTAATCGGAGAAGTTCAAATGAGCGCAGCAAATGCTAGTAGGTTGATGAAGCCATATGCTATACATATACAATAAATTGTATAAGAAAAGCAGGACTAAATCCTGTCATTTTTAAAACTAATATAACATAACAGTGACGGCTTGTGTATATAGCCTTGTTTAATCTCAGATGTGAAAACATGTATTAACAATTTTTTTTCTTTATTTCCACAGTTTATTCTCCAACATCTCCATCCTTGCCAGATATATATTGATTGTGGACTCGTTGCTGACACCATATTGTTTCTGTTGTCTGTATAGAATCTGAAGATCCAATAGATTCCCAAGGACATGTTATATTATCAACCCTATTTGCTCAGGGCTTGTCAGCTTCAGGTAGTTAATCAGTCCATTATATTTTGTTTTTGTGTGGTTTCGTTTTCTTCAGGTATTATGATATGGTTATCTTTTAGTACATTCACTGAGCAAGTCTTTGAACAAGCTTTACTCAAGTATTTAACTAGACATTACAGATTAGCAATTCGGCATTACCCAATTAGTGATATCGATGCCATTTGCTAGAAAATCTTTTGTCTGAGGAAAATGTTTGGTTTATGTATTCTAATTATTTGTTAGAAGCTATAATATATGCTTGAACTCAAGAGTCATGATATCTCTTGTTAACCATGTATATAATTTTAATTTTTAATAAATGAAAATATCACAAAATCAAATTCACAGATAGCAAAATCTAGAGTCTTACACAAATTTCTGATTTTTTTTGCAGTTTTGACAACGATGGGTCTCGATAAAGTTCCCATAAAAAAGAGATCAGAAACAAAGAAAATGATTCACAAATCTATTTCGAAGAATTTTCCGGATTCTAAGCTTCATAATGTTGATACAGAACAAGATGTCTTATTAATGCTAAGAACGGTGGGTAGGAATTTATGTATTTACTTATATTTTCCTGGAGAATGGATGAAGATAGATGATCTCCATTACATGTCTGACCATCAGATGTTTAATGTTTAATATGACGAATTTTTGACAAATTTGTTGTCTGAAAATTTTAGGCATAAATTGTGTTAGTCATGATTCCAACACAGATTTTGCTGTTTTACTCGGGGGAAAATCTTTGATATTACTGTATATTGGAATTTCTATTGTTTGTTTAAAACATTCTTGTTTTGTTGAATCACTAAAAATAACATTTTTATAACATTAGATCACAGGACAGAAAATATTATTAGCTGCACTTATAGAACGAGTAGTAAATATGAATTGCTTTGCAAAATTTCAAAAGAAGTTCGAATTATTCGAAATTGTGAAGACTGAATACTGAACTTTTTTTGATTTTTATGTTTTACAAATCTATTTTTCAGGTTGCGGAACAAAAACGAAAGAGTGTTAATCTTCGACAGCAACGACCATATCTATTAGCGGACAATTTTACTTTTGAATGTAAAGATGGTGAAGATAAAGGAATGCTAGCTGTAAGTTGAAATGAATTTTCTCTGCGTATCCAATCTTAGTTCATGGACTTCAACCAGAGATCTCCGGGTTGTAATGCCAAAATATGTAGGCAAGATATGTAGGCAAAAGCTAGATAAAATATATTTATTAGTATAAATGTATAAATATGGTTTGATCACTGTACTACTATCACCAAATTTTTAATTACCAATTCACCATTAGTGGTAACAGACTGTATTTTTTAAACTTTTGTTCCACATGCCCATATATATATATGAACATTAGAACGACCTAGCAGTTGCAAAATAACATTCTATTGTCATGTTTTTATTAATATTGGATCTCAAATTTTTGTTGAATTTTGAAGCCAAAATTGTTTTTCAAATGGCCCGTTTGGACAGTAAGCACTGGAATTTCAACAATTTTCAAAATTTCAATAAGCCAGCTCTCTAAACACAATATGGAAATTCTTCTTATTAAAAAGCATTGTTCGATTTTTATCTGAATATTGCTTTTTCCGTTCTACACAGGTTACTGGATTTCTCCGAGGAGCAAACCTAGATGTAAATAGACTTGTACATGTAGTAGGTTGGGGAGATTTTCAAATAAACAGAATTAATGCTGCTACCGATCCATCTCCAACTTCTTTACAGAGGAAGCAGAGAAAAACGATTCCCGGTGGTGATGCTACGGTTAGTTGCTCTTCAATTTTAATTTCTTCGATTCAGATAAAGATAATCTCTTGCATAATGTTCACATACAAATACCTAGGAAAAAATTTGGCTACTAGTGAAGGGCCTCATCTCAGCCTATCTATATTTTATTTTTTACCCAGATTAATACAAATATTGGGAATTTATTTTTTTTTATTATGTTTTTCAGTTAGGAGTTAAGTTAAAGCTAAATTCTTTCAAGAGTTCTTGTCTTTTTTCGCCTCCTTCCCCCCCAATTTATGTATACTAGATAATAAGTTTCATAGGCTCTTGTAGCTGACTCAATCCTATGCTTCCTATGTCTGCTTCCTATGTTATACCAAGGTCAAAATACCTTAGAAGTAGTGTATCATTATGTAACTGATACATATAATGGTTTGATTCAATAGGTTTACATATTTATCTCAAGATAATAAAGCCAACAAAAATGCCATATTAATGGCTTTGATTAGATTCATGCAAGCTGAAACATGTTTTGAGTTGTGTTTAAGCCTATGGTGAATAAAAATTTAGTTTCATCCAAAAAAAAATTTGTTTCAACTTTTATAGATGGATAATGGTTTAGATACGATATCAATGCAAATATTGATATGTCTAGCCAGGAGACATTGGCAAAATTTGACCCTGATGAGAGAGAAACCCTCGTAAAAGAAGCAGTAATTGATCCACTGGATGCAGAACAAACATGGCCAACAGAAGATGAAATGAAAGAAGCAGAAGAAGGTCAGTTGTTGAGAAGTGCTCATTCTTAATAAAACTAGAGAAGTTCTAGATCGTATATTTTTCGTCGTCGTATGAACGTCAATGGACAATTCCTCAGTTGCACAAGTTTTATGTACCTTGAAATATAGTATTTGCTCTCCTTTTCTACTATAGTAGAAAAGTAGCATGAGCACCTCATACAACGGTTTTCCCTGTTCACCATAGTGTGATAAATTTATTACATTTTGCATGAATTTGTTTGTTTGAACTTAAAACTACCGGTAGCTTATAACGATCAGGGATAGCTTCAATTTTTATCACATTCTTGATTACTCTGCTGTTTATTTAGAATATTTAATGTTCTGAATTATTTATTTTATCAGGAAGTGAAAGTGAATACCAAATTTTGAATAAATTTTTGTTGATCATTTATTTACTTAGGCCATAATTTTATTTTAGTTCTATTATGATTTCGAGGATAGTCTGTGGTATCCAAGTAAAGATCCCCCTGCCCATAGGTTTCAGTCCCTTTATACAACTTCATGTAAAGTAGGCGAACAAAATTAGTTATCTCCATATTGGTACACACACTTCTGGAAGCGCCTATCCAGGCATGTGGCATAAGACACAGCAGAAATATAAATTCTTCATCACCATACATAGTCATACCCTTATCTGTAAATTTCTTTAAACACTATCTGTTGTTCAGCTATAAAAGAGAAAAAGAAATTGGTGAAAAACGTTCCGAAAGGAACATCAGAATATCAAGCTGCTTGGATTCTTGACAGTGACGAAGAATGGGAAGAAAAGAACAATGATGATGAAGATGACTTGGATTCTGATGATGAAATAATGGAGGAAGATGATGAATTGAAACCAACTGTGGAAGAAGATTCTCAGGTTAGAAATGTTTTGTTGGAACATCAGTTTTGTCAGAAAAACTTCTGTATTTTGTCTGTGACATATATTAATCAGCGAATCTTACCACATGCACTTAGTACCTAAATAATTTGTTCCTTTCTCTTGAATTTTCTCTTCAATAAATTGAGATTTTGAATATTTTTATTGGATATGTTTTGCATCGACATATATTAAACTGTAAATTTTACAGACGGTAAATTCAACTATTTTGTCTGGTAACCATCTCTAGAGTTCATATGTTTCATTCATGTAGCTTTCTGGTCATGGTCACCTGCAACATCTATTGCTCAGCTATCTGAGAACAACTTAGCGGTTACAGGATTAACATGTGGCCTAATCATATGGCGAACCACGACCTTTCGTTCGTTTGCCAGTCTACGTTGAGTATGGGATTAGTTAGCCAGTGGTTTTTTGTATTCAGATGCATAGTCTTGATGGGTGAGGAAGCCGTAACTGACCAGTGGGTTACGTGAACCACCTACGCCATCTAGGATTCCAGTAGTCCTCTTGCACATAATTATTCCCCCACAGTATATGAACCTGCGAACCCATGCCATAGTAGATCAGAGGTGCAGTGACAAGCGTATTCCCAACACTCAGCAGTCAGCAGTGATGTTCCACACCGCCAGCCGAGTTGCCAGAAGTACATTAACAGAATTGGTCTTCAGTAGTTCCTCCGTCATTGAATACTCCATTCAGTAGTTTGTCATATGCTGGGCAGCCCTATGAATGTTCCTATTTGATTACAATATTTTTTAACATTTTGAAATTTCCTTTTTTTGGTTTAGGTTGATCCAGATGAATTTGAGCAAATTCGTGTCTCTGAATCAACTCAAGATGATCAATTTGAAACAATGAGTCAGTTACGATGAAGGAATGGATATTGAAGAGGAGGGAACGAGCTCTCGAAAGATTACAGAGAAGAAAGATCTCATAAATTGTTTCCAGATGAAATTGATACCCCATGACTTGCCAGCTAGAGTCAGTACAGTTTATTACAAATCCTTAAACTGCCCTGTCCCAAAACATATCCTGATTTATTAATTTCTCATTTATTAGTATTGTCAAGTTTTCTTTTTTGAAAATTTGTCTACCAATTTTTTTTTCCTTTTATATTCGCTGTTTTGAAACAAGTTTAATAGGCCAATCTGTACTACTCAGATATGTCCATCATGACATCGGTTGATATAATTTTACGGTATATTTTTCATTATTTCTCAGTTTCAAAAATACAGAGGTTTACGTAGTTTCAGAACATCACCGTGGACACAAAAGAAAATCTTCCATTAGATTATGCAAGAATTTTCCAATTTCAAACTTCAACAGAACTAGGAAACGACTGAGAATGCTTGAAGTTGACGAAGCTGTTAAGGTTTGTAAAATCATAAGCATTATTAAATTTTTTTCATAAAAGTTTGTCTGAAAATGTATACACCCTGTATTCCTGTAACGTTTTCAAATGACCAGAATGAAACTTCCCCAGACAAACATGATTCAGTTGCCATGGTTCAATTTTGTCTGTCTGTGAAATTTCAACTTTGTCAGTCATAACATCTCAGAAATATGTGTAAGCTAGAATCATTCAGAACAGAGATTTTTAAAAGGGCAATATTTGCCCCCTGGGGCATTGCATCTTGGAAGTCGGTATTATCGTGAATTTGTTTTGTTTATGGCCTGTCCAAAAATGTCCCCAAATATTAATAAAACTTGTTGAAGATCACTAAGCTAATCAATGTCATAAGAAATACACCATGTACTGATTAATATTCAATTTTTCTTGCAACTTTCTACCATTTTCTACCTTTCTTTGTATTGCTGGGGATGATGATGTATACTGTATTTTTTAAAGTTGGGACCCACTATTATTATCACAACTTGTGGCGACCCACAACAAAATATCTTTGTTGGTTCTATTTTCTTTTGTTTTATATGACATAACACAGAACACAGCAATGGCTAATCATCGTAAAACTACCGTTTTTTTGTCGAAAATGAGACCTGGCCTAAAAGAAGACCTAATTTGAATTTCAAAAATGATTTTAATCAAACCCTACCCTTAGAATAAGTTTTAAAATGTGTGGGAGAGGAAAGGTTCAATGACCTGAGGTAAGGTGATGTTCACAGCACTATTCAAAATTGTGTGATGTCACAATCACAATTATGATATTGTCACTTGATTTTTGTATAGGAAATACAAATAAATACAGTGGGTGTCGGTTTTTATATAATGTTTATTAAAATCTCCTGATTTTCTGCAATTTTATTTTTGATAAATGAGCACAAAAGACCTCTTCCAAAAAAAAAACAGTGTTATTCTTCAAAAGAAAATAAAACTAAATCCTGTTTAAATTTCGGGGAAACACAGTAAGAAGTGCTGTACAGTGTACAAAACTGCTATGCGTAAAAATGCCACATGGTCATTCTTTGTGTAGCAAATTTTTGTTCCTTTAGAGAAGATCGTAATAAAGAAAACTTTCACAGATTAGAATTTAAATTCAATTTAATTTCTTTTGTTTTTTTGAGATTTACGTATTCGAATCGACACCGATCCTAATAACCAGTACAATAAATCGCGACCCATAGTTTGGGAACCGCTGGTATAGGGTGTTTTAATGGGGCGAATGATATATGAATGTTTGAGTACGAGGTGATTTCGAATACCACACACAACCCCCTTGCATAAAACCATAGAAAAAATAAGAGTAGTTTTATTCACGCAGAAGCCCAATTGTTATCACAAAAATATTTACTTCAGTTTATCATCATTTTTACAGCAAGGAATGTATGTGACTCTATATCTTGAAGATGTTCCGAAGGTTTTTGTTGCATCTCATTCATCTCAAATCATTATTTATGGAATGTTTCCTCATGAGCAAAAAGTAGGATTTGTATTGATTTATATTATTGAATTTTAAGACTACTTGACTCAGTACTTTTGTATATCTATTCAAGAACACTTCGTTCATTCTATGGATTTATTTAGTTTGTACAAGTAAATTTTAAAAAAAATTTGCGAAAAACAAATTCTATGAAATCGAAGACAAAGACATGGTCACATTATATGACAATGCTTTTGTCTTAATTGGTCCTTGCATTTTTGAATTCCTGGTGTTTAAACCCAAAATTTCGAAATAAACTGGATCTATATTTAGTTTTTAACATTTTCAGATGTCTGTCGTTCACATGGCACTAAAGAGAGGTCAAGGTCGATATGAAGACATACCAGTGAAAAACAAGGACGAGATGCTATTTTATGTCGGTTTTCGCAGATTTAGAGCAAAACCACTATTCTCACAACATACAAATGGTACGAAATTCATTTGTTATAAACTTATTTGACCCCAGTTGATGTGTTTATTATTCTATTCACTGTGTATAAAATATTTATGATAATTGATCCACTCATTATTATAAATTACATTCATTGTATATAATAAATACTTGTTTCTTAAATTTAGGTGACAAGCATAAGATGGAGAGATATTTACAGAAAGAAAGTGTTTCTGTTGCTTCCGTTTACTCACAAATCTTATTTCCTCCTGCGAACGTAATGATGTTTAAAGAAACATCAACAGGTTAAAAAGTTTTATTAAGAAGAGTTTTACATGGAATTATGTAGAAAAATGCTTGAATATTGGTGTTTCGTTGCATGTCTAAGATGGTTTTAATGGCACTTATTGCTACATTACTTTTTATAGAGCAATCTGTACCTCTAAAATACCTTTGTGGGTCAGCGACTGCGAATTTGCGTCTTTTGACGATGCCCCGCCCTACTTTGTTATAATTAAAAAACATTTTTCAAGTAGCAAGACTTTTCGAGCTTTGTACGCCACTAGTGTTGATAATCATTAATGTTCAAAGTTATGGAACGCCATGAGGCATTCATGCTATAGAATAATAAGCATTGTCTGTAGAAGCAATCGCTAAGAACGTTTTCTATCAATAAGCAGGATTTGTATGTTCAGGTATTTTACCCATCGCCTCTGGAAATGTATTCAAAGTTGATCCTGATAGAGTTGTCACAAAGAGAATAGTCCTCAGTGGACATCCCTTCCGCATTCACAAACATCTTGCAACAATTAGGTATATGTTTTTCAATCCAGGTAAGAATATTTCTTAAGCTTTTGCTGATTTTATTTGTCACCTACCTAAACAGATGCAGTCAGTGTTATTCTACTTTTACAGATGATATTCTCTGGTTTAAACCTGTAGAACTCCGTACTAAATGGGGAAGACGTGGGCACATTAAAGAGGCATTGGGTAAGTACTGCGGAATGTGAAAAATTACACCAGGCTGTGAGAAAATAACTGACCACAACACATTGCTCATGATCACTACCATTGTAATTCTGAAACTATGAATTCAAAATTTCTACTTCGGATCAGACGTTGAGAAGTACTAGAACATGCCATACTCGAGACTCTCCTTGCTATAATTTATTTACTACTCCGCTATTGAAGTTCTGTGCTTGAGTAATAAAAAAATATATTCTTTTCAGGCACGCATGGGCACATGAAGTGTACTTTTGATTCGCAACTTACATCGCAAGATACAGTTTTAATGAATCTGTACAAGAGAGTTTATCCTAAATGGTCATATGACCTGATAACGCCTGTAAATCGTACAAAGGTCGACTTCCATGATTCGGATCATGCTTTAACCTCTAAAGAGATTGAATTTGATGACGAATTTTTTGAATGATTTTAATAAAAAAATATTGCCATGTATGTGTTTGAATCATCAAAGGTTGCAGCGACTGGTGGGATTGAAGGGTATTGGGTAAACTAGGCTCACCACTTCATCAACGATATAAACAACAGTCGCCATGCCGTTCTTAGGATAACATGTTAATCTATCAGTTGCGGATGCAGTGACATAGACTAAACCTTCAAAACATATACGACGCTGTTGGCTTAGGCTGTGATTGGAAGAGTGTCTGTATAGAGTCGTAGTTGGGGCTGGGCATTCGAAATCGAATAGTAAACTATTTGGATCTGTTTAGATAGGCGATTCGTATCGGCGTCATCTTGTATTGAGGTAAATCTCTCTATCTAAACAGATCCAAATAGTTTACTATTCGATTTCGAATGCCCAACTACGACTCTATACAGAATCTTTTTGTGAAGCCATATTTTCAAAATGCAATTCTGACATATAACTCTATCTGCATGGTTCTTATTGGTGACAACTCGAGGAATCATCTGAGTGATGGATTCAATGTTTTCAGTAAATACAATTAGACATCTTCCATGTATTCGATTTGAAAAAAATAGTCGATTCCGAAATCCTTGGGTATCCGAAAATGCCCAGCCCCAGTTGTAGCTAGTTTTTACGATAAATTTTCATTCCGAACAAGACTCGGCAGAAGCAACTACGTTTGTAAGGACCTAATCTTTCAGTCTGCACACCCTCTACTAGGTCAATATAGATTTTCCCACCCTCGTTTTGGACTAAGATAATTACGTGCAAAAGCTGGGGATTGTTCAGTTTGGAAGATACTGCAATACAAGAAAAGTATATTTTCAGCCTAACAAGTCTAATGAAAACAAAATTTTTTCAATAGAAAAACGTGAAAACAAAAATAACTGATAAATGGTAGTTTTGGTCACTTCAATAGAAAGGCAGGTATTAAGTCGGGGATTCCCGTATTTTGAATTCCACTAGGATACTGTTCTTTTTCATTCATAACTACGGTAAGTAAAATTATCACACCTGTGCACATATAAGGTCTATTTTCATTCTCGTCTGTGTGAGAAATTGTGCAACTTTATTCAATTCGTAGAATAGAGACTTTTTGGAAAGAAAATGGAAATCACAGCATTTGGCATAAAGAAAAGATAATTAGAAAAATAGTGAAAAACTTCATTACATGATGCTTCAAAAGCTAATGAATGATCTGAAGAATCTCTGCAGAAATGGATGAAAATTAGGAAATTTGATAAAGAAAATCATTTCGATCAGATAAATATAATTAAGTAAAAATTTACCCTAAGGCAGGGCTACTCAACTGGCGGACCGCGGGCCGAATCCTGACCTTCAAGTATTTATTAAGGACGTTGAAATATCATTCTGAAAAAACCGGACCCATTAATTTTGAAGATTTTGTATACAAATCTTTGGTATAAATAGTTGAGTAGCCCTGCCCTAAGGCACTTGAATTTTTAAAAAATGACTGAAAAGTGGAAGATTTGCATAAAAACACTTTTTAATATGTTTAATTAAATAAGAATGTATGACACCTGTATAGAACAATTGTATTTCCCCAAGCACAATGTGTAAATTTTGCTCATTATTAACCAATTTATTCAGGCCTATAAATCTTTATCAAACATTCCGCAGTTGTGGGATATCCAGTCACTGGACATTTTGAATTATTTTTCACATACTTAAAGATACAAACGTAACAAAACACATAACCAGATGTGGAAAGAGCAGTGTCATTCGTTCTCCGTCTGTAAAAAACATTAAAATATACCATTATTTGAGTTGATCATTTCTCAAGACAGTGACATACCAATGTCGATCATTTCTCAAGACAATGACATACCAATAGGTACACCCTGATCAGGGCCTGATGTACGCCGTGCATGGGTGTCTGAATTTAGGAATAATTTACAACATTTTCATTTGAAAATTAGGGATTTTGAAAAGCAATGACCTATATTATTTTTTACTTTACATGAAAATGTGATGATTTAGGTAATTTTCCACATAAATTTGCTCCCTTTTCATATTCGAATATAGTTTCTCAGAATGTATTTTGGCAATCTTTGGTCAGCTTGTTCATACTACTTTATTAGTCGTCTGCCCAAAATATAAAATAGGATGATTCATGAATGATTCACGCTAATAGATCAGTCTAATCTGTAACAATTGCTCTGATCATTTTATGCTACGCGAACATAGATAGAAATAAAATAGTAAATCTAATAGCGAACAGGCTGAGCATGTTACATTCTGATATTATCGCTAACCTTTTATTAAGTTCATTTTAACAATTTTTGTCTACGACTTACTAAATACAGCATTGCACAATGTAGGTCGGATTCAAAATCGAAGCTCATTTCTTTGTTTAGTCACTGGTCTATGTTTAAAACTACTGTATCACAAAAAGTGGGGAATTGTGAAATTCATCACTTGGTGAGGTATCTTTCCTGGATTAAGAACCACTGAACTGAATTAAAATTGGAGAACACCAAAACGATTTGAATTTTAATATGCATGCTTTAATAATATATAGAAAGAATCAAACCTGTTGCATAGCGGACAAGTTATGTTGTCCCGAACTGGAATGATTGTTTTGTCGCATGATTCATGCGGCGGAAGAGGAATCGGTGCTTGTGTCAACTAAATAAAATAACTAGGTAAGTATATTATAATACCAATATATAGGAATATTTCGCTGGGGTGAGTATTAGGTCATACTGGCTGAATCAAGTTCTATATCTCAATCTTCTCGGAGTGAAATGTCACTGTTCATATCTGGGCTGTGGAGTGGAGTTGTAATTTCAAATTTTACTGGGTCGTTGTTTCAGACTTGTAATGGTGATGATCGGAGCAAAATTTTTTATATAATTCAGTATGATTTCTCAATAGAAGGCAATCAATGGCTCAAGTTTTTGCTATGAAAATTAGTCTTCTCCGAGCTGAGTCAGCTTCTAATTTATCTCCAACCTGGGGTCAAAGTCAAAATGAAACAGGGTGTATTTTTCACCAGACTCCGTACACGTGGTACATATGACTTTTCATCAAACTGTAGCAGTATTATATGCCCTAAAAACACACATGCACAAAAAATTGCAAAACACCGCCAATTAAGTTTTTATCACAGCACTTATATCGATATGCTTTGTGTGGAATGAATGAAAAGTTCCATTTTACTTGATACATAACTTTTAACAACCTCAAATTACACACAATACAATAAGGAAGTATGCAGAATTGCTATTGACCTTGTAAATTGCTGAACAGATAGGAAGTTAGCATAGTCACTTGCTGCAATGCTATGTATGAAGTATGAATATACTATCCGAATATCTTACCTTTTGCACTGTTGCTTGATTAGCATCATGATAAAACCAGTCTATGAATTGAAGAACAAAGACTCCAGCATGCACTCCACCAGCAATCATCTTTGTCAAAGCTCGGCTAACAACATTCCCGCTATAAAACAAAAGGGTTATTCATTTATTTGTTCCATAAACCAGTCTATGAATTGAAGAACAAAGACTCCAGCATGCACTCCACCAGCAATCATCTTTGTCAAAGCTCGGCTAACAACATTCCCGCTATAAAACAAAAGGGTTATTCATTTATTTGTTCCATGGATGATTGTTTAAGTTTATCAAAAAAATTATCTTAATTTTAAACATCATGCAAAAACAATATGCATTTCCTGCAAATTAGACATTAAAAAGAATTAAGATTCCCAAAAAGTATGCGCGATAGATTTAATAAAATCTAGCCAGCTGGCCAACATACTAATAATGAGTTGTATTGTTTTATCGAAAAGACTGAAAATTACAATACACAGGGTGATTCAAAATGAACAGAACCCAAGTAATTCGGAACATATACTAGATAGAAAATAACTTTCGTGCAAATCGTCCTAGATTATCATATCCTTAGAAACTTTTGGGTACAATCATAAATAAACATATGTTTACGTGTTGAATATAATTTCTTCATTTTAGTAGAATTTTCAAAGAAATTTATAGATTCGTTTTTTTCTGTTACGTTTAGAAAATGCAAGCAACCCCATAAAGCTGAAGTAATGAAGTTTGTGTTCAGAACAAGGTTTTGTTTTCACCATATCTGAATACCTGGATACAAAACATACATATTTTCATATGGGTATCAGATGACTACAGAAAAGTAAAGTCAAATTTTTCTATAAGTAAAATAACGACATACCTTGCTTGAGAAGCAGCTTGGGGATCTTCGACAACCAGTTTTATTCTCAATAATTTCAAAAATGGATCAGGGTATTTATTTTCATGAATTGCATATTTGAATTGAAGATATAATTTCCAAAATTCCCAAGATGAGAACATAATTGGATATAAACGAAAAATGAGTCTTTCCATAATAGTCACAGTGCATTGATTTCCCTGCGTCTCCCGTCGGTCCGCAATTTTATCATACATTTTCTTTAATTTCACTTCAATATATGGGATAATACACAGAGTCACCAGGGTCAAATAATGTCTTCTTGTTCCAAGTGTGTTATGTGATTGCACCTTTAAACCTTTTATTTTCCTTCGTAAGCCGTAATACATTTCTGCATAGGATGCAATGTGAGCTAATAAAAAATGATGTTGCACCAAAAGCTCAATAGCTGTGAAGATTTCATCATACCACGCTAGTAACCAACCAAATCTTGCTGGTTTGTAAGAAGCAAGAACCTTAAAAGAATATTGTTTATTAACAAGCTGATTATGAAGTATGATTGATAATTGGTGTTTTGAATACCCTTCAGCATGAAGTTCAGTTTCATTTGATTAATTCAGATTAGGGACTTCAGATACACAAGGTGTCCAAAGTCTCTTCACAATTCAAAGACTTATCATGATAAACCCTTGAAATTGTACAGATACTATAAGAACATCCTGCATATGTAAGTGCTAGATCAATGCCCCTATTTAACAGCTTTTGCATATTATTTCACAACTTGGATACATTTCAGTGATAACTAATCAAATACAATTATCTATATAAAGTTCACATTTTGCGAGAATCGCCCTTTGTAGACACTTTATTTTTTTAAAGTAGAATGTGTTGTGTAATGAGGGCACACAACCTTTTAAAATAAACAGACTTTGTCTAAACCAGGCATGACTTCCAGTTACATTTTATCGATTATTATGGTAGAGAGAGTAAGCTTCTCCAAAAACCTGTTTGTCGAAGTAACTCATGATTATGCGAAAAGTAAAAAAATCCGCACCTAAAATCTTATCAAACTTACTTTAGTTAAGTGCTCAAAAGCTGGTCTCACAGAGGCTCGTAAATTTTCTTGAGCTAAAACTTCAAATATTGAAGGAAGTTGATATTCTTCTTGTGTTGCAACAGCTGTTTGTAAAGTTTCAGAAAACATGTCCGCCATGGCTTTAGATTAGAGTTTCATAAGTACAATAAATAATTAGGATTCTTTAATCTACGATCATCTATGAAAATATCAAAACACACAAATTTTATTTGTTTTTGAAAAAATATAAGGGACAAGAAATCATTCACCACAGCTATGCTACATAGTGAGCTACAAATGGCAATGAGTCTGAGTTTGGCATGTTTTTATTCAAATTGGAGTCGAGGATCCAAACTCTCCTGAAGTTGAAGACAAACAGAGACTTGAATTTCATACCTCTACTGTGATTATTGAAGTCAAAATTTCATAAACTAAACACCAAGCATTCTCAACAGACAATCAGTCAAAATGTGTTTTTCACAGAATTGGGAGTTAGGAACTTAGGAGGAACTCAATAAGTAGACACTGTATTCAGTCAGTATCAATTTTTTGTCAGCGGGGTGTCGGAGTCATTTTTTAAATGTCTTGTTAGCTGAGACTCCACCGCACTACTCTACATTGATAAAACAGATTAATTTTTAAATCCAACAAAAACTTGACACTAAAAACGAAAACAGATGACTCTTCACGAATTCATGAAACTTCCAAGGGCAATATCAATATTATTTCATTGTAATGATAAATGCTACAAAACTTTGTTTTTGAAGGAGACTCCAAAAAAGCACTGACAACAGTGATTTTACACAGTGATTCAACAATACAGTGATACTATATTCACCATTTGGGAATACCAAAAAAAACTATATATATATTTATTCCGTAACAGTCGATAAGATAAGTTTAATTATATGATGGTTGGACATAATATGTATTATCACAAATACATTTGGTTCTGGCTTCGCCACACGAGAACAAACGGAGCAAACAATCCTCAATACACTGTCCAAGTCAGTTGCTTCACATTAGAACATTCTCTTGCAAGAAGCTCTTCTAATGCTATTCTCGAATCCTCTGTGATTTTTGGGCATCCATGAAATATCAAAATTCGAATTTTACGACAATACTCGATAATGCATTCAATAGCTTCATCAGTTATATTATGACACAATGCCATATGAAACTCTGTCAATGTGTTGCAACATTTTCCTTTACATATTTGAAACACACCATTATCAGATACCTAAATATAAAAGTTTATACATGTAAGTAAGATTTGTTTACATTTACAATATAACTGTTCTGTAAAATAAGTTTGGAAAATGCAGTACCTAAAATCGTAAATTAATCTTTAATGCAGGCATTTTATTCTATCAAAACGACATATATGCATTTTTTGGCTCATCAGTTTGGTTTCTACTAATTAAAATTCGCACTGGAGTCAGAGGTACAAGATTTCAAAATATAAATAATTCAAATAACTGATTTTTTTCTGAAAACAATCCTCACTTTTAACTATTCTCAGCATAACTAGCTGGAGAAAGAGCCGATGTTCTCATTAACCCGTTGTACCCAATATAAGATTTTATTCAATAAAGGAAGTTAGTTATATTCTATGACATTAACTGTATAGAAAACCATAGTGCTTGTCCCCTCTTATTCAAACTATCTTGAGAAAAAAAAAACATGGTGGACATGTTCCAATTTTACCTTGGTTGAAGAGACATTCAGGCTTTCAAGATTAGGGCAATTCTCAGCAAGCGCTTGTAGACTTCTGTCACTGACACCAGAGCAACCACCAAGATTAAGATGTTTTATGCTTTTACAATTTACAGCTATTTGCACCACTGCTTCGTCACCAATGTTCAAACACCGACGAAGGTAGAAAACTTGAATCCAACGACAGCTTTGTGCTATTTTAATAATTCCATCATTAGATATTGTCTTTCGGCTTTCTTTTGCAGAATTTAAATCAATTTTTACCAAGTTTATACATGTTTTTGAGATTGTCGCCAATGCCTCGTCAGTGACATCGCTTTCACTTAAATCAATTTCTTTTAATCTTGCGTGCAAGCAAAATTCTATGTTGGCATCACTTAAAATCCCTCTTTTTGATAAAATATACAAAAGTTTGCTCTTTATACTGGGTGGTAACAACTTTATATCCTCATTATATAAATTAAGATTATGAGCAACAACATGTAGAGATGTCGTAAAAAGTGAAGAAATTCCACCGAATACTGTTCTTTGTATATTGATCATGATCCAAAGAAATTATTTGGCAACACCTCATGAAAAAACTACAAACAATACATATCCGTCTGCGTCTGGACATATAAGTTAAAATATAAATCAAACAAGTGCATTTAATCAATCACAACTTGGTACTAGTGATATTTAATTACAGACTATCAATTATTTGGCCATGAAATGTATAAGGCATAAAAACATAATCACTGCAGTACAGCAAAAAATAATATGAATATCTGAAAGACAAGCAAATGCACCATTAAAATCTTGGTTGAGATTATGAACCAAAGCAGAAACCAAGGTAACGGCAGTGGCCAATAAAAAAAAAAAAGTGACTGAAAGCATCTAACACCCATCAATTGTCTAACCCTAAAAACCCACCCCACTCCTAAAATTAGGCTGAATGATTATAGCAGTCGCGAGCAAGGAAATCCGAAATAAATCAATTGTTCGAATACATTTGAAATTGGTTATATTCTTCATACTATATTCTTCATTTTAGAATTACCAGTAATTTAGAAAATTTAATATTTTTCATTTTGAGCAGCTAATATCTGATGCTCTCGGCAAAAATATCAAAGTTCATTCGAATTGTAAATGTGTTAAGATAAAAACCAATTACAATGCATCACTGTGCTAAAATTTTCTGGATAGACAAACCCAAATTCATATTGATTTATGACAAAAATTTATATGCTGGACCAAATGACCAAATTTAGAATATATAGTTTTCATCATTTCATATCCAAAAATATAATTCATATCGTCTGTGAGGTGCTGTCAATTCCTGCATGAAAGTAAATTGCATAATGCAAATATATGAATTTAAATGGAATTATCAAATAAACAAATTTAACTTACTCAATATGATCATAAATATGTAAATAAGTCTTTATAATTATTGACTGAAAATACACCTTTAGGACAAAATTTTTAAGACTTCAGTTTCAGTTTAAATAACAGTTTTACAGTTACAGTTCTTTGATGGTCTATTAGTAAAAATATTGTTTAGTTTTGCATATCAGTAAGAAGTGACATATTTAAAATTTGCTAAAAGTGCGTTATTCCCAGCAATGATAAAAATTGAAATTCATCGAATATGGTACAAAATTATAACTCTATTGCTTATTTCTATATTTTAAAGTTTGTGATTTAATGTCACCTTCGCCACGTATTTCCAATTTATCAGCGTAAACATCAATTGTTGCAAATGCAGTTTCATTCCCACCAATACTTTTGGGAATCGCTTCTAGAACAGCTTCGAAAGTACAATGATAAACCCCATCTTCATCACAAAAATAAGCTCCTACATGATCATGACCCGCAAAATATGCAACAATGCATGAATAACGATGAATTATATCTAAAATGTCTTGATTATTCCACACCAGACATATTTTACCACCAGTTGCATTTGGGTGTATTGGGATATGGCCGCACAATACAACAATTTCATTATGATTTTGTGAATGTTGTATAATACTTTCAAGCCATTCTAATTGATCCTTATGAACGCCTCCATTATATTTTACATATTTCGGATCAACGGCGCTTGTATGATCATTTTTTTCTTCTTTTGGATTCATTTTGTTTAAAATTTCCATTGCGGTCACTTTTTTTGGATGAGAATTTTCTCTCCCAAGAGCACTGATGTCGTAACAATCAAGAACAATGAAACGAAATCCATTGCAGGGTGTAAAATGATAACAACAAAGTCCATCTTGACACATTTTCTCGCTTGTATAAAATATGATCTCACCAGAATTTTCACTTGTTTTCGCTGGTTCATTTGTAATAGAAAACCTTGGAAGTAAAACAGATTTCAAAAGATCGTTTCTTCCTAAATTATATAATTCGTGATTTCCCCAACAGTGAGCTATTGGTTTTTTATATTGAATTAAACACTCGTATATTTTATTAAGAGCTTCGTTACTTTTTCCATTATTGCGACACATCCCATCTATTATATCTCCGAGTTGTAATACGAAGCAAGTTTGTTCTGAAGTATTCCAGTACTTGATTGCATGTTGTAGACATTGCAAACCTTTTCTATAGTACCGATGTCTTGTTTTGCTGTAGTTCATTCCATCGTCAATGTCCGCATATTGCACATCCGCAATTAATCCAAATGAAAATATTGGGGATGACATTACTATTACACCTACAGAAAATAGTGGATCATTCAGATTAAAAGGTATTACACAAAACAATATAAACAGTTGACATGGTTAAATTTTTAAACTACCCAAATCTTTGGTGCATATCAATAAAATACTTGGTTTAATGAATATTGAGATTTTGCTTACACTAATAGAGCTAAACGTATTTATACTATAATGCACCGTTTAGATATAGTATTCAACTGTCTTACAGAAAACATTTATTTTTACATTTGATAGTATTTGGGTTGTTTCTAAGCTTTTGTAACATAAAGATGATTTCTGTATAAAATAACTTTTGGCAAGTGTATTATTTTCTTCTTGTATGGGTGGACAAAAGCTATGTATCATAATTAATGATGAGTGAAAGTACTCTATTTTATTAAATGATAACAATATTAGAAAGTACCATGGTACTGTATGAAATTAGATTGTTACAATGTAAGCCTACATCTAAAATTTTTCATATAATAATAATAATATAGCGATGGCTAGATGAAACAATTGCAAAAAGGGATAGAAAAATTTAACACTTATTATTATACAAATAAATCTTTCAATTTTTGAATACTGCACAAGTATGTATTGATTATCTTATGGCTATTGGATAAAATTTTTAGAATGATATTTGTCGCAAGAATGGTCAATGGCTTCAGGTTAGGGCATTAGAAACTGAGGAAATTTAACTGATCTTTGGGTAAACTTTGATCCTTTGATAACAATTGTTCTTTAGTACAAATAACTTTGTATAAAACGAAATGGCAAGCAAAATACAAAACCCAGATTTGGATACCACTTCAATGAAAAGTTCAAATTTATATGAATAAAATTCTTATATAAAGTTTCATTTTGATAAGGCATAAATGTCAATAAGTAAATAGGCAACATTTTTATAATATGGTTTAATTAAGAAGGCAAGATCGGATTTATAATACATTTTTAGCTAGGTCAACCTTTTTCGAATAAATCAAAAAGAACATATATGTAAAGAAATAGAACTGAAACAAAACCTACTTTCACAGTAGTTATCTATATTATAACCATGATTTTTAAAGTACTATATGAAATTGGAAATTCGTTGTACCCAATTGCATTAATATAAATCTAAATATTCGATTCATTTTGTTACTTCGGGATATATAAATGCAACAACGAAAAATTCCTTTAAAATTTTTTAGGGGCACAAAACAAGACAGAGTTAAAATTTGTAACAATAAATATTCTAGGATATCGAATTGCTCTCAAAATCTCAGAAAACCTATACAAAGATGACTAGTGCATCATAATGTATCATCATAGAGTGTATCGATAGCAGTACTAAATAGTTACAAATATAAATCAATTGCAATGAATCATAATGAATGAAAAAAATTTGAATGTGCTTCATTATTATTGATTGCATGCATTTATATAGTTCAAAATTTGAGTCAACAAAACAACAGTATAAATCTATTTTCAAATTTGCTTCATAGTAAAAAGAAAACTGCGTTTCTGAAAAGCTTCACTCTTTTTATCTGAACCTAATTCTGAACAAGTACAATTCAGACGCAGGAAAAATTGGGTATTTCAAATTTTCAAATAATATTTCATAACCTCCCCAAAATATATGATCAAAATATTTTGTAACAGTTTGTTGTAACAGTTGCAACTGTGTTTAAGCGGTTAAGACCGGATAAACAGACTTATTCTTCACATAAACAAGGGATTTTTAGGTGTAAGATTTGCAACCTCCAAGTCCAACATAAACAGTGCAAATTATGTGAATTTACCATCAACCTTAACAAAGACTAAAAAGATTGGAATTGACTTCACATACAACAAAAACTGAAAAAAGGACCTTGTAATAAAATTCCAACAGCGAAAGATGAATAATAAATTTTTGATTATTGCTCTCAATTACGTTAAAAGTAACGTATATCAAAATATATTTTGTTCGCCACCTAAAATATTTAATAGGATATTTCGGTAAAAAAATCAGGCAAATTGCGGCGATACTAATAAGCATTATATGAAAAATTACTATCTTGATGACCACATAAGATTAAAAAGAAAATGAACAATATCAAAACTAAAATTAAGTTGAAAAACATCTTCTCAATTACAATGTCTTACAAAACCAAATTTCTTTTTCACCATGCACTTTTTACACAAAAGACATATATATCGTTTGACACTTTGATAATTTTTATAACACTAAATATATATTATATATATATAATACAAAAGAGAATTAACATTGTTTCAATAGAAAAATATATAACACCTGAATGTAAGTACACCATTTGTTAGTTATTTGTCAAATAATAAGTTTAGAATACTAACATATCGAAAATATTTTTAGGAATTCACTTCACACTATTGTTTAGAAAACACAAAAATAAAAAAAGTTTGGTGCCTGTATGGTTTAATATTCTTAATTATCATCTATAGAAATTAGAAAATATCCATTCAAAAAGGAGCCACTTCCAGGAAGCCACAAAATTTCCAAAAGACTAAAATCTTCAGATTCGACCCACAAAATTTTGCAAAAGCCAGAAGAAATGCTGGTTCAGGGCCTTGGCATGGAATCTCTAAGTATCATTGTTTACATTGAGCATAAAATTTAAGTATAGTTCGAACTATTTTTTTAATAATCTAGCTGGTGTGTTATTTGAGGAAAATACCTAATTATCAATAAGGTGATATATCTTCCAGTAAGAAATAAGGCAGCGCTGCGTAAAAATAAAATAAAATTGCAATAACATATTCACCATTTTTAACGAGTTAAGTTGAAACAATAGCCAAAATCATTTTAACGATATCAGTTGTTCTATATTGCATCTTCCCTTAGCGCAAATTACGAAACAGTTATTGATATTTATCAGCAAGCTTAGAGGCATTTTCAGCAAATTTTTCAGCACTGTGAGCCATTTCAGCAGTTTTCACGTCAAGATCATTTAACTTTTCACCTCGTTCTCCAAGTTCTTGTCTCGTCTTTTGTAACTGTGAAATATCTGACGCAGCTTTTTCAATTACTTGATTAGTTTTTGAATCAACATTCACGAATTCAGGTGGAGCTTTATCAAGATACTTTTTACATGCATCTGCAACATCAGAAATGAATTTGGATTTCTCCTGAGAATTGGAAGCTTCAAACTTGAATTCACCTTCAAACCATAATTCCAAGTTGTTAGACTTTTCTCCTTTTCCATCGACTTTAGTTAACTCCTCCAAACACCAGTGCCTTCTTTTTTCAAAACTTGCTCCATCTTCAGATTTGATAAATCTTTCTATAAAAGCTTGATATGGTCTTGAAGATGTAACATACAAGCAAAGATAGTGTCGATTTTCTTTCTTTTTAAATGGATTGTTACTTGGTTCAGTTTTAGAAACCTGTATAAAACCTAAAATTCGTTCTTTTCTAGGATGGAAAACATTGCTATGCAACCAATGCTTGACATCTTGAACTGTTTTACAGTTTGCCATTTCAGATAAATGTTTAATTAACGATTAATCCTGATAAAGAAAAATAAGAAAGTTTGCCAAGAAATGTATTGATCTGAGTTCGTTCAATCTACGGCCAGTGGGTATTTTTATTTGCAGGAAACAGCATGGAACAGAGAAAAACAGTGAAGAATGTAAGAAAACAATGTAAAACGAAAGAAAGCAATGCAAAATTGCATGTAACACTTTGTTAATTGATTGTTTATAACAATATAAAACAATACATTGATTGCATAGACCAATCTTTTATTCTGGCATGCAGCCACTTTCACATAAATTTTTTTTTTGAAAATTATGGTACGGTAAATACAAATCAAGTTATAATTTGCCTATGTTAAAAGGTAAAAAATAGTCTAGTTACATTATATTTACGAATCCATTTTGCATATTGCACAAACGGAAAATACGATGTCGTATCGTTTGGTTGTTCCTAAAATTTGCATATTACAGTATTACAGGTGAGAATTCTAATATACGGCAGCCTGATTGCTATTGCTGTGCATAGAGCATTAGAAGTTATTTCTGTATTTACCCACTCATCAACGACAACGTACATGTATGCACGTACAGGCGTACAGAAACACATCTACCGGTATCATATTTTGTGCGAGTATCAGAGCATTGCAAACTCGTTGACTGCCCTGTTTATCTGAAGCCAACCAGCCGACACTGCAGCACCGCGAAACCTGCAAGGCTGGATTATCAATTTAAACTCCTGGGGCGCCATTCGCTAAACTTCGTAAAAAGCCGGGTTTACGATCTCGTAACTGTGTCTCTCAGAATCGTGATAGCGAAATCTCGTTAAATGCGATTCACCAAAGACCTCGTAAGCACTTGACGCACGGTCACTAGCATTCTCTCGAAATCTTACGCACGGTCGCAGTTGAACAAAATGCACTGACTGATCACTCAGCCGTATCAGTTGTCGCCGCTTACGGTCGAGCGTCTTTCGCCTTCGCGGTAACCTATCGGCTTTCTCTGCTTCACCTTTGCAGCCTGCGTTTTGAAATTTTGTTCATATAGCAGTGGCGTAATCTATAGACTGACGGATAGGCTACATGGAATAAATGCTGAAGTTACACAGAGAGAGATTTATTGCCACAAAACAAATTACATATTGTGAACTATTTGTGTAACAGACAATAAAATCAGTGAGTTGCCAAAGCTTGTTAAGATACCATATTTTTAATTTTTCATTGAGTCTATAGTCCTCTATTAAGGTCCTTTCATTTGCATCTAGCTAATTTTTTTCTTTCGGATACGACATGGAGAGATTGTTGGACTTTTCTTCTGCAAGCTTCAATATAGGTAGCCATTTGTGAATCTGTGTTCATAATACTGTAGGCCAGTGCTAGAATAAACAAAAAACAATGACTTCAACAACTGAACAATCTCTGAATCTCAACCCTAGTTTAATCTGTAAATGCGGCAGATATTCCACAGCTAAGTTAACGGCACTAGACTACATACACGCTTACCTGAGTAAGGCCCCTTGATACTATGCCAATTTTTACAAAGTATGCTAACGTCCTAACGAGCCTATTTTAATTTGAATCACTGCTGAGAGCAATCCGAACTGTTAACGAGGCGAAGATTGTTCTCGTTAGCTAGCGAGCTCTTCAGCGGTTAAAGAACTTTCGTGAATACCGATTCTCGATAAAACGTGAGAAGAAGGCACTTTACGAGACGTCTCATTTGGCGCCAAAAAAACTCTCTCGAATAATTTCTCTCGAATATTTACGAAGCTCTGTGAATACCATTTTTGCTTTTCACGAGAAAGTCGGTGCTTAACTAACACGTTAAGCGGTAACGAAGCTTTGTGAATGGGGCCCCTGAACTCTCGATCTGCCGTAAAGTTGTCTTTTTTTTTTTTTTTTTTTAATGTTTCCACAATGTGGATTAATCATAATTAAAGAATAAATAAAATAATATAGGGATATCAATAAATAAGTGTATACAAGTGACAAAACAAATACATCATCAGCAGAGTAGTTGTTCCATAATAGTCCATTTTTCCATATAATAGTCCATTGGTATATCCAGTATGTATTTTGAAAATTAATCATTAATACAATATTTATTCATTAGCATTAATTATAATCGTGAAAACATAAAAAATTTATTAGTTTCAATACTAAGGATCACTATGCAAAACTAATCAGAAGCTATTATATAAAATATCAAGTTCTCTTGTAAAATTTGGATTTTGTCTACACTTTTCAATATTCCTTCTTGCTATGAGGGAATTCTTAATTTTCATTATCACATTGTTAACATTAGGATTAACATTTTGGAAAATGACTAAGTTTCTCTCCAACCAAATTTTATGTCTGGCAGTACAAAATAATAGTATACTATAATGGCATTACGTTCCAAGTTTGACAATTGTGAATAACATTGTTGATTCAAATCTAATGAAATACACGTAATATAATTATTTCTCAAAACACAATAATTGATTTTTAAGGCAATAGAATAAACATAATCATAAACATCTTGTGTGAAAGGACAGTTCCAAAATATGTGGGAAACAAACTCAGGCTCTTGTGAACAAAACACACATAATTCATTGCCAGCAACATGTCTGATTCTGGGTTTCACTTTAAGAGGAAGAACATCCCATATTAATTTATAATTAAAGGATTTTACACTATTGGACAATATTTTACTATGTATATTAGAGCAGGCCCCTTCTAAAGTATCATCTCGAAGAAACACAATTCTATTTCCCCCATTAGGGTTGTTCACTATTTTATTATAAAGTTGTTGCCGTAAAGTTGTCATGATAGTTGCACCGATCGACTTGTGCAGAAAATGGGACATAACACCTCAATGGACATAACGCGGAACGTAATTAAACGAGGATCTCAACCAATCGTATACAGTGGCTGAATGTTTGGTTTTTTTTTTTTTCTTGAAGTCAGAATGTTCACAGTCTGTTATCATATCTGTAAAATAAAAAGAATTAATGTACAACAGTTTATGTATTTTGCTACACGTTTGTCGCGTCGTGTTAAGCGTTCGGATAAAGCTTGTCATCGCACCTCTGATTATTACAGTACACACGTTCGAAGCCCTATGGGAAAGAATCGCTTGCTCCCTCGCTCGCCGTCGATCCCTGTCTCGCGGAATACTCAGAAGAAGTCCCCGGATCAGCAGTGTTCCATGGAACACAGTTTGGGAAACGCATGAACAATTTTATTTTTTTAAAGAATAAAAAAGCAAAGGCAAGTGCGACGCAAAGATCGAAAAATAAGAAAGGTTTATTTAGAACAAGTGCTGAAACCAGCCAGTGCCTATGCCGAAATGCGAATGGCAATTATAAAAAAAAAAATAAGTAATTAACTGCCGTTTTGCCTAGTACACAAAGAAAGCTGAAAACTAGACAACAATACGAAAAGAATAATACATACACTAAAAATAATTCATATACCTAAAATTTACAAAAATGCAGAAAAAACATAATGTGGCGTTTGGCATCTCTTTTGGGCCACCAGCTTACTGATATCAGGCTGAAAAGATTTACAGTACCAGTTCCTATGGGGTCACATGATCATGGGTTAATTTGTGCAGTGCCTGATATATCACACATTTCATCATGTGCTAAGGAAAAAATATAGTCAGAAGAAGTAAATTTTATTTGTTTGTTTTTTAATTTGCAGCCATCTTATCAAATCTAGTAGCAACTGTATTTCTCGTCAGCGATAAATATTGAAAAGCTTTAACTGTTTATACAGGGCAATTGTTCATGAAAGCTCTATCAGCATATAGTACTTTCCGTTTCTTCCTAATCACTGAAGTTTTTTTGTTTCAAGTATTCTTTTGCTAACTTGAGGTGTATCCATAATCGGGTCAAAACAAGAACAAAAATTTTTGTAGTTTTTCAAAACTACTTATTTAAATTGTCATTCACTGCGTGGATAATCAACTTCAATATGAAAGGTTTGAAAGTGTATTACATGTATTACAAAAAATTACAAAATCTTACAAGTATTGTCAAGCGTTAGAGGGCCGCATTGGAAGTTCCCTGGGGCCGCGAGTTTGACACCCCTGTTTAAGATAACAAACTAAATTGTTACGAATATACACGTGCTAATTGGCGGTATCTATAACGGTGTCTCCAAAATGTCGTGTCCCACTTATCCCACGTGTCCCACCTTTCCCACGTGTACCACTTGTCCCACGTGTACCACTTGTCCCACATGTCCCACTTTCCCACGTGTCCCACTTGTACCACGTGTACCACGCGTCCCACTTGTCCCACGTGTACCATTTGTACCCCCACGTGTCCCACTAGTGGTACAAGTGGGACACGCAGGACAAGCGGAGCAAGAGGGACAAGTCGTACACGTGGGAAAAGTAGGACACGACATTTTTGAGACACCCTATCTATAAGACAAATAAAAAAAACACAAAGTGTTAAAATATTTCACTCAGGTTCGGCGGGCCACGGTTTGGGAACCATTGTCCTACACCAGGGGTCGGCAACCTCCGGCCCGCGACGATTCACTGAATTATAGCAACAAAACAGCCGTTTTGACGATTATATTCCTTAGACCAAATTGTAATATAACCTAACAAGTATATAATTCACAATTACTCGTTTATTGAGTATAAAATTAGATTATAATTAGACAAATGGCAACAAAACCCAGAAAAGTTGATGCTAAGTGCAAAGGTAGGCGCTGAAAATATTTGAACGGAATTTTATGAGATGCAATAAGGAAATAAATTTATATTCCATTCGAGAGATGTATCACTTCTTGATTTTTAACATAAAAAGTATCATCCGTTCGGTTTTCAACTTTCTAAAAATATGTGCGGCCCGTCAATGACTTGCAACCTTTGATTTCGGCCCGCGAGCGACAATTGGTTGCCGACCCCTCTTCTACACAGTCATTACTTATCGATCTTACTCGGTAAGTATGTCGATAGATCTTTGTCTGTTAGACACTTTCGTATGTTACGCGATATCTCACGAAAGCGAGGCTGAATCTGTGCTAAATTTTGCATGTGCATTAATC